AACTGAATTAAGCCCATTAATAGCATTTAATAAAAATAGATTTGCACTTATTACAAATAAAGAAATTTGTAAATTTAATTTTACAGATATAACTAATTATTACTTTCAAAAATATTGTTATTTAAGTACAAATGAATAAATTATTATTATTGATTTTGATTATTTAAAATAATGAGTTTAATATTATTTATATGAATNGTAAATTGATTCGCTTTCTTAATCAAAACCAATCTATATCTAAGCAGAAGTTGAAGGGTTTTTAAGAGAATATCAAATGGAAAATGAGAAATTAAGAGAGCTTTTGAAATAATAAGTTGAGAAAAATGCATCATTATAAGAAGAATTAAAAATTGTTAATTCTTCATATATTCAAAATACTAAAAGATTTTAATTACACATGTAACAATTAGAATAGAGATTTTAAGAAATATTAATTAATTGCCATAATTATAGTGAGAATATTGATATTTTTGAATAATCAACCCTTTAAGATAAATAAAAATTATAAGACTTAGAAGATTAAGAAATATAAAGAAAAACAGAACTTTAAAAATTATTTAAAGGAAAAATAATCAAAAATATTTGTGAAATATAAAATGGATAATAAAATACTACATCAATTAATTCATCTTAAGGATAATAATAAATAAGTTCATAAACTAATGAAATTTATGAATTATTAGATAATGATTGATATTTATTATATTAAAATTTTGTTTATATAATTAAAAATATATGAAAAGCAAAAGTGATGCAATAGTTGTTGTACCAACACTCTTTAGTAATAACAATTATTATTGGATTAGACTCTATTAAAGCTTTTGTCATCTTCAAAAATGATTGGATTATAGCAGATTTAAAATATGTTTATTAAATGTCTAAAAATGCTTAAAAATTAATCAATAAATTAGAAATTTAAGAAACATAATACATATATACAACATCAGATAAAATAATCATTTAAACAAAAGAAGGATGGATTCATATTATAAATGAAGAATTTTCAAAATAAAATTTGTTTCATTTGAATATATTTAGTTTTTGTAGATTATGCATACATTAAGATCTACTATTTTCTATAAATTCTAATCAATTAGAAACAAGAAATATAAATAGTCTAGATATAGAATTTTATGAATATTAATCTGAAATATTTTGTACATCTATTAAAGTAATAAATTCAGAAATAGATTAATTTATAATAATAGTATTAGACAATGGAATTATAGATGTTTTAAAAAATAAAACTTAAATACATAAATATTAATTAAGTTAAAATAAATAAAATCCAATATTTGTATATGATTGTATTCCAATTATATAAAATAAAGAATTACTAATTGCTGTTTCAACTAATTAATAATCAATAATAATATTGAAAAATTAAGTTTAATAATAAACTGTAAATCTTAGTTTTAGTCCTACAACTATTTTTTCATATTCTAAAACTGAATTAAGCCCATTAATAGCATTTAATAAAAATAGATTTGCACTTATTACAAATAAAGAAATTTGTAAATTTAATTTTACAGATATAACTAATTATTACTTTCAAAAATATTGTTATTTAAGTACAAATGAATAAATTATTATTATTGATTTTGATTATTTAAAATAATGAGTTTAATATTATTTATATGAATNTCAAAACCAATCTATATCTAAGCAGAAGTTGAAGGGTTTTTAAGAGAATATCAAATGGAAAATGAGAAATTAAGAGAGCTTTTGAAATAATAAGTTGAGAAAAATGCATCATTATAAGAAGAATTAAAAATTGTTAATTCTTCATATATTCAAAATACTAAAAGATTTTAATTACACATGTAACAATTAGAATAGAGATTTTAAGAAATATTAATTAATTGCCATAATTATAGTGAGAATATTGATATTTTTGAATAATCAACCCTTTAAGATAAATAAAAATTATAAGACTTAGAAGATTAAGAAATATAAAGAAAAACAGAACTTTAAAAATTATTTAAAGGAAAAATAATCAAAAATATTTGTGAAATATAAAATGGATAATAAAATACTACATCAATTAATTCATCTTAAGGATAATAATAAATAAGTTCATAAACTAATGAAATTTATGAATTATTAGATAATGATTGATATTTATTATATTAAAATTTTGTTTATATAATTAAAAATATATGAAAAGCAAAAGTGATGCAATAGTTGTTGTACCAACACTCTTTAGTAATAACAATTATTATTGGATTAGACTCTATTAAAGCTTTTGTCATCTTCAAAAATGATTGGATTATAGCAGATTTAAAATATGTTTATTAAATGTCTAAAAATGCTTAAAAATTAATCAATAAATTAGAAATTTAAGAAACATAATACATATATACAACATCAGATAAAATAATCATTTAAACAAAAGAAGGATGGATTCATATTATAAATGAAGAATTTTCAAAATAAAATTTGTTTCATTTGAATATATTTAGTTTTTGTAGATTATGCATACATTAAGATCTACTATTTTCTATAAATTCTAATCAATTAGAAACAAGAAATATAAATAGTCTAGATATAGAATTTTATGAATATTAATCTGAAATATTTTGTACATCTATTAAAGTAATAAATTCAGAAATAGATTAATTTATAATAATAGTATTAGACAATGGAATTATAGATGTTTTAAAAAATAAAACTTAAATACATAAATATTAATTAAGTTAAAATAAATAAAATCCAATATTTGTATATGATTGTATTCCAATTATATAAAATAAAGAATTACTAATTGCTGTTTCAACTAATTAATAATCAATAATAATATTGAAAAATTAAGTTTAATAATAAACTGTAAATCTTAGTTTTAGTCCTACAACTATTTTTTCATATTCTAAAACTGAATTAAGCCCATTAATAGCATTTAATAAAAATAGATTTGCACTTATTACAAATAAAGAAATTTGTAAATTTAATTTTACAGATATAACTAATTATTACTTTCAAAAATATTGTTATTTAAGTACAAATGAATAAATTATTATTATTGATTTTGATTATTTAAAATAATGAGTTTAATATTATTTATATGAATATCTTTGAATTATAAATTAATTTTATAGTCCAAAATTTTAATCATTAAAATTCTATAAATTTATTTATTAATAAGATCGATATAGTCTAATGGTAAAACAACAGGTTTTCACCCTGTAATTCCGAGTTCAAATCCCGGTATCGATTTTTTTTTTTTTATTAATTTCAAATTTTATAAATCAAAGTATTATTAACAATTAAAACTTTTATTGATATTATGAAATAAATATAGAAGTAATAAATAATAAATAAATAAGTATAATAAATTGAATTTCTTCATTCATCATATTTGTTTTTTTTTTATTAATGTCAATTGATATATATATAACAATTACCTTATTATAAGGATTTTGATGATATAAAAATTAGCAGATTATGTTGATTTTTTTAATATTAATTATTTTCAAATAGAATCATTTCCAACATTCTTTATAGCCTCTTAAGTTTAGTATTACAATGGCAAATGATTATTTTTTTAAGGTAAAGGCACAACATGACTTTAATCATAAAATTATTTTAAGGATCTATGGCCAAGACTATCAAATTTAATATTGATTTTACATTTTTCCATTTGGTAATTATAATTCTCCATTTGGCAATACTTTTGCTCTATTTTAATTTATGATATCTATATAATGCATCAATTAGGCTCTTCTTGCTTATTATTCTGGAGTTTATTCTACAACTTCAAATTCAGAAATTCTTGAATCTGATTTTAAAGAATCTAATTCAAGAATTTCTTCAAATGATAGTTCACTTAATTCAGGAATTTCATCAAGTTATAATAATTTTTTAATTTTTTCTGTGAAATCATAAAAATGACAAAGTTCATCATAATGTTCATTAGGCATAAAACAATGACCTAATATATATAATATAATCATAGATACCTTTATCTAACATATGTTATTTAGCTGAATCTGATGAAGCAAAAATAGATGGACAAGATAAACAATAAAATTGTTTTTCTATAATGTTTCTTAAACATTCTATTAATCCTTTCATATCAACAAGAGAATCTTTTTCACGAATAAAAAATCCATGATCAGTATTCATATGATTGTATACTTATTCCACTGTTTCATATGTATATTCACAGAATAAGCATTACTCTGGTAAATTTTAAATTTATTTTTTTTCTAAAGAATCTGAATTTTTTCTATTGTCCTTTAAGACTTATTTATGTTTAGCAGAATTCAAATGTTGTGAATAGGTTCCTGAAGAAAAAAAGTTTTTCCTAAATAATGAAATTTACACATTACTTGCATGTAGTACAAGAATATGTTTATGCTTAACTTGATGAGCAGGAAGTATTACTTTGTGATTCAAGAAATTCTATTGTAGAATATAAATAATACTTTTCTAAAAGATTTCAAACGATACAGACTCTAAATTCATTAGTCTTCTTCTAATATTATATCGATGAAAATCTGATCTATAATGAGCCTAGTACTCTTAATCATTTGGTATTGTGATTTAACAATTAGAGCAATAATGTGTATTTCTTTCTTACATATATTTATTATATAACAAATAAAGATAATTCTTATATAAATATTTGATTTATCAGATAAAATCAGTATTTAAAAATGTAATAATAATAATAATAAAAAGTCACTACTTAAACACGTGTCATAATTATGATTAATAAATGAAAGATATGATAAAATATAAATTATATATATAGAATACTTAAAATATTTGATTTTTTAACTCATTTATTTAAATTTCATAATTGATCATTATATTCATCCAATTTAACAATAATATATTAAAAATATATTGTAGATTAAGTTTATACTATTATTAAGTTAATAATATCAAACATAAATTATAATATTTAAATATATGTTTTTTTTTTATTTCAATCTCTATTTATTATTAATCCTAAGGTTAAATAATTATATAATATAATATATAAACATAATTAATGTTCAAATTGCAGTTGGTTGTTATTTTTCAGTATCATTTTCATATGCAATTCTAATTGTTTTATTTGTTCTAGAGCAACAATTTGCTATTCTTTTAAGGATGAAATCAATTTTAGCCTCCCAATAGCATACCATATTGAAGAAGTAATGGGAAAAAATGTATCCTCCTGGTACCTATGATTTAAATAAGAGATTACATCAATAGTATAATGGATTGCAAAGGAGATAACAATAAAGGCTTGAAAGATTGAACAAATAAAAAAAAACAATGCCATATATCTTTTTCCTACTTTCCTCATTTCAAGAGCACATATAGTTAAAAAGCCAACATGTCCCTAAGATTATTTATATGAATATACTGAATAAAAGAAATCTGAATATTTTCCATATTTTACAACTAAACTTGGTACTAATGGATCTTCCCAATAATAATTAGGTGAATATTCCAATTTAAATATGTTTAAGTGAATTGCTCTGATTGCATAAAATAAGATAAGAACTGCAAATAATCTAAAATTTCTTTCATATAAAACCCAATAAAGTGATACATAAAAAAATGCAAAATCTAAAATAAGTGCTGAAGATATTTGCATCATTGCAGAGAACCTAAAATAATTTAAAGTTTTTATACCATCTATGTTCTTGATATAATTAATTGACTGGAGTGGTCAATAAATGTCCCCAATCCCATATTCCATTAATATTATCACTTGGAGTACCAAATATTTCACCTAATTAAGTAACAACAATATAAGTAAAGAAAATAAAGATTCTAAATCTAAAGTTATAACATGGATTTCCTGGAACAGCACTTTAGCGATGATCAAATTTGTTTGGAAAATAAAATGATTTTAAATCTTCACCATTATAATGAACAGCTTCATCACTTTTTGTTGCCATATTAAATAAATTAAATAAATGTATTTATTTCATTTTTATTCATTTTTTTTTTTTAAGTATGCTTAAAAAAATAACTTATTAAATTTTTATCTCTCAAAGTGACTTTTCAATCTATAATAACTACAATTCATTTATGTAAAAGTTAATTTTAAATTATCTTATGCTTCATTTTCTTCAGTCTTTAATTTATTATATTTATCTTCTAATATTTTAATGTATTAAGATTTCTCTTCTAAGTCATAGATTCTAGAGTATCTATATTAAACACCATGAGGTAGATTTTTCTCAAATTTTTTTTAATATTGACTATCTTAAACCCATTCTTCATTATTCTAACTTCTAATTATAGTCCCTATTTTCACTGGAGTAACTTTTCTACTTTAAAATCCTGAAATTCTCATCTTTACTTATTGTTCTTCTAAACTTTCTTAAAATTGTTTATCATATTCTTATTGTAGATTATGTGCTTTCTTAATTCGTACATTTAATAGCTTTTTAATTTCAATCTATAAAAAGAATCTATATTTATAATTTGATTACTTAAAATAATTATCTAGTTAATTAATCATAAAATCTATCTTCAATAGTGCTTATTTTTAAAAAATAGACACTAACATGATTAGAATAACAGACAGCTTCATAAATTCCTTTGCTTTTTTAACATGTTTAAATAAATTCTTTAGTTTCAGGTTCTGCTGCACTTTTTACATAAGGTTTATTATATTTATTTATCATAAATTTTAAGTTTCCTTCTTCATCCAAAAAATTTAATTCTCCTATTATTTTATTTTCATCCAATATTTCAACTGATAATTAATGTTTCATTAATTTAGAAATCTTCATTGGATGATCTTAAATTCCTCTTTTTTCTATCACTCTTTTCAATTCAACTTATCCTTTATTAATCATTCCAATATGATTTTTTAAATTTATCCTATCTCCATAATCATATTGTTTTTCATTAAGTTCATAAGCAAGCATTTTCATTTCTCTTAATGACCATTATTAAAACCAAGGATATTTTGAAAGAAACGCTATTTTTTAATCTAACTGATTTTTATTATAATCTCCAATTAATTGTTTATATGTTGTTTTATCAATTGTGGCAAAATGACAATCTGTAACAGAAATACTTGTAGCAGTTCTAGCTTAACTACTTTGTAAAGCCAATTCTCCAAATGATCCCCCTTCTGTTATTGTCGCAACTTCTTTTGGTACAAATATATCCTCTTATGGAATATTTATTTAAATTGAAACAGTTCCTTAAGATTTTTTATTAATATTATACCTTAAAGCACAATATAAAATAAATCTCCTTAATCACCTTATTTAAAGATTATTTCATTTTGTTGAACAAATTTATATTGAAGAGCATCGGCAATATCATATATTAGTTATTACTTTGATTGAAATAGTTGGGCAAAATATTTGATTGTGCTAAGTAATTCTTATAATTTAATTGGTTATACAATGTAACAGTAATTTATCATTCAAACTTCTATATATTAATGGTTTTTGAATAATTTTGATAGATTTTACTAAAATTTATTCTCTGTTCAAGTCTTCATATTTCTCATTTTATAAAGTTTTGCTTCTTATTTTATTCTCTAATTTTGGAGAAGAACATCTTCTGTCTTAGAATTTGGATGCCATTAATTGTTAGAACAATAAACAAATAATAATAATTATAATATTAACTTAATTTTAGATATGATTGTTAGAAATTCTGTTGTTCTTTTTATATTTAGTATTTTCATTAAAAAATAATTATAAAATAATATGAATATTTAATTGAAAGACATATTAACAGCTTATGAAGCAGAACATTATATTGAAAGTCTTTAAATATTTGAAATTACTGAATTAGGATGTAAAAAGTAATAATATTTATAATAATTAGATGGTTTACATAAGATGAGATTTTATAAAAATTAAATTTCTAAGCACACATAAATGCAATTACTAGATCAGATGAATTCATTATGGAAGCCTTTTGTACTTTCGATAAAATCAAACCATAAATTTATGATTTAATAATGACAGAAATGTGGAAATAATATGTATTTCCTTATTTGAAATCTCATTTTACTGAATTGACATCAATTAGATCTTATAGAATACTTTAACATGAAGCTATTGTCTGATATTTATTGTAGATTTGCTTATTTCACAAAACTTCAATTGAATCATCAGAAGGTTATATTCTCTAAGTTGTAGATTATTGTAATAGAAAATTAACAGCATTACTATAAAAGTACTGAATTGCAAAAAAGATTTAGGCCACCTGCAAAAAAAATTGATAAAAAAAATATTGATTATTGGAAGAATAGAACAAAAGAAGATGAAATAGATGAATAATTTTAAAATGTTGAATTTTAAATTTAAATGATGTGTTTAAGCATCATTAGATTTATAACTGATCATATTAAGCATTTACCAATTAATATACTCCATCAAATTATTGTTGAAAATGACTTTTTCTTTTTATTAGTTCCTTTGATTGAAGAGAAACCTTGGTTAAGAATTAATCATAATAATGAAAGAGAAGTATTTGAATAATCAAAATGGATTACTTTAAATAAAGAAGATTATAGTAAATTACCTAAAATTGAAGCTTAATTGTGGATTACAATATATAATTTATTTATGGATCTTGAAAGTAGAAGGAAATATGAATTGAATGATTTTGAAAAAGAGTAATTTATTAAGATTAAGAAAATTTATGAATGAATTATTATTAGATTAAATTCCATAACTTGTTGATATGCTAAGATCTTTAGAAGAATTATCCCTTATGTAAGTATAAACTTAAAGTAAAAATACCACAGTAGTTCAGTAATTGCCTGAATTACGTATGGCAATATGTAAATATAAGAATTGGAGTTCTATTGCTTAGAAATAGAAAGAAGAATATTTCTAAATTAATGATCCAAGTATAAAAGAAGGTATTATATCTTAATAATCTAAATAGATATTAAAAGAATGGCTGAACTCTATTCAAATACAGTATTTGAAGGTATTATTGATGGATTTAAATGTGAAAAATGCACAAAAGAAGCTACTAAGAGATGTTCTCGTTGCAAATAAGTATGGTATTGTAGCAAAGATTGTTAAGTTGGTGATTGGCCAAAACATAAATTGAATTGTTAAATAATCAATACATAAAAATAAGAGGATACTAAATAAGTGGATAAATAATCAGATAAATTATTAGATTAAATTGATTGAGTATATTAATTTAATAAATGAATAATACTTAAAATATTGAGAATCTTAAAAATTTAGTTGCAAAAAATATAGAAGCTGGAGGTTTCTTAAACTCATTAAGAGCTTAATTAAAAGTAGAGGTTTATAAAGTAATATCTATAATATTAATATATCAAGATTATTGAATCTTAAGATTAACGATTAAAAGAAAATGTTGGTTTTTAATGGGAACATCCTTTATTAAATTAAATCAAAGGAATGACAGAGGGAATGAAAAGTCTTGAATTAATTTTGGAATATCTTGAATTTTTCAAATTTGATTATACTGCATAAGTTTTAAGAAAAGAAGCTAACTTTAATGATCCTATTATTAAAGAATCTTTGGCTAGGAAATTAGGATTAAATTCATCTCTAGATAGTTTGAGACCTTTATTAATGATTTTGGTTACTGAGTTTTCAAAAGGAGGTTCTGCAATTAACATTCAAAGTCCTATTAATAATGCAGCTCCTCCTGAAACAAATATATCTAAGAATTAATAGAATAAAAAATAATAAGAAGAGGAATAAAAAAGAAAATAAGAAGAAGAATAAAAGAAAAAAGAATAAGAAGAAAAGAAAAAGTTAGAAGAAAAATAAAAGAAAGAATAAGCTGATTCAAAAAAAACTACAAAAAAAGAAGGTAAAGATAGACCTTAAACTGCTCCAACAAAACCAGAATAACCAGCTCCAAATGTTAATAAAATAAGAGGAGTTTAAACTAAATAAAATGCTCTAACTTCAATGTTTGGACTTGATTTAGGAGGTAACTAAAATTAATTTGAAGAAGATGATATCTTCTCAAATAAACCTAAATAATAATAATAATAACAAACTAAACCTTAATAAAATACAAAGATGAATAATTAAATAAAAAATAATGCTTATGCTTATGATGTAGGAGCTGATACTCAATCTAAAAATTAAAAGAATTAAAATACAAAAGGGAATGCTACAAAATAAGTATCATCTGATCCTTATGCATTTGATTTAGATGAACAACCTAAATAATAATAAAAGAAATATGATTATGATCTTAATTAGACAATAGGAAAGAAATTCAATAATCCATATGCTATTGGAGATCCTTTAAAAGGATAGGCTTAAAAAGGAAATAAAAATGATGAGATTGAAGAAGATATTGATGATTTCTAATAATCTAGAGATGATAGAGCTAAATAATCAGTAATTTAAATTATTATCATAGAATTAATTATTTACATCTGATGATGACTATTAAAGAGCAACCTAATCTTTGGGTGTTGATGAAAGTGTTGACTCATTAGCACTTGAAGAATATGATTATTATGAAGATGTATATCGTAAGAGATGATAATGATTATCAATACTTTAAATACATTTTTATATATAATCTTTATTAATAAATTTAATAATTCAACAGTTATTGATTGTAAATTTGAAATCTCTTATATAAAAATAAATTTATAAATGTTAAGTAACTTTTATGAATAATTATAAAAATAATAATAATTATGATGTTCATATTTATACTTATACTTAAAAACTCATTATTATTTATTAGTGTTATCATTTGGCTCAACAATTGTTTCTTATTCTGCTTATTTCTTTTTATATACTTTTTTTGCTTTCTTTTCAACAGGTTTCTCCACTAATAATGGATCTTCTATTGATTTTAACATTGAAATAGAAGTTCTTGATCTTGAACTTCTTTTACGAATTGGATCATCCTTTCTTCTTACTGGTTTTCCTTTTTTCATTATTGGAGTAATAAATTATTGTTTAGCCAATCTCTTTGTAAATAAAGCAACTTTATTTCTAATATTACCTGTTCCCTTTTTAAGAATAGTAACTTCTTTAAGATAAGGAGAATTTTATTTGACATTCATAAAAACATCAACACCACAATATCTGAATATAAATTTGAATGAAGCATCTAATGAGTTTGATCTTCTTTTTCCAACACATAAACCTTAGTAAGTATTCATAGTTGGTTCACTCATATTATGAATCCATTTAACTTAAATTACATCTCCAACTCTAAAATCAGGGAATGTCATAGGCTTTAATTATTGAATGGAAATACTTTGATTATTTGTAGTCTTTCAAATTCTTCTTTTTCTAATTATTATAACAACTTTTTTCTTGTTACAATTGGTGATGGAGGAATAATTGGCCATACTGTTTATTCATCATCCCATTATGGTAATCTTGGTCTTCTTGATTTGGGATAAGGAATTTATCTGGGTATGTAATTCTCAATGTAATGAGTCTTATCAAAGGGTGACCTCTTAGGTACATAGCCATAAACTATGTTGAATCTAGGAATAGTATTCACTAGTGATCTGTAAAATCCAATCATATATTTATATTAAATTATATTTATGCAAAAAATTCAAAAATTTATAGAAAACAATAAAGCAGTTGTTGCTATTGCTGCTGTTGCTGCTGCTATAGGTATTGTTGGAATTAAAGCATTAAATTCGGATAATAGAGGGAGTGGTAATAGTTTTTCTATATTTAGCTAAGATCTTGGATGCAAGTATATAAAAAGTTCCCTTAATTGAAAGATTAGGAGGTGAATAAGCAGTTTAACCTTTAATATCTTTAATATTTGATCGTATCTCAAATAATAAAGATTTGAAGCCACTATTCTAAAATGTTGAAAAGAGTGTATATTAATTTGATATAATTATTTAGAAAGTTTAATAGCATTTTAATGCTGTTGTTTTATATTTATTTGGAGGTAAACCAACATAAACATAAACAAATTTTTCAGATCATTGCAAACTTAATATAACAGAAGCTTAATTTGAAATAATTCTAAATCTTTTAGATCAAATTCTTAGATCTGTAGGAGTTGACAACAGAGAAATCAATGATGCAAGAGAAGCATTTTTAAACAAGAAATACTAAATTGTTATTCCAAATAAAAATGTTTGATAATTTTAAAATCAATATATAATACAATATATTTATATATCCTTTAAATAAAATGATATATATAAATGATTTAATTTCATCATTCTTAACATAAAATAGTAGATTGTATATTTTTGATTAAATTAAACTAAATTTTGTGTATATTTCATTATTTTGATATAAATTTATATTATTATTATTTAGATCTTATATATAAATATATTTGATTTATAAATCTTAATGTTGTTATAAAATCAATAATGAATTATAAATTTAAATGTATACAGTTATAATTGCTCATAATTATTTGATTTATTTATCTTTACCATAAATCTAAATATATAAGTAAATAACTACCATCTATTAGAATTAAATATCATATTTATTACAAATTAATTAAATATTAATTGTTAAACCTTTTCTTAATTATTAAGTAGATAATAAAAAATAATCCATCAGTTTTAAGACATTAAAGATATTTATTTAATTAGAATTGAGAATACTACTTATATAGTCAAAAATTTATTTGTAATATCCTTAGTTTAATAGGGAGAGAAGAATAAAAAAAGATAATTAATTTAAATTAAATGAAACAATAAAAATGGGAGTATTTCCTTGAAGAATTAGGAGAATCTAAGTACGAAGAGTTGAATGAAAAACATCTAAAGTCTATTGTCAAGTTGCCAAAAGAAAAAATGACATTTCTTGAATTATAACATTATTTAAGCAATGACTTTTAAGTGCTTTTTAATGAGGATAGCACAAGAAGTAAGTGGCATAAGAAAGATTAATATTTGCTGATTTGGTGTGTTGTTAAATTAACAGAGAAAAGAAACATACAATATAATGAATCGGTATTTATGAGGGCTAAGTTTGCATTATAGCTTTAAGAGGGTGTTTTTGAATACTTGTCTACTTTCCTAGGACTCTCTGCGGATTTCCTTTTAGAAAAATGGATGAGTCTATTAAAACAATCCTTAAAAGAAATGCCCTGGAAGCAAGAAGAAGATGAGATATTGATTGAATTAAGGAAGTATTGATTAATATTAAAGAAAGTTAATACCCAAACAAAGGTTGGACTTATATAGCGAAAGAATTTAATAGAAAAACTAAAAATATAAGGTATTAAAAGTAGATACGCGAAAGGTATAATAATGTCATTAATCCAAATATAAATAAGTAAATCTTTATTATATTCAATAGAAAGCCATTCACTCATTAAGAGAAATAATTAATCATGCTGAAAGCCTACTAATTAAAGAAGAATTGGGCAGGTATCTCAAAATTAATGCCAGGACGCACAGATAATAAAATTAAAAATTGTTATAACTCAATAGTCAAAAAAATTGCAAAAAAAATACATTTTGTATGTCTCAAATATATCTTAGGATAAAGCTAATCCCAAATAAGAGTAACTAATTTTAGAATATATATAACAATACAATACTTATGATCCTGATGAATTAGCTAATCAGATAGATTTAGATTAAAAAAATTAAAGTCTTATCAAAGTTGAACATGTTAATGAAAACTCCAATACCTCTAATAATCAGCATAATATCTCTCCTTTTATCCCAAGTCTTTAGACATTGCCAATCATATATGGCCATTATTATTAGAACTTATATTAACCTTAATATATCGGATATCCTATTTATTTTATTTAAAGAGCTGAAACAAGACAATTTTGAATTCTAATTGCTTTATTTAATATATAAGCAGAAAATGTAGACATTTTTTTTAATAGATCTTTCAGTATTTTTTAAATTTTCTATTAATTTTCATAGTTTAAAAGTTCTTAAATGGTCTATTCTTATGTCAAAACAAGTTTTATATGGATTCTAATTATATACCTTTAAATAATCTCATTTTTTTTTAATTCATTTCTATATTAGTATTAAAAAAAAAATTTATTCTATTTGAAATAACTCTTGAAAATTGATCACAGTTATATAGTTTAGACATTTTCGTATTTAAAATAGAATTGATTTAAGTAACTAAAAATCTTTTGGAATATTTCAGAAAATCTATTATGCTAGAGTTCTTTTATACTACATTAATACAATCACTTTTAATCTTCTTTTTCAATTTACTATTAGTATACTTTAGATTTATCTAAGGTAGAACATCTATTCTGATTAAAAAGGGGATTAGAAATGAACATTCAATTCATTATTTTTATAATTCAATATTAATTCTACAAAATTAATAATATGTCATTAATAAATTAATTTTCATTGAAATTTTCTTCTTCTTTTTTCATATAAAGAGATACTGCACCAACATGATCTCCTTCACCAAATGACTCTGAAAGAACATCAAATCTAATACTATTGAGTAGAATTCCATTTTCATAATGATGAGCTGATCTTAAATAAATTTTATATAAAGTAGAATTAATTTTATTATCATGATTTTCAACATATAAATTTTGATCCCCTGATTTTGGAACCAAATATTTAATGCAATTGCTTATTTATTAATTATTCTCAAACTTCTCAATAGAACTCATAACCTACAATATCTTATTTAAATACAAATGTTTAACAATCTTTAACTATGCTGCCAACTTTCTTATTTCTTAATAAATAATATAACTGATTTGTATTTTGTAAATAATGTAAATTTATTTCTAATATTTGAAGGAATTAATATATATATTTTCTGAAAATATTTATTTCATGAAAGTCTATACTTACTACGATTAATAGATAGTCTATTCCTGATACTTTCTTTAAGAATTAATATTTTTTCTATTTTATAATCTGGAATTCTATTTACACACGTTTAAGACTTTTTAGTTAGTAACAATAGATTTTCTCATGATCTTCCAATATAATTAAACGATTAATAAAATTGAAGATTAAAAATCATAATTAAAAAATTGTATTATTTTCTAAACTTAATTAGAATTTTCGCTTAATTTAATATACATATAATATAGATCCTTAATTGTTGGAATAGAATAAGCTCATATTTTGATCTTTAATTGGTTTATTCTTGATAAATAATTTCTAGCTTATACTTTTATGGTTTTTAGATTTCTTTTGATATTTTAGAGATTTCTATTTTGAGTAATTTTAGGTTTTATTGGATAGTCTAGTTATCCATTCTGATTTATACAAGGATAGGTAATAAAAATTTTGTTAATGAATAAATCCCATCCAAATAATATATCATATATAGTTTGCTTAAAGGTTCGTTATTTTACACAATTTAATAATATTTGAAGGTTTCCTCTCTTTTGAAATTGATTTTGTCAAAGTGTTATTTGTTAAATTATTAAATTAATGGAATCGAAACTTAATGAATTTGAAATTTTGAATAAATTAGGTGAGGGTAGTTTTGGATAAGTGTATAAAGTAAGACGTAAAGCTGATAAGTAAACATATGTCATGAAATAAATCAACATTTCAAAAATGAATGCTAGAATGAAAAATGAAGCTTTAAATGAAGCAAGTATCTTAGCTAAATTAGACAGTTCATATATTGTGAAATATTATGAATCATTTATAGATAAGTAATTACTATGTATAGTAATGGAATTTTGTGAAGGAGGAGATTTACATAAACTATTAAAAATGCAAATGGGAAGACCATTACCAGAAAATTAAGTATGGAGATTTTTTATTTAAATAACATTGGGATTGGCATTCCTTCATAAAAATAAAGTTCTACATAGAGATATTAAATCAATGAATATATTTCTATCCAAAGATTAAGTTAGGATTGGAGACCTTGGAGTAGCTAAACTATTAAATGATTAAAATAACTTTGCAAATACAATGGTAGGAACTCCATATTACTTATCACCAGAAATGTGTGAAGAGAAACCTTATAATGAGAAAAGTGATATTTGGGCTTTAGGTTGTGTAATATATGAATTATGCACTTTTAAACATCCATTTGAAGCCAATAGTCAAGGAGCTCTTGTACTTAAAATAATAAGAGGGAGATATGAGCCAATTGGATAAATGTATTCATAATCATTAGCATAATTGATAGATTAATGTTTGTAAAAAGATTATAGATAAAGACCTGATGCATTTAAATTATTATAATAATCAAGTAATTATAAATATCACATTAGACAGGTCTGATTTAATAAGCTTAAAACTTAAGAATGCAATTAAACTTAAATTAACCTCATCCAAATTCAAAATAAACATCATAAATCTAACCAATATAAACTCCTGTAATCAGCAAACCTAAAGAAATATAACCACCTTTAGCTACACCTGTTCCAGTATCTATAAAAAGTACTCCTCAAGGAAAACCTTTAAAAACAAAAGCTCCTCAATCTTCTTAAAATTTGTAAATAGAAATAAAAGGAAAATAAGAGGCTGTTAAAGATACTCCAATTGTTTAAAAAAAAATAGTATAAATTCCACCTTCATCTGCTCCTAATCAAGTTCCAAATTAAAAAAATGATGATTTTTATAAGGATTGGAGAGATAAGGTTTCTGAATTGCAAAAATAAAAATAAGATGATCGAATTATAGTTTCTAGACCTGAATTATTAAAAGCAGAATTTCAGCCTAATAAAATTCCTATAAATTCGTCTTAATCTAATAATAATCAATCCAATTAATAATAAAATATTTTCTCAAGTTAATAAGTATAACCTACTAAGAAACCTGTTTTATAAGTAAAAGCTAAGGTTTCAAATCCTAATTTAGAAGAAGTTGATAAAAAAAGAGTACGAAAAGGTGCTCCTAAAGAACCTGCAAGATAAGTCAAAGAACCTTTAAGAAAGGCTGATAATATTGAAATTATAAAAGAAACACCAAAATAAAATAAAACTAAAGGTACAAAATAATAAACTTGTTCATAAGAAGAAGTTGATATGGTAATGAATTTACCTGAATTTGTTGCTAAAGAAGAAAGTAATATAAAAGTATTTCAACCAGAAAAAGAAATTATAGATATAACTTCATTTGCTGATGAGATTCCAACAACTTTTGTTGAATCTCAAGATGATATGGAATCTAATAATTATGTACAATTTAGATCAGAATCAAATACAGTAAATAAATAGGATAGTTAAAATAATGATGAAAATTAATAGGATTCAGACAAAGGAGTAATTATGATTATTAAATTACTAGGCTTATACAGACCCAGAGGATTGTGAATATGAAAATGATGAATAAGAAAAGGATGATACTGCTGATTATGGAGATGAAATACCTATTTAAAATAGAAACATTCAAACAATTTAAGAAGAACCTTTTGAAGATACAAATTAATGCAATCAATTTATTGAACTCTGTATTGATAATAAGAAAATGGATTTAAATAAATAAATGTTGGAAGCTGAATAAAGAAAAATGGAATTAGATTAGTTCTTATAAATTAAAAGAAAAGAATGTATTCAGGATTTAGGATAAAAACTTTTTGAAGAAGTAATCAATTTCTTAAGGTCTAAATTAAATGTAAATTTTTATAAAGATTCTTTAGTCTTAAGAAGAGTTAAATGATAAAGATTAAGAAGAAATAGATGACTTGATTCAAAATAAGTTACTTAATACAAAAAATCCATAAATTATTTATGTAATATACAAAATTTTACATTTTGAAATAGAAATCACAAAGAGTATTGATAAAATTAAGGATCTATCTGAATAATTAATTAACTTATGATAATCATTAAAATACAGATAACTATTCTATTTATCATCTTAGAAATTACTAAAATCTATTAATTAAGAAGCGAGAACTATCTTTTTTTGACTTTCTCATCTAATATACAAACTCTTTTAATTTAAATTCACAAATAATACTTATTTTACCTCAATTTTTTTCATTCTATCAATACTTAAATTATAAATATTATTATTAAATTATTAATCTTCTAAAACAAAGAAACATCTTGTAAATGAATCAAAACTAGAATTTAAAAATTTAAAAGAAAATTTTAGCTTTTTAGATTTTTTACATTGAGGAGTAAAAAGTCTTTTAAAAAAGACAATATTTATTATAAGGATAATGATACTTCATTATTTCATAATTTAATAATAAAATTAATAAAATAATCATTTAATGGGAATAATTCAACCAAAACTAAATAACTTTTTCAACTTACAGATTAAATATCATTTATAGAATTTTGAATCTTATACAATAAAATTATGTGAAATCTTTGAAGGTTAAGATTTAAATCCATAACATAAAGAAGATCTTACAAAATTATTCAAATTACTATAAATATAATACAATGAAGAATTAGAAATTGATAGATATGAGTTTAGTATTATTATTGTAATGATTAAAATATAATTATAAGATATTATTTACTAAAATTACTTTGGAACATAAATTGGAACAAATATTTTGTTTAATAACTTAAACAGGAATTTTAACTTTTTAAGAATTTTATTGGTTAACACAATCATTTATAAGAGCTACATGCAAGGTCAATTTATTATCAATTCCAATTTTTGATTAAATACTTAAGCTTGTGTAGAAGATGTATTAATAAATGAGAAAAGATATTGATGAAAACTTAATGCTCATTGAAGTGATTGATTATATAAAAAGTAATTCTGAGATCTCTTAATTCCTATTATAATTCTATAAAATTTAAACCTATGAAAATGCTATACGATAATAGGAATTGTAATTATAATCCTATATAAAATTATTTAATTCATCAATAGGGTTGACAAGAAAATATGTTAATATTGACTAATTGATGAAGAATTGGAATGCGTGGAATACTGATAAATAACATCAACAATATTTATTATCTCTTATGTTGAAATAAAAGTAGAATAAATAAAAATAAACTAATTTTATTAAATTATCTTAATTTTTACTTGTAATATCTAATTATTTATCATATATTGTTAATGATATAGATAATACTAATAATTTATCAATTGATTTTATAACTTATTTAGTTTATGCATAAGAAGAAATTATTATTACTGCTGATAGATTTGAAAAAATTAAATATGCACTTTGCAAAGACAGATAATTTATTACTTTGCATATGTGGATGGATTATTAATGTATACAAGAGTGTAATAAGTTTGAATCCCAATTAAGATCTTTAGTTAGATTTTATGAACAAATTTATTCAAATAAAGATTTTAATCAACTAATATAAAAAATTTAAAAATTAGTTAAAAAAAATGAAAAAAGCAATCAAACTTAAAGTTAATATATCAATAAATTTTTATAAAATTGGTTACAAAATCCAGGTCTATATAATATAGGTAGTATTGAATTGAAATTAAAAATTGAACAACTTCTTAGCAAATGATTTAATATATTTTATAAAGATTAGCTTTCTTAAAATAAAAAAAATCAATTATAAAATTAATCAAAAGTGGGATTGAATTGTGGAAACTATTCTTTAAATTAAATTCTAGCTTAATGAATTATTTTAGTTCTTATCTTTTATATTTTTAAGAAACCTAAATAAGCTTAATTAATCTCTTCATTTAGTTCTTCAATTAGCTATTCCATATCAGAATTTTCTTAAAATAATGAATGGTATCTTGAAGTAAAAATTCTTAAAGGTTCTACTTAAGGTTAAGGTTCTAAAGGTATAATTAAACGATAAGTATCCTTTTCTATTTATTTTCTAATTTCATCAATTTAATATTTATTTTTTTTTTAAAGAAATTCAATGATATTGATATCACAAATATCAGTAATTTATGATTTTAACTATTTTAGATAGTCTCCACTTATTGTAATTTACTGAAGGGAATCCTAAGCAAATTCTTCAATTCTATTAATTTAATTCCTTGTTGCTGTTTAAACTTTGATATCCAAATCATTTAGTTTAGATCTATAATTAGCTGCACTCAAAGAATCTTTAATGCTTCGTACCCAATATTGAAAGTCAGTTTCTTTTAATGCTTAGAAAAAATATAATTTTCTTTCATTTTTAATTTAGAAATCAAATTTAGTACTATTCTACCATATAAAGAGTTCAACATTATCTAAACTGCTTAATTTTATTTTCTCTAAATAGTCTTAGTATTTGTACCTTTTTTGTCATTCTTAAATCCAAAATATGTTTAAGACAAATAAACTTATGTTACAACATAAATTCCTAATTTATTCTTTTTCAAAAGTTTTCCATAAGCTTTAAAATTATCATCTTCATTAAACTAACATTAATACCAAAATATCTGGGTTACTTTTATCCTTATATTTGTTATTTTTTCTAAAAATCACAAATAACAAATTTGCTATTATTATTATGTAAAACATCTTCAACTTTTTCATAATCCCATAGTCTTCTTTATACAGAACAATGTATTAAAACAAGATGCAAGTTTTATTTATCATCATCTCCATGAATATATTTCAATATATCACTAATAAGCATATTTTATTTGATGTCAATTTTAATTTAACTAGTAAAGCTAGTATCTACATAGATTGGTACAGAACGATTTACAGTAGTTGGTTGGGGCTTGGTTGGAATCCATAAAGTGAAAAATCCTTAATTCATATAATAATAATTTCCCTAATTTATAATAATAGTGACTCATTATTGCTTTTTAGTATTTTAAATCAAAGAAATTATAGTAATAATATCTCATCATTTTTAATAAGGTAATATGATTAGTCTTTTATTAATTGGATAGTTCTATAATAATAGAAATATCTCTAAACTCTTTAATAATTATATATGGAAAATGAGCTTGAACAATTTAATCAAAGAAATTATATTTGATTAATGCATGCATATTTTTATTACAATAATAAATTTATAAATTTTTAATTTAGAGAATACTTTTATTATGTCTTTTACTAATAATTGATAGTTTACTTTAAAACTTAAGTAGAAATTTATAAAATATATAAATATATTTATTATTAACGGATACTTGGGAAACAGAAATGTTAAACCAAAAAACCATCTAAATGATTCCACAAAATTACAATATGTTAGTTAAAGTTCTGTCTTTTATAAATAATGATGAAGGTATTATTTTCAACAAATATAATAGAAGAATAATCTCAATAAGAAATAGAAAAGAAATAAAAAGGTAAATTATTATCAATTATATTCAGTTTTTGAAATTCTAAGAACCAGTATGCAATTATAAGAAGTTGATGATAAAGAAAATGATTATGAGTCTGATTATATTCCTGTTATTTGTGAAGAAGCATGTCTTTCTTAATAAAGTACTCAAAAATCTTAACAATCTCAGTACTTAAGATCACCTTTATAAACATTTACTCAACATTTTTAAAATTAAAATAAAGGTTTTGGAGGAAGACTTTTTACTCTTACTGATGAAACAGAATATACAGTTGATGATCGCAAACCAACTCATACAAGAGGTCCAAGCAAAATATAAGAAATATTATAGGATTTATAAGCTAATGTAACTGATGACATTATGAAAATGGCAAATGATATCATTAAATTTACTGAAAATAGTTCAAATACAAATGCAAGTGCTTAATTTATTCCAAGTGATTAAAAATCAAAAAAACAATTAAGTGAATAAAAAATTAATTAACAACCAAGAGAAACAAATACTAATAATCTTAAAAATGGATTCAAATTATTTCATAAACAAAATAGTTAAAATTAACTAAATAACTCAAGTTTATAAACTAATGGTGAACCATAAAAATAAAATTAATAATTACAAAAAGGCACCAATTAAGTAAACACAATCAATTATAATTCAAATAATACTAATTATAATTCTAATTATAATACTAATACATCTATTTAAAAATGCAAATAAAAATCAGAGAGAAATTCAGAAGAAAATATGAAAAATAATAGCAATCATAATAATAATTCTAAATCTTCTAAATAAATTGTAAATACAAGAACTAGTTAATATTAGATTAATTGCAACTCTTCATAAAATTCACATCAACAAAATTCACCAAGTTAAGATGATCAAAGAAATCAATATTAGTTCTATTCTAATAAGCAAAACTCAAATAAAAATAGTAATCGAGACTCTGTTTTTAGTAAAAAAAGTAAATAGCATGAAATAGATGAATTTGAAGAGAATTTTCATGTAAATTCAGATAGTTTCAAAAATAATCCAAATTACAACCAAATTAGTTAAAATTTCTATGAAATTGTTTAGAAATAATTCAACTTCTCTCAAAATTCAGATGATGAATATTAAGATTAATAATCTATTGAAAATTAAACTCCTAATTTAAATATTAGTAAGAAACTAGAAAAAGATAACTTAAGCATAAATAATAGTGGTACAATAAACTAATAAAGTGATAAAAAATCTTATTAAGAATTTTGTGAACCTTGTTAAAAATCATAAGAAAGTGATTAAAAGGAAAATAATATTGTTTAGAAAAAGAAAATTAAAAGAAGAAAAAGGTCTAGAATTCCAAAAAATATTAAATATTTTTTAGATATCATAGAGGAATAATCAAATGATTATTATACTCCAGATAAATCATTATTGGAATCAAGTGAATGTCTTGATACAATATAATCAGTTCCAAATTTTGGAGAAAGTGAGCATCATAATATGAGTTATAGATCTGATCGTAAAAACTTTACAATTAGCGAAGGTAATAAAATAAAAATCAAAACACCTAACACATAAGATATCAAGGAATAATTATAATCTTCAGATTCATATGATCGTCCCAATAGCTAACTAATTAATCAAACCTTAGTGAATTTTGAGGATATTGATTAAATCTTGAATTAAGTTTAAGGTTATAAGGCTTTGCGATGCAAAAACTAAGAAGAAGAAGCAATTCTTGCATCTTGGAATAGAGTATGCAATGAAATTATAAGAAAAAATTTACTTCCAGTAACTTTGGATCTTGAGAGGGTACTTTATTTTACTAAATATTAGATATAAAATTAACTGGAAATTTAACAATAAAATTCGCATTGTTAAAAAAGATATCAGCTAATTAATGCTTTCAATAGAAATTACTTAAATCATACTCAAAAAACAGAATAGAATTCATTTGTTGAGAATTCCTGTATCATTGAAACTGATTAATAATAAATAGAGAAGAGCGAATCTGAAATTCAAGTAGACGATATTGATGATGCTGGGGTTGGATTACTAAATAAATAATTTAGTCCCAATTTTAGTGATGTTTGCAAAAGGATATAATTCACTAGTCCAGAGGAACCAAAAATACTTCTTGGAAAAGTAACTAATTATAAGGATTAGCAAAATGTCTAAATGTACAATACTAATTATGAATAATAATAATTGAATTATTAATTTTGAGTAATTAACTTAAACTATAATTGTTTTCTTATAGTTGGAAGTCAATGGAATAATATGGAAATTTTATTAAGAATTCTTTCTAAAAATAATGATCTGGCATATGTGGAAGATTCAAGATTTTTAATGATGTCTTATGATATTTATTATTATATTTCATATTTTTATCAACTAATCAATCGAAAGTAGTTTCGCCATTAGCTGACTAATTGCATAAAATAATATTATTACTTTCAATCTTAATGCATTGAAATAATATCTAGCTGCTGCATAGACTCCAATCAATGTATTTAATCCAACATACTTCATTCTAACTCCGAATGAATGGCTATAATTATGGTTGTTTTGGATCAAGAAATATGCTTAAGTGTAGATCTGCTTTCTCATTAAAATAAATTAATTAAATTATTAAAAATATTTTGAAGGTAAAAGTATTATGATATCAAACCTAATACTAATTATAATAATTTCATTGATGTTAAGAAATGAATGGGCTTTCTAGATTTTCTTTTATTCATAATTATGTTATTAATCATTAATTTAAAACTTAAAAAAAAATAAATATTCTCAATCATATTGGATGCTTATCAAACTCGTTTTTTTTAATTATTAATTCAATAAATGATTAAATTTGATCTAATTAAGTATATTATTTTTTGTATCTTATATATATTTATAAAAAGAGATCAACTTTTGTGTAAGAGATAAATAAGAATCTCTATTTATATCTAAATCATAGATAATTCAATTTATTTATTTTTAATAAGAAAATACATTTTTTGGTATTTCAAATTATTATTGAAAAATTACTGTCAATTTGTTGCAAATAGAATAGTTGAAGTTATCACAAAAATAGGGGTGATATTATACACTTATACATCACAATTTATTAAAACTCCATCCCCATTGTAAAAGTTACCTAATGGACTCTTCAATATTATTTTCTTTACAGAGAACTTCATAAATTTAATATTTAGAATAATTAGAAATATATTACTTATATTAATCTCTTAAAGCTTGTAAAATCAATAAAATTAATTTTTATAATCTCTACATGCCTTATATTATTCTTATATTTAATACAAATATTGAGATATATACTATCTATTATAAATATTAACTAATTAGTATTTGTTAAACAAAGAATTCAATCGAATGTATATGTATAAATTCAACTTTAAGATCTTTGAGGGTGGCAAAAAAAACATTAAACATTTTCATTTATACCATCATCAAAATCCACTCCTGGAAACTATCGCTTTTTCTCTAACATATCTGTTTTCATCAACTCAAAAAATTGATCAAATGTTAATGTTTCTCTATCCCCAATCTTAGTATTTAACTATGGAGCATCATAAGAGTCTCTGTAAAGTTTTCGAAGTGTTCCAGTCTATATTAAACCATTCTAAAATTTTGAAATTTTCATAATTACTTTTGGATCCAAAGAATCAAAAACATTTTTAATTCCTTCAACTTCTTTAATAGATAAACCAGAATTTTGTTAATAATGTTGAGCATTAAAATCACTTTAAGATGTGTTGTTACCCATTCAAATTATTTTATATTCAAAATAATAAACAATTATATTTAATACTAAAATTGAAATATTATTATCAATAGATAATGAGAATATGATACTTTCAAACTATCAAATCTAAAAAATTGTAAAATATTTTTGATAAAGTATGTAACTCTTAATGAAAATAATTAATATTAAAAAAATCAACATAATCTGCTAATTTTTAAATCATCAAAATCATTATAATATGGTAATTGTTATATATATATCAAATAACATGAATAAAAACAAAACAAATAGGATTAATGAAAAAATTCAATTTATTATACTTATTTATTTATTACTTATTAGTTCTATTTTTATTTTTATTTCATAATATCAATAATAGTTTTAATTGTTAATAATACTTTGATTTATAAAATTTGAAATTAATAAAAATAAAAAAATCGATACCGGGATTTGAACTCGGAATTACAGGGTGAAAACCTGTTGTTTTACCATTAGACTATATCGATCTTATTAATAAATAAATTTATAGAATTTTAATGATTAAAATTTTGGACTATAATATTAATTTATAATTCAAAGATATTCATATAAATAATATTAAACTCATTATTTTAAATAATCAAAATCAATAATAATAATTTATTCATTTGTACTTAAATAACAATATTTTTGAAAGTAATAATTAGTTATATCTGTAAAATTAAATTTACAAATTTCTTTATTTGTAATAAGTGCAAATCTATTTTTATTAAATGCTATTAATGGGCTTAATTCAGTACTAGAATATGAAAAAATAGTTGTAGGACTAAAACTAAGATTTACAGTTTATTATTAAACTTAATTTTTCAATATTATTATTGATTATTAATTAGTTGAAACAGCAATTAGTAATTCTTTATTTTATATAATTGGAATACAATCATATACAAATATTGGATTTTATTTATTTTAACTTAATTAATATTTATGTATTTAAGTTTTATTTTTTAAAACNGGATTAATAGAATGTTTAAGAAACATTATAGAAAAACAATTTTATTGTTTATCTTGTCCATCTATTTTTGCTTCATCAGATTCAGCTAAATAACATATGTTAGATAAAGGTATCTATGATTATATTATATATATTAGGTCATTGTTTTATGCCTAATGAACATTATGATGAACTTTGTCATTTTTATGATTTCACAGAAAAAATTAAAAAATTATTATAACTTGATGAAATTCCTGAATTAAGTGAACTATCATTTGAAGAAATTCTTGAATTAGATTCTTTAAAATCAGATTCAAGAATTTCTGAATTTGAAGTTGTAGAATAAACTCCAGAATAATAAGCAAGAAGAGCCTAATTGATGCATTATATAGATATCATAAATTAAAATAGAGCAAAAGTATTGCCAAATGGAGAATTATAATTACCAAATGGAAAAATGTAAAATCAATATTAAATTTGATAGTCTTGGCCATAGATCCTTAAAATAATTTTATGATTAAAGTCATGTTGTGCCTTTACCTTAAAAAAATAATCATTTGCCATTGTAATACTAAACTTAAGAGGCTATAAAGAATGTTGGAAATGATTCTATTTGAAAATAATTAATATTAAAAAAATCAACATAATCTGCTAATTTTTATATCATCAAAATCCTTATAATAAGGTAATTGTTATATATATATCAATTGACATTAATAAAAAAAAAACAAATATGATGAATGAAGAAATTCAATTTATTATACTTATTTATTTATTATTTATTACTTCTATATTTATTTCATAATATCAATAAAAGTTTTAATTGTTAATAATACTTTGATTTATAAAATTTGAAATTAATAAAAAAAAAAAAATCGATACCGGGATTTGAACTCGGAATTACAGGGTGAAAACCTGTTGTTTTACCATTAGACTATATCGATCTTATTAATAAATAAATTTATAGAATTTTAATGATTAAAATTTTGGACTATAAAATTAATTTATAATTCAAAGATATTCATATAAATAATATTAAACTCATTATTTTAAATAATCAAAATCAATAATAATAATTTATTCATTTGTACTTAAATAACAATATTTTTGAAAGTAATAATTAGTTATATCTGTAAAATTAAATTTACAAATTTCTTTATTTGTAATAAGTGCAAATCTATTTTTATTAAATGCTATTAATGGGCTTAATTCAGTTTTAGAATATGAAAAAATAGTTGTAGGACTAAAACTAAGATTTACAGTTTATTATTAAACTTAATTTTTCAATATTATTATTGATTATTAATTAGTTGAAACAGCAATTAGTAATTCTTTATTTTATATAATTGGAATACAATCATATACAAATATTGGATTTTATTTATTTTAACTTAATTAATATTTATGTATTTAAGTTTTATTTTTTAAAACATCTATAATTCCATTGTCTAATACTATTATTATAAATTAATCTATTTCTGAATTTATTACTTTAATAGATGTACAAAATATTTCAGATTAATATTCATAAAATTCTATATCTAGACTATTTATATTTCTTGTTTCTAATTGATTAGAATTTATAGAAAATAGTAGATCTTAATGTATGCATAATCTACAAAAACTAAATATATTCAAATGAAACAAATTTTATTTTGAAAATTCTTCATTTATAATATGAATCCATCCTTCTTTTGTTTAAATGATTATTTTATCTGATGTTGTATATATGTATTATGTTTCTTAAATTTCTAATTTATTGATTAATTTTTAAGCATTTTTAGACATTTAATAAACATATTTTAAATCTGCTATAATCCAATCATTTTTGAAGATGACAAAAGCTTTAATAGAGTCTAATCCAATAATAATTGTTATTACTAAAGAGTGTTGGTACAACAACTATTGCATCACTTTTGCTTTTCATATATTTTTAATTATATAAACAAAATTTTAATATAATAAATATCAATCATTATCTAATAATTCATAAATTTCATTAGTTTATGAACTAATTTATTATTATCCTTAAGATGAATTAATTGATGTAGTATTTTATTATCCATTTTATATTTCACAAATATTTTTGATTATTTTTCCTTTAAATAATTTTTAAAGTTCTGTTTTTCTTTATATTTCTTAATCTTCTAAGTCTTATAATTTTTATTTATCTTAAAAGGTTGATTATTCAAAAATATCAATATTCTCACTATAATTATGGCAATTAATTAATATTTCTTAAAATCTCTATTCTAATTGTTATATGTGTAATTAAAATCTTTTAGTATTTTGAATATATGAAGAATTAACAATTTTTAATTCTTCTTATAATGATTCATTTTTTTCAACTTATTATTTCAAAAGCTCTCTTAATTTCTCATTCTCCATTTGATATTCTCTTAAAAACCCTTCAACTTCTGCTTAGATATAGATTGGTTTTGATTAAGAAAGCGAATCAATTTACCTCTTTAAATCTATCACTTAAGCTTTTAATTTCTTATTTTCAGCGATCAACTTTATAATCGTAGCATTAGTTACATTCCTAATTTTGATTCATAATGGCTTTAAATGATATATTTTGCTTGAATGAATGCAAAATTCTTTCTAATTTACATTTTATAGATCAAATTTTCATTATTATTAATAATATTTTTTATACAATTACTCTCATGGAAGAAAGTATCACGTCTTAACATGTTTATTTAATTTATCGATATTTATATATAACATAAAAGTTTTATATGTAAAAAATTGTTAATCTCAAATAATTTGCATGTGCAAATTTTCTTTAGAAAATAAGAATTAAATTTTATTTTTTATGGAAGATTTTAATGATGATGACATCAGTATTTTTGTAGGAAAGTTTGAGAAAGAAAACTAGAATTCTACTCTAGACTCAATCATCAACTAAAAATAATCCTAAGGCTCAAACTGTAATAATATATTGAAAAATTTAGAAATAATTATCTTACAATAAGCAATTAGAACAAAAGAAGAATTAAACAAGGAAATTATCCCAATATTAAGTATTAATTGATATCATAAAAGAATATCTTTAGAAAAAAAATCTGCAATATGGAGATTTAGAAAAATAAAATTAACAACTAATAATACTTTAAGAATAATCTAAATAAGANCTTTATTTTATATAATTGGAATACAATCATATACAAATATTGGATTTTATTTATTTTAACTTAATTAATATTTATGTATTTAAGTTTTATTTTTTAAAACATCTATAATTCCATTGTCTAATACTATTATTATAAATTAATCTATTTCTGAATTTATTACTTTAATAGATGTACAAAATATTTCAGATTAATATTCATAAAATTCTATATCTAGACTATTTATATTTCTTGTTTCTAATTGATTAGAATTTATAGAAAATAGTAGATCTTAATGTATGCATAATCTACAAAAACTAAATATATTCAAATGAAACAAATTTTATTTTGAAAATTCTTCATTTATAATATGAATCCATCCTTCTTTTGTTTAAATGATTATTTTATCTGATGTTGTATATATGTATTATGTTTCTTAAATTTCTAATTTATTGATTAATTTTTAAGCATTTTTAGACATTTAATAAACATATTTTAAATCTGCTATAATCCAATCATTTTTGAAGATGACAAAAGCTTTAATAGAGTCTAATCCAATAATAATTGTTATTACTAAAGAGTGTTGGTACAACAACTATTGCATCACTTTTGCTTTTCATATATTTTTAATTATATAAACAAAATTTTAATATAATAAATATCAATCATTATCTAATAATTCATAAATTTCATTAGTTTATGAACTAATTTATTATTATCCTTAAGATGAATTAATTGATGTAGTATTTTATTATCCATTTTATATTTCACAAATATTTTTGATTATTTTTCCTTTAAATAATTTTTAAAGTTCTGTTTTTCTTTATATTTCTTAATCTTCTAAGTCTTATAATTTTTATTTATCTTAAAAGGTTGATTATTCAAAAATATCAATATTCTCACTATAATTATGGCAATTAATTAATATTTCTTAAAATCTCTATTCTAATTGTTATATGTGTAATTAAAATCTTTTAGTATTTTGAATATATGAAGAATTAACAATTTTTAATTCTTCTTATAATGATTCATTTTTTTCAACTTATTATTTCAAAAGCTCTCTTAATTTCTCATTCTCCATTTGATATTCTCTTAAAAACCCTTCAACTTCTGCTTAGATATAGATTGGTTTTGATTAAGAAAGCGAATCAATTTACCTCTTTAAATCTATCACTTAAGCTTTTAATTTCTTATTTTCAGCGATCAACTTTATAATCGTAGCATTAGTTACATTCCTAATTTTGATTCATAATGGCTTTAAATGATATATTTTGCTTGAATGAATGCAAAATTCTTTCTAATTTACATTTTATAGATCAAATTTTCATTATTATTAATAATATTTTTTATACAATTACTCTCATGGAAGAAAGTATCACGTCTTAACATGTTTATTTAATTTATCGATATTTATATATAACATAAAAGTTTTATATGTAAAAAATTGTTAATCTCAAATAATTTGCATGTGCAAATTTTCTTTAGAAAATAAGAATTAAATTTTATTTTTTATGGAAGATTTTAATGATGATGACATCAGTATTTTTGTAGGAAAGTTTGAGAAAGAAAACTAGAATTCTACTCTAGACTCAATCATCAACTAAAAATAATCCTAAGGCTCAAACTGTAATAATATATTGAAAAATTTAGAAATAATTATCTTACAATAAGCAATTAGAACAAAAGAAGAATTAAACAAGGAAATTATCCCAATATTAAGTATTAATTGATATCATAAAAGAATATCTTTAGAAAAAAAATCTGCAATATGGAGATTTAGAAAAATAAAATTAACAACTAATAATACTTTAAGAATAATCTAAATAAGATATCGCACAATTATAAGTAAATTATGATAATCTATAATAGGATTAAATTTAAGAAAAGAATTAGAAAAATGATGAATTAATGGACTAAATTTCATAGTTAGAAGATGAGATGGAAAAAATGAGAATTCAATATAGATATTTAGAATCCCAACAGCAGAATAAACTCTTATAAAACTAAGTAATTTCGTATTTAGAATTAGTAATTTCAAGGGGAAAGTTAATGGTTTTAGCAAACTTAAATTATCACTATTCAACAATAATTGTAAGATAAAGAGGATTTATTAAAAAAAACTGAAAAAGACCTTGAAGAAATGGAAAAATCTAAAAAGAAATTGGATTAGTAAAATAAGGACATTCAAAATTAATTAGACTTGATGAATTAAAGAAATAAGAGTATATATTAAAAAGATTTATTTAGATTTGATGAAAGAGTTAGAAAGGTATAAACCAGAAGTAACAGAGAATTAAAAAAAATAAACAATGACTAGAAATAAAACACTTGGAGCATTTAATACAAGAGAAATTATTTAAAAATAAAGATTATAAAATGATTTAACAAGTTAAAAGAAATTAGAACAAATTAAGACATAAGAAATAGATAATGCTAATAATTCAGATAATTAAGAGGAAATTGATACTTAATCAAAGACAACTTTAAAATAGGATAGCGAATAAGCTTAAACTTCTGTAATAAATTCTTAGATAATAATGGAGAAAGAACAAAAAATAGTTGAACTAGAAAAAATAAAAATTGAACTGGAATAGAAAATAATCGAACTGGAATATGAAATTAATGGAATTAAATCCAATAATAAAAAAGTTACATTCCAAATTAGTAAATTAGAGAAAGCAGTTGCTTTTGAAAAAGAATGTATAAATATCTATAAATATAATAAGAAAATGCAAGGTTATAAGAAGAAAAGGCAACGATTGAATAGGATTTAAGAGCTGAGATAGAAAAGAAGTTAAAAGAAAATATTGGATTAGTAAAATTTATAATTATTCATAGAAAAGAATGTCAGTAAAAATTAATTAAAATGACATTGGAGCTGGTCTTCTGAATGCAGATGAATCAAATTTAAAAGAAAAAAATCTTTAATTGTCAAGAGGTAATTCCAAGCAAATATATAGATCAATTTAGATTTACAACAAACAAAACAATAAAATGAAATCATTAGTGAGACATATGAAAAGCAAATTAGTTAATATAAAACTTAAATTGAAATATATGCAAAGAATAATTTAGAAATGGAAAATTAAGTTAAAGATTTATCAAAACGCTTGTAATTGGCACTGGAAGAAAAGGATAACTAAAAAATTTAAATAGAAAAATTAGCTGATAGCAAAAATTTGGATGGAGAATCTACTTTGAAAGAATGTAGAACAAAATTAAGAAAATATGAGAGTCTGTTGTAAAAAGCTAAAGCAGAAATAGAAATAAAAGATATCTAAATACAAGAATAACATTCTAATTAATTAATAGAAATCATCAACATTATAGAAAGTTATAATAAAGAGAATCTTTAGATTAATTAATAATTATAATAATAAATTTAGTTAGTTGAAGAATTGAAATCGTAAAAAGGGATTAAAAATGAAAATATTGATTAAGAGAAAATTAAATAATTAGAAGATTAAATTGAGAAATAGAAAATGACAATATTGAAATATAAAAAATAAATCGAATAACTTTAATTGAAGGCAAAGTAAGAATATTTAGTAATTAGTAATTCAAAAGTTGAATCTGAGTAGCCTAACCAAATGTAGAATATTAGTAAAGAGGCCGAATCAAAATAAAAGGATGAACAATAATAAATTATTGATACCCTAAATGGTCAAATCTAATAATTAACTTTAAAAACACAATTTTCAGAATAAAATTAGTTATAAAATGAAACAAAATTAAAAGAGATGCAATAATAAATTTTGGAGAAGGATGAATCAATAAAATATTATGAAAAATCAAATAGTTTATTATAAACTTTAATAATTGAAAATAAAAATCAAATTGATTAAATTTAAGAAAAATTAAAGGAGGAGGAATAAATTAAAAAAGAGAAAGAATAAATGATTCTAAGTTTGAAAGATTAATTATTAAATTAGGAAAAAGAAATTGAAAATTATTAATAAAAATTAATCAACTATTCTTAATAAAGTTTGGAATTAGAATAGACCAAAAAAAAAAATTTTGAAAGTGATTTTGAATTTAATCAGTAAAAAGAGAGCCTAATTAATTTAAATAATGAAAAACAACGATTACAATAATAAATCTCTGAATTGATCGAAAAAAATAATGATTAAGAATCCTTAATTTCTGATCTTTAGACTAAAAATACTAAATTAGAATAACAAAAGTCTTCATTAGAAGAAGAAGCTTTGGTTTAGTAATCAAAAATTCGGGTATAGGATTCACGATTAACTTAACTATCATAAGAAATTATCTTGCATGAATAACAAGTGGCTGAGCTAAATAAACAAATAGATATTTTTAGAGTAGAAAATAATACAAATAAATAAATTATATCTCAATGTCAAGATAAAATATAAGAAGAATAAAAAAATAATTTTAATTTGTAAAAAGAAAATAAAGATTTATAAATATAAAACGAAGAATTAAAAAAACTTATTTAAATAAAAATTAGTGAATCACAAGAATCTTAATATAATTTATAAAACATAACAAGAGATCATGAATAACTAAAAGAATAACTAGTAGTAAATTAATAAAATAATTTAGATTTAGAAAAAAAAATAAATTAGTTAAATAATATAAATGAAAGTGAATTAAACAAATTGAATATACATATTTTAAAAGAATAAGAATAAAATAAATAGTAATAAATACTTTTAGAACATGAAATAAAAAAGTTACAATTTTAATTAAAGGAAATTTAGGATTAAAAGAATGAATAAATGCTTAATATCGAAACATTACAAATATAAGAAAATAGATTAATTCAAGATTTGTAGTAAGAAAAATAAAATAATGAAAATAATCAAAATGTATTTAAAAAAAAAGAAGAAGAAGATAGATATTTAATATAAAATTAAAAATTAATAAATGATGAGTTAAAAAATGAAATAGAGTTAAAAAAGAATTAAATGGAATAGTTACAAAATAGTTTAAATTAAGAAATTGATAATATGAAATAAAACAACTAATAACTTATGAAAGAGAAAGAGGTGATAATAGAAGAATTTTAAGCAAAAGTAGGGAAAATGAATTAGGAAATATAAGATGAAAAGTTACAAAATAAATAGTTATAATAATAAAATGAGAAATTATCTAATGAATTTAAAGATAAAGAAACTAAGATGATCTAAGAAATTGAACATGAAAAATCTTAAAATCTATAATTATAATAATAAAATGAGAAATTATCTAATGAATTTAAAGATAAAGAAACTAAGATGATCTAAGAAATTGAACATGAAAAATCTTAAAATCTATAATTATAATAATAAAATGAGAAATTATCTAATGAATTTAAAGATAAAGAAACTAAGATGATCTAAGAAATTGAACATGAAAAATCTTAAAATCTATAATTATAATAATAAAATGAGAAATTATCTAATGAATTTAAAGATAAAGAAACTAAGATGATCTAAGAAATTGAACATGAAAAATCTTAAAATCTATAATTATAATAATAAAATGAGAAATTATCTAATGAATTTAAAGATAAAGAAACTAAGATGATCTAAGAAATTGAACATGAAAAATCTTAAAATCTATAATTATAATAATAAAATGAGAAATTATCTAATGAATTTAAAGATAAAGAAACTAAGATGATCTAAGAAATTGAACATGAAAAATCTTAAAATCTATAATTATAATAATAAAATGAGAAATTATCTAATGAATTTAAAGATAAAGAAACTAAGATGATCTAAGAAATTGAACATGAAAAATCTTAAAATCTATAATTATAATAATAAAATGAGAAATTATCTAATGAATTTAAAGATAAAGAAACTAAGATGATCTAAGAAATTGAACATGAAAAATCTTAAAATCTATAATTATAATAATAAAATGAGAAATTATCTAATGAATTTAAAGATAAAGAAACTAAGATGATCTAAGAAATTGAACATGAAAAATCTTAAAATCTATAATTATAATAATAAAATGAGAAATTATCTAATGAATTTAAAGATAAAGAAACTAAGATGATCTAAGAAATTGAACATGAAAAATCTTAAAATCTATAATTATAATAATAAAATGAGAAATTATCTAATGAATTTAAAGATAAAGAAACTAAGATGATCTAAGAAATTGAACATGAAAAATCTTAAAATCTATAATTATAATAATAAAATGAGAAATTATCTAATGAATTTAAAGATAAAGAAACTAAGATGATCTAAGAAATTGAACATGAAAAATCTTAAAATCTATAATTATAATAATAAAATGAGAAATTATCTAATGAATTTAAAGATAAAGAAACTAAGATGATCTAAGAAATTGAACATGAAAAATCTTAAAATCTATAATTATAATAATAAAATGAGAAATTATCTAATGAATTTAAAGATAAAGAAACTAAGATGATCTAAGAAATTGAACATGAAAAATCTTAAAATCTATAATTATAATAATAAAATGAGAAATTATCTAATGAATTTAAAGATAAAGAAACTAAGATGATCTAAGAAATTGAACATGAAAAATCTTAAAATCTATAATTATAATAATAAAATGAGAAATTATCTAATGAATTTAAAGATAAAGAAACTAAGATGATCTAAGAAATTGAACATGAAAAATCTTAAAATCTATAATTATAATAATAAAATGAGAAATTATCTAATGAATTTAAAGATAAAGAAACTAAGATGATCTAAGAAATTGAACATGAAAAATCTTAAAATCTATAATTATAATAATAAAATGAGAAATTATCTAATGAATTTAAAGATAAAGAAACTAAGATGATCTAAGAAATTGAACATGAAAAATCTTAAAATCTATAATTATAATAATAAAATGAGAAATTATCTAATGAATTTAAAGATAAAGAAACTAAGATGATCTAAGAAATTGAACATGAAAAATCTTAAAATCTATAATTATAATAATAAAATGAGAAATTATCTAATGAATTTAAAGATAAAGAAACTAAGATGATCTAAGAAATTGAACATGAAAAATCTTAAAATCTATAATTATAATAATAAAATGAGAAATTATCTAATGAATTTAAAGATAAAGAAACTAAAATGATCTAAGAAATTGAACATGAAAAATCTTAAAATCTATAATTAAAATAATAAAATGAGAAATTATCTAATGAATTTAAAGATAAAGAAACTAAGATGATATAAGAAATCGAACATGAAAAATCTTAAAATTAATAACTAATATAAAGTAAGGATATGGAAGGAAATGAATTATTACAAAAATATTCACAGCTAAACCAAGATCTTATTAATTTGAAATCTACTAATTAACAATAATAACAATAACATGATGTTAAAATAAATGAATTATAATAATAGTTGGATTAATTAACTCAGGAAATAGCTAGTTTGAAATAGTTAAATATTCAAAAAGAAGATTAACTTTTATAAATGAAAAATGATAATGATTAGTTAACTTAATAATTATAAGCCTAATTAAACTAAATAAATTAATCGCAACAAAGTTTATAAGTACTAACCAATGACTATCAAAAATTATTTCAAGAACATGAAATATCTATCAAAGAAAAAATTGAATTAGAAACTAAACTTTAGGAAAATAAAAATTTAATTTCATCATTGCAACTTGAAAAAGAATAATTATCTAATGAATAATAACTAATTAAAGACAGTTAAATAAATGACCTTTAAACTTAAATTTCTTAATTATAATAAACAATTCTTACTTAATAAAATTAAATTTCAAAAGATCAAGACTAATATTTGATCTTATAAAATAAATAACAAGATCAAAGTTTATAAATATCACAATTAACTGCTGAGATCTAAAAATTGGAGGAATAACGAAATGAGTTAAATAAAGAATTAGATATTTTAAAGGCTGAAAATTAAACAAATTAATAATAAATTTCATAACAATTATTATCAATTTAGGATTCAGAATAAAAATTAGATAAATTTTAATCTGATTAAATAGAATAGAATAAGTTATTAGATTAAAAAATAAACGAAATTTAAGTTTTATAATAAGCAAACTAAGATTTAAATAATGCAAACCATAAACTCATTGAAGAAAACAATAGCTTTTAAATTAAGTTTGACTAAAGTGTAATTGAGGTCAATAATTTGAAGGGAGAATGTTAAAGAGAAAAAGACAATAACCAAAAAATTTTAGAATAAAATTAGCAGTTTTAATTATAAATAGAATAATTAAATGAAGAAATTTCTAAATTAGTAAAGGAACAATAATAATAGGAGTTAACATAAAAATAAGATTAAAATACTTAATAAGAAGAATTAATTTAATTAAACTAAATTAAAGAAGAAAATGTTCATTTATTAAAAAATATAGAAAATTTAGAAAATACAAATAAACAATTTGAACAATAAATTATTTAATTATAATAAGAAATTTAATCCTAAACTACATAATTAGAGGAAAAAGAGTAACTAATAAATAATCTTAAAACTGAAAATGAATAAATGGAATTCAAATTATTATAGGATCAAAATGGCTAATAAGAATAAGATGAATGTATTAATTAAATAAATTCAGAGCATAAAAAATTAATAAATGAGAAAGAATTAGAGCAAAGCTCTTTTGAAGAACATAGCAAATAGGAAAAATTAGAATTAGAAAATTAATTACATTAAAATGCTTCCCTGATTGCTTCCCTTTAAGAAGAGATAAATTAATAAAATCATAAAATTGAATAGTATGAGAATAATGAAAAAAATTATCAATCACAGATAGAAGAACTTAAAGAACATATCTAAAATCTTGAGGATTTTTCATAAGTTTCGGAGAATCACATTTCTGAATAATAAGAGAAAGAATAATAATTAATTAAAGAAGTAGAAACCTTAAAATTAGAATATGAACAATTATCTCAATAAAATACTTAATTTAAAGATTAAGTTGAAGAACTTTAGTTGTAAAACGAAAAAACCATACATTAATAAACCGAATTAGAAAATTAAATTAAAGAATTGCAATTATAATAATCAGATCTCCAAAATACGATTCATCAATAAGAGGAAAAAATTAATTCACTTTAAATAGAGAGGGAATAGGATTAATAAAAGTTAATTGAGGCTGAAGAAATTAAAAAATAAAAAACAGAATTAGAAAAACAAATTAAAAATTAAAATGATGCCATATAAAAGTTATGCGAGTAAGTTGGATTGCTTGAAGATGAACATCCTAATGAATATATAGCGACTTAAAAAGCAAAAATGATTTAGCAATAAAAAGATATAGAAAGTTTAAAAAATGAGATTAAAAATTTATAACAAGAAATAAAAAAGTATTAAGAAAAAGAAGCTTAAATAAAAATTTATAAAGAAAAATTAGAAAGAAAATATTTAGAGCAAATATCTGAGTTATCAAATCATTAAGATGAAATGTTTGAATAAATAAAGGAATTGAGATCTAAAGCTTTAATGAGTGATGAATACCTCAAAGCAAACAAAGACCTCGAAATGACTCTTAAATTTAAATAAGATTAATTAATAAGCTATTCTTAAAAAATACAAGAATAATCCGTTTATATAGATTAGCTTGAACTTAAAGTTTAAGAACTAAAATAAACAAGTGAGTTTATGTTCACAATATGATATATTTAATGCAACCACAATTGAATAATTTTTCTTATTCTACCATTATTTAGCTTCTAATAATAACTCTTTCAAATTCGTAAATATTATTATAGATCATTTTTTTCAATTTCATATTTTCTCTATAAAAAAATTATGTCTTATTAAGGTTGTAAAATACATATGATATCAAATTGAGTCATATTATACAATCAAGTTTATATTATTATAAATAAAGAAGAATTCTAAAAATCGAGTTATTACATCCTAAGAGAACATAGAAATACTTTTGTAATATTTTTTTTTTATGTAATTGGTATAATCTTCATTTTTTAATTGTTAAATTATTAATTGTTTGAGAACTTTCTTTAATACAATTATCTTCAAAAAGATTATGATCAATTTTGCGAATAATTGAAATTTTATTAAAACCAATTTTTTTTGTTTTTAATATTAATATAAACTAATGGAACAACAAAATTCCATTTTTAATTAATTTACCTTTTAATACTTTAAATATTGAAAGATATAATGGTTGTTACAATTAAATCAAGATATATCTGAATATTTCTACATAAAACCTCATTTCCAATTAACAACTGTAATTGTTCTCTTATTCATAAAGAATTTTACTTTAATTATGACAAATTTTATGAGTATTATATTTTTAATCAGACTCAATAATTCTATTAATAAAAAATACATTGCCTATATTTATTTTAAATAAATAAAAATTCATTTTAGGTTTTGATCCATTCTCAGTATGCATTCCTTATGTGCATATTAGAAGTTTATAATTATTAAGATAGCGGACAAACTGCATCCCTTATTCCTAAAGATTTAAGAAAATTTAAAGATAAAGCAATAGAATAAATAGGATGTTAGAAAGAGAGGTCTAAATATATAGTAAAATTTTCTGTCTATTATTAAAATAATCATTTAGCTATCAACTGATAAAAAAAGGAAGCCTAGTATTATGAGTTTTTCAATTATAAAGGGCCTTTGTCTACTATTATTGAGGGTGCATTTAAGTTTAGATTAAATTACATGATCCCAATTATAATTAATATTGTAGTACCTTTCAATAATAAGGAATTATTTTGTTATTTTTTAATTAAATTAATTTAATTCATTATCAAAAAGCATTTGCATAAATTTGTTAATCATTAAAAATTAAATGATTTTTATGTAAAATTATTTAATCTAAAGGAAATTAAAAAAATCATCATCTAAAGTATATAATTAAATCTCTTTCATGAATGATATATAATTATAAACTTTAATTTTTCATCCTTTTTATTCAAGATGTCTTTTATTAATTTTCAATAAAGTTTTATTTATTAAATTAAACTTTTTTAAAGTATAATGAAAACTATTACTGAATTAGGTATATTCCTGATTTATTTTTTCAGAAGTTTTGATTATTTCTTCTCATAAAATCTTAAAATAATAATCATATTAAAAAAATGTGATCTTCTTTAAATTAATAATTTGTTTGAAATGTTAAAAGTTCATTCAAAGGTTAAGATTTATTAATATTATTGATAATTCATCATCTCTAAACTTTATGTCGAAGAATAGTAATTTATTCCTTATTTTGATTATTAAGATTTTAATTCTCATTTTTGTAATATTAAGGATATGAGAAATAGATGAATATATCAAAAATTTAAGTTAATGATAACGTAAGAGTTTAGATTATGTTAAGACTTTTATAATTTATTTCGAATTTAGTATTCTAATAAATTAATATTATATTATTACTGTTATGAAAAGTTTAAATTACCGATTTCCTCATTCAAGACAAGATTCTGGATAAATGAATATAACTAGATCATAACTACAATAAGGTTAATAAGTGATTAACGTGTTAAACAAGTATAGAAGTTATGTAAATCAAAAGCCGCTAAAATGAATAAAATTGTGATAGATCACCCGCTCCTGTGGTACATGGCTTACAAAAATTTGCTGTACCATCTAGCTAATAATCATCAGCAAATCATTCAAAGAAGTCTTCGATATCAAAATAATAATAGCCAAAATAAATTGCATTTGTTAACTACTTGATTCTTAAAGATAAATCATAACTTATTGAGGATGAAGAAAAAGAAAGTTAAGCTCTATTTTGTTATTTTTAGATATTAATGAGACAATCGTATAAAAGAATATGTTTAATTTTTAATTTGTTATTGGTATCGGTGGATTTGGTAAAGTTTGGAAGGTAGAATATAAAAAAACTGGTTAAATATATGCAATGAAAGAAATGTCAAAAGCTTTGTATTTTATTTAGTTACATTTTTAGAATTATTGCAAAAAAAAGTGTTAATTCAGTTATGAATGAAAGAAACATATTGAGTAATCTAAAGCATCCGTAATTATTTAATCAAATATAGATTTTTAGTTAATATATATTATGCATTTTAAGACCGTGAAAATCTTTTCTTGGTTTTAGATTATATGCAAGGAGGAGACCTAAGATATCATATTGGTAAAATGAGAAGATTTTCAGAAGATCAAACAAGTATAAATTTATTTGAAATTATAGGATTTTTTATGGCTTGCATATTTTTAGGATTAGAATACATACATTCTAAGAATAGTCTTCATAGAGACATTAAACCAGAAAATTTAGTGTTAGATAAAAATGGTATAAATTAAAAAGTAGATTTAGGTTATGTCAGAATAACTGATCTTGGAATAGCTAGAAATTTAAGGCCTGATAATTCATTGGATACTTCAGGAACACCTGGATATATGGGTATTATTATTATCTATATTATTAGCACCTGAAGTAATGTGTAGATAGAATCACTCTTTTGCTGTAGATTACTTCGCTTTGGGAGTGATTGGATATGAATTTATGTTAGGAAAAGTAAACTATTTTTAATTAATAAATTAGAGACCTTATACTGGTCGAACAAGAAAAGAGATTAGAGATTAAATTTTAGCAAAATAAGTTTAAATAAAAAGATCTGAGATACCAGATAATTGGTCATTAGAATCAGCAGATTTTATAAATAGAGTATAATTGATTATATGATTAAAAGCTAATACAAAGAAAGCCTGCAAATCGATTAGGATTTAATGGTCCTCATGAATTGAGATAGCATTCTTGGTTTAAAAATTTTCCATGGTAAAAATTAATGAATAAAGAATTGAAATCTCCATATATTCCTAATGTATTCAATCTATTTATATTAGTAAAATGAAGATAATTTTGATGCTAGATAAATATCAATGGAGGATGAAGAAAATAATGAGCTAATTTAATAAAATTCAATTGTACTAAGGAGAAATTCTATATAATGTATAATTTTAAATCTAAAATAGCTTAATTTTCTGGATATGAAATGGATAATTTTAGTGAAAAACAAAATACATAGTTTAATAATTTTTGATAATCATAACATTATAAATCATAAGTTCTTATTTGTAAATTCAATCAAAATAATTATGAGACTTTCTATATTGAATAATTAAAATTAAGGAATTATAAATTTTTATTTTAATAAAATGTCATTAATTTTAAGTGATTTGATCAATCAGTCATTAGACAAAATCAAAAAGACAATTACAAAAAAATAATTTGAATTAAAATAACACATAGAAGAAGCTTAGTGTAAATAAATTTATTATTAAATAGAGGTCAAAGATTATTATGATGCAAATCACTTAATAAAGGTGTATTAACTATGTATTGAATCAAAATAAGTTAAATTGATTGAATTGGCTTTATTTGATATCAAAGTAAGTCTCTCAAATATTTTAGAATATTGTAGATTGGGGTTTTTTAGCAGGAGAACAAATCATAGGAGAAAAAAGAGCAATTGAGATAACTTTAGAGTTGGTTATGTAAACTCAATTAGAGAAAGAGGAGACTGTTTAAATCTATATGATAAAAGCAATATAGGCAATAATGACTAATAGAAAGCATCATATTTATGGAGAAGCTGTCACAAGGATTTTTTCACTATTAATAAATCTACATTCAGGTAAATAACATGAATAGTTTGATTAGTTTCAAAAATAGCTGCAATTATGAATGCTAGTAAAGAGGCTTGCTAGAAAATCGTTAGTACTTATTTTTCAAGACTTGAAGATTATGGGATTTTATCAGAAGAGGAATATCAATAAGCAATTTAATAATAAGGTAATTAAGGTTTGCTAGTTTTTGGTAAATGTAAAGCCTTAGTTAATGCTGAATAATATATGAAATCTTTATTGATATCTATGGTTGATGAAGTTTAAATATACAGTGAAAGAAGATTGATATATGAGAAATAATTAGATGATTTAAATAAAATGAAGGTGATTGATTTAAATTTACATGAACCTAATTTAAGAAATGTAATCATCGATAGAAATTAAATATAAATTAATTTAGTAAATGAATTGAATATAAAAAATGGAAAATTTGGATGGTGTGTTGTTTGCAGAAAATAAGCATCATAATATTGTAAAGATACAAAAGTACCAATATGTAGTAAAGAATGCAAATTAATACATTTAAATCAGATGTTTAATTTTTCTTAATCTCATTAGCATTCTACATTTAGTGAATAATATGTAAAGAATGCATATGAAATTTTAGAAATGCTTTGTTAATTAAGTCAAAAAGAACCTTAAAATCCTTAATTAGCATAGATGATTATTAAATGTAAAGTTTTATCTTTGGAATTAATCTATGAAGCTTTGGTTTAAAGCGATGTAATATTATAGAATAAACCAAATTTAATATCAATATTAAAAGATTAATTATTAGAATCATTACTTAAGAATTCTCTTTCTACTGAGAAACATTTATTAATTTTGACATTAAATATTTTCATTTAATTGATCTGGAAAGTAAGAAGTCATATGAAAAAAGAATTAGAAGCTTTGATTGAGAATGTATATTTTAAATTTTTGGAGAGTAGCAATAGTTCTTTTGATCATAAATAGTACACTTTAAAGGTTTTCAATAAAATTCTTACTCGTCCAAAAGTAGTCATTGAAATATTTGTAAATTATGATTGTTCAGTAGGTCAGAATAATTTACTTAAGAAAATTCTTGATATGCAATGTCGTATTATCTAAGGAAGATTTAGTAAACAAGAATTTTAAGCTTCTATATCTGTAAATCAAGAGATATATCTTAAAGCATTATGTTTAGATAATTACTGTGGATATGTAAGAAGTTTAAAAGAATATTGTGAATAATATGAAGATTCTCAAACTGTAGTTTAAGTTTAATCATTTGATGAATAGGAAGATGCAATTATATAATAACAATAATTATCATAGGATCCACTTGAGAAATAGAAATAAATGAAATTAGAAATGAATAAAGCAGTTTAAAAATTTAATTTTAAACCTGAACATTGTATAAAACATTTAATAGCTTGTTAATATATGGAAAACAGAGATCCTAAATTATTTGCTTAATTTCTTTGGGAAAATAGAGATTTAAATAAAGATAAATTAGGAGAATTATTTGGTGGTTCAAATGATTTTGATTAGAAAGTGTTTTCATTATATGTAGATTTCATGAATTTTAAAGGATTATAAGTAGATGAGGGTTTGAGATATATGTTAGAATTCTTTACATTACCTGGAGAATCATAATAAATAGATAGAATAATGGAAAAATTTGCATCAAAATATTGTATAGATAATCCTGGAATTTATTAATCAGCATAAGCTGCTTATACACTTTCATATTTACTTATGATGTTGTAAACTGATTTACATAATGAGAAAAATCTAGATAAAATGACTTTAGCTCAATTTACTAATTTAGCTAGGGGAATCAATGATGGAGAAAATCTACCTTAAGAAATGTTATAAGGCTTTTATTTAAGGATTTAAAAAACTCCTTTGGCTTTACATGCAAAAGAATAAGCTAGAAGAGCATTAGAACAAGCAAATTAAGTTGATTAAAGAAAGAGACACGCTATGCTAGCTAAGGAGGCAGAGGATGCATTAAAAAAGTGGTTTAAAGAGCATCCAAATTAAGATGCATTCTTTTATGTTAATTCAATTGAACATGTAAAATCTTTATTATAATAAACATGGAGTGTGATATTTGCTTCAATAAGTGTATTTTTAGAATAGACAGAAGATCAATAATAAATATTATTATGTTTTGAAACAATTCAAGCATTTATTTAATTAATGGGCAGATTCGATTTAGATGAAGAGAAAGATACATTTATAAGTTTTCTATATAGATATTGTACAAATATCCCAAGCACTTACAAATAAATATTAGGAGTACAAACATTGATAAAAGTAAGTCTACAATCTGGATAATATTTACGTAAAAGTTGGAAGATAGTATTACAACTAATATCAAGATTAGAATAATTACATCAAGTAGTAAAGAAAATAAAAGTTGATTCACCTTACAAAGAGAATTATAATTAAGAAGACATAATTAGTATTGAAAGATTGTTTTAATAAATACAATATGATCAAATTGATAAAATATTTAATAGTTCAATTAATTTGGATTCTAACTCTATTTTAGAATTTATAAGTGCATTGTGTGAATTGTCAAAAGAGGAAATCAAATACAATAGAGTATTCTTATTGAGTAGAGTGATTGAGGTTGCTGATTTTAATATGAATAGAATTAAAATTATTTGGTCTAGAATGTGGGAAATAATGAGAGAGCATTTCCTTGAAGTGGGTTGTCTCAAAAATGTAGATCTTGCAATATTTGCAATTGATTATTTAAAATAATTGAGTTGTAAATTCTTGTAATAACCTGAATTAACAAATTATCATTTCCAAAAGGAGTTTATGTTACCTTTTGAATAAATATTTAGTCACACTTAAGCTTAATAGATGTAAAAGATATAATTGAGAGAATATTTATTATCTTGTATGTGTATGATTACAAACATTTGTTTCAATTCGATTAAAAGTGGTTGGAAGATTATAATGAGTATAGTTAATCAAGCTCTATAAGAGGATTAATAGTAATTGGTTAGATTATGTGTTTAGATTACAGATAAAATAATGGAGGATGTAAGCAACTAATAAGTTTATTCTGAGATTTATATGGAACTTATTTAAGCATTAATAAAATTAATCAAAAACAAGGATGTAAATATAGTTTCAAATTCAATAAAATAATTGAAAATATTGGTTGATCACATTGTTTTGATTAAAAGAAATGATAATAAATATTTAGATTAATTATGGATTCCAGTTTTGTCAGCTCTCTCTGTTTTATATAGTGATGAAAGAGTAGCTGTATAATAATAAAGTGTTAATACCTTATTTGAATTGCTCAAAATTCATGGGGCATAATAATGCAATGAATTTTGGAAGATGATTCTGAGAGGGGTGATAAGACCATTATTTGATGAAATATAATTTTCAAAGATACAATTTACAAAGTAATATTAAACAAAATAGTAAGTAATCTCAACTTGTAAAATGACTTTTGATTTATTTACTGATTTAGTTGTTCTTTATATCTAATAAATGTAGACTTGTTTAAATGATTTAATTGATATATATATTTAGCTAGTGTTGTAAACCTAAGATGTAATATTTATAATTTATTTTAAGTTTCTTTCAACATTATGTTTAGATTCACTTAAAACCATAGTTTAAAAAGGAGGACAATCTTTTACAGAAGAAAATTGGACTATTGTGATTTAATAAATCTAACATCTTTTGTAACAATGCTCTCCTAATGAATTATTTGAGGCATATAATTTGGATGAAGATTTTTAAAAGCCTTTGGATGAATTATTAAAAGAGGAAATAAGACCAAAAAAGTTTAGCTTTAAAATTAATGCATATGAATGCACTTCAAAATAAGCAATTCAATAGAAATGCTTAGAAATATTAGAAGTTTAAGCTATATAATTTAATAATTCAATATCCTAATAAAATAAAGATTAAATTTTAATGATATTCAATGAAAAATATTAAAAATTCAAGAAATTTAATATTCATTTATATATGAGATACTTTCTTGAATAATGGGCTATGTAATGGAATAGAGTTAAAAATGGTCCAGAAGAATTAGATGAGTTTTCTGATAATCAGAATATGAATAATTAATTAAGTTTTATAAATGAAGAATTTATCTCAGCAAAAGTAATAATTTAACTCACTTCCTAACCATTAGATTTTATTGATATATTGATTTAGAGATTCACTGATGCATAAATAGGATTATAATTACCTGTACATAAACTAGAAACTTTAAATGGAAGCTTAGAATAATTAAGATATACTGAATCCTAAATTATTATAAGTAAGTCTTAAGTTTTATTTATGGAAAATGTATTTCCAATTTTAAAGATGAATTTATAATAGAAAATAGTTAGTAAATGGTTAATTTAATTATTGAAATTAGGATTAAATGCATAAAATGTAGAAAATAGAGAGTATAACAAAGTTTTAGTAAATTTATTAGAAGAAATAATAAATTGTGAGAATAATTTATATTGAATCTATTAAATAAAAAAAAATGTATTTCAAATTTATTAATATTTTGAAATTGATTTATCAATCTTTTTTACTTTTGAAATGATTAATATAATATCTAATTTCAAATAGGATATGTAGTTAATTAAAAAATTATCTTTTTTTTCAATTATATATATTTAATTTATACATCAATGAATGTTTACGTCGTTGGAGTTGGAATGACGAAGTTTATAAAACCTGGTCGAGATGGAAATCCTGATTATCCTGAAATGGCAGCTTAAGCTACTAAAAGAGCACTAAGAGATGCTAATATTCCATATTCATCTGTATAAGTAGCTTCTATAGGATATGTTTATGGTGACTCAACATGTGGATAGAGAGCATTATATGAAGTTGGAATGAGTGGAATTCCAGTATATAATGTTAATAACAATTGTTCAACAGGATCTAGTGCCTTACATATGGTGACTTAACTATTAAAAGGAGGACTATATGATTGTGCATTGGCACTTGGATTTGAAAAAATGGAAAAAGGATCATTGAATATGAAATTTCCAGATAGAACTTAACCTCTTGATAAGATAGTTCTAAAAACAATGGAGATGGGAGAACAAAGCACTGCTCCATTTGCACCCTAAATATTTGGAAATGCAGGAATTGAACATATGAAAAAATATGGTACAAAACCAGAACACTTTGCACTTATAGCATATAAAAACCATTTACATTCAACTAGAAACCCATATAGTTAATTCAGAGATAAATACACTCTTTAAGAAATAATTACATCACCTAAGATACATGGTCCATTAACTAAACTTTAATGTTGTCCAACATCTGATGGAGCAGCTGCAGCTATTGTCTGTACAGAAAAGTTTATGCTTTAACACAATCTACAAGATTAAGCTGTGTAGATTTTAGGGATTACTATGACTACAGATAGTGAAAAAACATTCACTGATTAGAGTTTGATGAATTTAGCTGGATATGAAATGAGTAAAAGAGCTGCTTAATAAATTTATTAATAAACAGGAGTTAAACCTTCTTAGATTGGAGTTTGTGAATTGCATGATTGTTTCTCAGCAAATGAATTGATTACATATGAAGCTTTAGGTCTATGCGAAGAAGGTAAGGCTGGAGATTTTATAGATAAAGGATATAATACTTATGGAGGACGTGTAGTTGTGAATGTAAAATATAATCTATTCTTTTAAGCCTTCTGGTGGATTAATATCAAAAGGACATCCATTAGGTGCAACTGGTTTAGCTTAATGTTCAGAATTATGTTGGTAATTAAGAGGAATGGCTGAAGAAAGATAGGTACCTGGATTGTAATATGCTTTATAACATAATATTGGTTTGGGAGGTGCTTGTATTGTTGCTCTATATAAAAAATATAATACAAAATCAGGAAGACCTAGAAAAGATCAAACTTCAAATCCTGATGTTCTTGAAAAATTAGAAAAAGAGTAACCAAAATTATGATTTGATACATCAAAATATAGCATAATTTATACATATTTAGTTTACTTAAAATTTTCCTCTTAAATTTATATTTTAAAAAGATGAAATTATGAGTTTTGAGAATATCAAGATATTAGTTTAATTATATAATTCAATATTACAAATCATTTACTAAATATTATGGTATATGTTTATATGTTTAATTTGTATTAAATTTTATAGTATATCTTTTAAATATTATTACAAATCAACTAATAATAATAATAATAATATTTTACAGATGATACTAATATTAAAAAAATATATTGCTATGTTCAAAATTATCATATTTATAATTTTATTCTAAAATAAAATAATGAATTGATTAAGTAGAACCTTATAAGAAAGAATTAATATAATATAATATTATATTTATTTAAATAAATAAAAGATAGAATGAATTGTTATAAATATGAAAACTGTATAGATTTATTAATGTGAATCAATCAGAGGCGTTTTTTAGTAATTTAATAAAAACATCAAGTATTGGATCTATTGGATCTGATTCATTATTTGAGATAATTTTTTTAATTTAATTACCAACATCTTCAATTTCTTTTTGTTCAAATAAAGGTTTTTTATATGATAGCACAGATTATAAATGATCCTAGTCTTTAGTCAATAATAATTGATCTAAATATATTTAAGTTTCTTACATAAAAAATCATCCTCATCACCTCTTGTAGCTCTTATAAAATGCTCTTTAGTTAAGAACCCATAATTTCTGCATTCAATACATTTACATTAATCTGAACAAGGTACTTTAGCTTGAAAACATTCGCAATATTTTTTCATACAACCACTCTTTTTACATTGACATCCTTTATTGTGTTTTCCAAAATTTAATGGATCTGGTTTTGAATCAGAAGTAGTTATCTTAGGTTAAAAGGCACTTGGATTTTTTTCTAATGTGTATTACATAGCCTTTTATCTTTATTTCTATTATATTATTGGATGTTACAGCATTAGATGAATTATTAAAGCAATTATGACAATGACAATTATTATCACAAAATACTTTGTTTTGATAACATTCACAATAGAGTTTTATGCATTTTGAATTTTTACAATTACATTTCTTTGATGGTCCCTCTTCAAAAACTTAATCAGATTCTTCCTCTGACATTTCTACTTAATAAATTATATGTATAAAATTGATAATTAACACACAAAATTTGAAAATGCTTTAAACATTATTATATAGAAAATAAAAAATGTCTATAGATTTATCAAAGAAATTTAACTAATAAGAGACTTATTAGAAATCAATTGTGTTTCTATAAATAAGAATCAAACTCTTATATTTTATTTTATATATTCTTTCTAGCCTTATTTGTTTCTTTCATTTTTTATTTTACTTGTTAATGAAATTGTTAGATATAAGTATCTTCAATAGGTTTAGCACTAAACTCTTCCAATGGATTCATCGATTGAGGATTCGATATAAGTGATTGATTAACTTCTCTTGTAATTTGATTCTATATAATACTATACATTTTCTCAAGTGTATTATCTTTCTTAGTAGTTGTACTCTAAGGTTGTTTATTATATTCTTTATCTAACTGATTTTTTCTTATGAATTCTTAGATTTATTGAGAATAAGAAGGTTTCTCACTAGGTTTAATAAGAATTGATATTGATTTTGGTAGAATAGCTTAGTAATTTGGTTCATAATTAGGAAGAGAAGGCTATAATTTCTATATTTTACGATTATGCTTTCTTAATTTAGATTCATGAAATAAATAGCCAAGATTCTTACCCTTGTCTACATTACTCATTTTCCAAACAAATTTATCTTATGTAATACTTGAATTCAGTTTTTCAATCATCTATTCTAAAACAGGACTCATAACTTTAGTTTCTTTTTTCCTTTCATACATTTCTAAAAGAGCTTTCTTTTCCATCATATCTTTATATTACTATGCTTTGATTTATTCTTCTGGAGAAGGTGGTTACAAGTTAACAAGAATAGATAAGTCTAAATTATGAGCACTATTTTCTTTTTTATGTTTCAAAAGAGTATTTTATTAAGTTGATTAAGATGGTTATTATTTAGTTATTGATGCTAGACTTTAAATATGTTTGATTCTAACTCTAGTATTCAATTAGTTAGTAGATTTTGATTTTCTTTTGGTATTCAATAATGATCCAATATGATCCCTTTCTTATTTATATGGAAGAAATTAATCATCATCCTCTGTTTATAATTCATTTATATATCTAATAGCCTTCTATCTCACTGACTCTGACTGCATATTATAAAATCAATATACTAATTTTATTATAATAGCAAAATACTTGATTAAATTACATTTTATTAAACACTATCTTTAAATATGATATTGAAACTTTCCCTTACAATAGCATATTAATTTCCTGTTAAAATATAATATTGATTAATAAATTGTGATAATAGTCATCTTTTATAAACTTTCATTAAATTAACATGAATAATCTTAATGAAATATAATACAGAAAATAAAAATGCTAATTTAATACTTAAATTTTGCGAATTTTATTATAGAATACCCATAAAAGAATTATTTTATATTTTTTTATAAATTTAATAAAAAGTAAAAGTAATTTCCTTATTAATCTATTTTTTTAATGTATAATTTATTATGACATAAATATTTTTCTATTAAACTATTAAAGAATAAAACTGTTTGATTGGAGATAGTATATAATGTATATCTTTGTTAATAATTAAAAAATAACTTTTGAAACAATAGTTAATAAAAAGATAATTTTTATAAATAATATTTTTGTTGATTTTTTGAATTATTATAAGTTCATATATTAATATTCAGACCTCATAATTTAAAAATTGATAATGGATCTTAATGTATAATAAAATGTAAATTTTTATGTTTACTCAAATTTATAATAAAATACATAGTGTTTATCATTCAATATTATTTGTAAGTTCTTCATTTGTTATACACAATTAATCTGGTTGATTTAATTCATCTTAAAGTAGGAGTTTATTATGACTGATTAGAACCTTTTAGAGAATTTTGTTATCTTTCATAACTTTATAGTTTCTTTTCAAAAGTGAAGAACAAATGTTATGTAAGTAATCACAATTTTAGGATAGCTATAATTTATTAATAAATTTATAGTTGTTACTTAATTGAGTTAATCTGAAGAATCATGTTATACAGGCTAATTTATAGGTATAAGTTCATTATGTTATTTTCGTTTAATTTAATTAAGTAGATCCCTAATTAATTATATTTATACTTTCTTCCTTTTTAGAAATATTCATTTTTAAATTCATTGACACTACCCCCTCTAGATTTATGAAAATCATACATGTTTAACTAAATGTAATAGTAATTACTACTTATCTAATAAAAGAAGAGAAATTTTAATGCTTGAAGTGGATGGGTAGAACAATCGATGAGAATTGACTTATATTCTTGACAGTAAAAGATAGTCCATCTTGATTCCAACTAACTATATCTTCATACATATTATTCTAAATATGTAATCTGAGATACTTCTAAAATGTTGTATGTCTTGAGAATGAAACTAGAAATTTAATTCTTCATTTATAATATAAATATTTTAATCACATAATTCTTGCTGTTTTTAATTTATATTCTGCATACATAACAGGTTATTTACTAGGTTTTGACATATGAGTTTTTCTTGAAGAATTTTCTTTTGTTTCATATTAAGTTTTAATACGTTCCCATCTATCATTTTCAGTACACACTCTTCTTTCAGTAGATTTAGGTCTTTCTGAAATGCGATTATCATAATCTTTTTTCATAATCATAGCTGTAGTATAATTATTTTGATATGATTTTGTTTTATTATGATAAATACTTAAATTAGGTTTACGTTCTATTGAATTAATTGGTTTATCTACTACTGATTTTATACTTTGATGAGTTCTAACTCTCTAAGTTTGTTTAGTTGGTTACTGTAATTTATTTAATAGATGATAAGTAGTAGTGATTGGATTATGTTTATTATTAATGATCATTTCTTTACATTTTTCACTATCAATTCCAATTGATTGTAATTATTTAATTATGTTTGAATTGATTGCCAAAGTGCGATGAATTTAAATAGAATAAGAGTATTTACTTATAAAATATAAATATGATTACCTTACAAAAGGATGCATCTTAATTTTGGCAATGGTAAATCTATTTAAAGGGTTCTTATTCAATAATCCTTATAATAAATCTATTACTTAAGCACTCAAATGAGAAGGTTTTTGAAAATCAGAATGTTTAATCTTCTCATAAAGTTTTCTTGTGTTTTAATCTTCAAAAGGTACATATCCACAAAGCATAGCATATAGGATTATACCACTTGCCCAAATATCTGTCTTTATACCTTAATATGAAATGCCTGAAACCATTTCTGGAGCAGCATAACAGGGAGAACCACAAGGAGTTGATAATTGATCTGTATATATATTACTTAAACCAAAGTCAACTACTTTTAAGATGTTATTTTCTAAGAGTAAATTTTCAGGTTTAAGATCTCGATGAGCAACTTTAAGAGAATGTAAATATTCAATGGCTTCAATAATTTATGAAAAGAGTGCTGCAGCTTCATTCTCTGAGAGTCGTTTATTTTTAACTATGTGTTGGAATAGTTCACCTCCACTGACAAACTCCATTATGAGATAAATTTTAGTTTCTGATTCAAGGATTTCATATAGTTAAACAATATTGGGATGACGAAGTTTACGAAGAATATGGATTTCTCTTTAGATTCTTGTGAAATCTGCAGGCTATTCAATTCTACTCTTCTCAAGAATCTTGATAGCTACAAATTATTGAGTAGGTTTATGAAGACCTCTATAGACTTTACCAAAAGTTCCCTTGCCAATTGACTGCTCTATATAGTTTAAATTATGCACCTATGATATAATTATCAAGTGGATTGGAAGTATTGTGATTAAGACATTGAAGATTATTCATGTTCGTTAATTAATTAATGGGAAATAAGAATATATGTTGTTGTACTTAGGAAGAATAATAGCAATAATCATAAACCCTTGGTTCAGAATGTATTAAGAAAATTTAAGAATATTAGTGAAACTTTTCCTCTCTTTTAGTTGGCATGCTCAAGTTAATGAGATCATAAATAGAAATTATAATCACATGCCTTTATTAAATGAATACAGAGTATCACATACTCTTTAAACTATTCAATAACGTTTTCATATTAGAAATCAAATGTTAAGTGATATTTTTTATAGCTTTGTTTAGAATCCCAAAGAAATGAAATTTCATTCTTTAATGAAAATTTCATTTGTTTCTACATCTATTATTATATCTGATAATAGTTATCAATCATAATTAGCATAGAGTTTCATGAAGGCAACTGATTGTTAAATTTTACAATCTCTATCATCAAGTCCTCTTGATTTAAAAATGGAAATCAATTTATTTAAATATTTCTTTGTTGATCTTATTCTAAAATTCTATAAATCAATTATTAAAATTGATGAAATAAAGATGCTTATTTTGGATGAGTTATTTGGTAACTAAATTTTTATGACTTTGTCTAATTATAATATGACAAAGGATTATATATTTAAATGTATTCTGTTAAATAACATTCTTTTAATTGAAGTATTTATATAAAAATTAGAAATGTTGACTAAACAATTGTAATTGCTTATTAAAAAAATATTAAGAAGTAGATAAGATCTCAAAATAAATAAGAAAAAGCTGTTGCAATTCTATAAAGCATTATTACTAAAAGGTCTCCAAGTGAAAAATTAATAGTTTTAAATAAGGCAACTTAACAATTAACTTCTTAAAGTAAGATAATAAATGATGATAAATTTAATGAATTAGTTAATGATTTGATTGTCCATGCTAATATACCTTCATTTATAACTGAAATAAAAATGATTCATCATTTTGCTGGGGAAATGTATAATGTATTTTTAGGTTTATTAGTGATTGTTTGGGGAGATATGGTTATGTCCTTACTGGTGTTATGGGATTATTAATGCTAATAATATAAGATTAGTGAAATAATATTTATTGAGAATTTTATGAGTTATATTTGATCTTTTTGTTATTATAATTTAAAATATCTGTAATATCAATATTGTTTTTATTATTTGATATCATTTCTTTATTATTTTGATCTAGTTCTCTCAATTTTATAATTATTTTAAGCATTCCCTTTAATAAGTTTTAGTTTTAAACAAATATTGAATATTCAGATATAAAGGTGTGTTATCATTAGATTTCAAATATATTTATATTTTTTTTAATGAAAATTATTGTCATCTTACTTTTGTTTTTAATCTCCTTTGTGTTTGCAGGAACTCTAACAAAGACAGATACATGTATTTGCAAATAAATTTTGAGTTTAATCGATTGTAATACATAAAGTGATTGTTAATGGAATAGTGCATCAGCTGCATGTGAAATACGTAAATCAACTGATATTGAATCATATTGTTCTCAGAGCACTATCTGTCCTATTACAGGTTGTGCATTCTATAATAAAAAGTGTAAGTCATTTAGTGGTTGTACAGTTTATATAGCTACAACACATGCTGATTGTCAAGGTATCTCTCCCTTATGTACAAGTGATGGAGAAAAATGTATAAATGTAAGTACAATTTGTGATGATTATCTTGTTAAAATAGCTTGTGAAATTAATACTTAACAGTATCCGTGTTTTTGGGATAGTTAGAATAATAAGTGTTAAGAAATATCAGCATGTGATTAATATCCAACTACTTATGATTCTCATGAAAAATGTTAAACAATGGGATTAGTTAAGTCAATTAAATGCACAGCTAAAGAAACAGGTGGTTGTATTAACATTGAAGATGATTGTACTAAATATACAGAAAAAGGTTGTGTTATAAATTCTTTGGGTAATTCATGTTTTTGGGATAATGGTACATGCAAAGAGAAAACATGTGTCAATGCTCCAACAACATATATTACTTAAGCATAATGTTAATAATTTATGAATACATGTTCAGTTAATGAGAATATGTAAGGTTGTATGGATAGTCCTTAATCATGTGAAAATTATACAAAAGAAGGTTAATGTATATCTGTAAATGGATAAATATGTTTTTGGTTTTAAATAACATGTAGTGAAGGATAATAAGATTGTACTGCTAGTTAAGGATGTAAAATATGGTCATGTGAAAATGCATTGAGTACTACTAATACTGATTAATTATGCTAGTAATTTAAGAGTGAATGTACTGTGAATGCAACAAATAATGGTTGTATTAAGAGAGCTATTACTTGTAATTTATATACATCATAAAATTAATGTGTAAAAACATTGGATGAATCTTAGAAATGTTATTGGAATGGTACAAGTTGTGTAAATATGACTTGTACAAATGCTGCTTTGACAAAATATAATGAATCTAATTGTAATAGATTTATGCCAACATGTACATTAGTAAATGATAAATGTGGATTCAGAACTTGTAATACATATTTAACAGAAAGTTTATGTAGTATAGATTATTAAAATCAATAATGTGTTTGGAGTGGTTCTTGTGTTTTAAGGACTTGTTAAAATGCAGATGATGAATATAATACACATATTGAATGTTAGAGTTGGTTGAAAAGTTGTACTGTATAGAAAGATTTATCAGGTTGTTAAACTTAAGAATTAACTTGTACTAATTACTTAAAATAAGAACAATGTTATATGGCTAATAATAATACAATTTAATGTTTATGGATAGATAATAAATGTGTATAAAAGACATGTAGTACTGCTAGTATATTAACATTAACTGATAATGAATGTAATACATATTTAGGAGGATGTATGATAAATAATGATTAAGCTGGTTGTATTGTTAGAAAAAGTAATTGTAATGATTTATTATAATTTTAATGCACATTTACATCAACAGGTTAATTATGTTATTGGAATGGAACTTAATGTGTTGATAGATAATGTATTTAAGCCAAATTTAATACTTATAGAGCTTGTTAAACATTTTTATCAACTTGTACTGTTAGTTACACAGGTACAAACTTTGATGGATGTACAAATAAATTATCATTATGTTCTGAATATCAATATGAATAAAATTGTATAGAGAGTTTAACAGAAGGCAAATGTATTTGGAATAAAAAAGCATCTCCTAATGCATGTTAAGTGAGAAGTTGTTCAAATTCAGATTAAACAACAAGTGATGCAGCTTGTAATAGTCATCTAAATACATGTACTGTAAATGTTGCTAAAACTGGTTGTATTGAGAGATATGATAAATGTTCCTCATTTACAAGTTAAATTAATTGTATTAAAAATAAAACAGGAGAAGAATGTTTATGGTATAATAATGCATGTACAGATAGAACTTGTGATAAAGCAGATAAAACATTTACAACTCATGAGGCTTGTTAATCATATAGTACTAAATGTACAACTAATGGAAAAGGATGCATAAATACTGATGTCTGTACTTCTTATACATTAAAATCTGGATGTGTTATAGATAAAAATAATTAACATTGTGCATTTCAACCTAGTTGTAATGTATTATAATGTTCAGATGCTCCTCAATCTTATTCAACTGATTAAGAATGTAGAAAATTCAAAATGGAATGTACTACTAATGGAAGTGGATGTGTACTTAGAACAACTTGTACAGATGCATATATCTAAGAAGCTTGTATTACTGATTCAACTAATAACAAATGTGAATGGATCAATAATAAATGTGTAAATTTTGGATGTAGTAGTGCTCCAAGTAAATATATTACAGAAAAAGAATGTTAATTATATAAATAGGGTTGTACTGTAAATCAATCAGGTGGATGTATTGAAAAGGGTACTTGTAAAGATGCTAAAATATAAGCAGCATGTACTACTGATAAAGATGGAAATGAATGTGAATTTTCTGCTGCTGGATGTAGAGATAAAGTTTGTAGTGATTACAATTTTACAACTCATAAAGAATGTTAATAAGCAAAAAGTACATGTACTACAGATGGAATTAAATGTGTTAATTAATAAACTTGTAGTCAAAAAACAAAGAATGGATGTTTTTATGGAACTGATGGACCATGTTTATGGATTAATGATGCATGTTATCCTTATATATCATGTTAATCACTTATATTTAGTGATCATACATAATGTTATTCATTTAGTAATGAATGCACTACTGATGGATTATCATGTATTGCAATTGATAAATGTTCCAATTTATCTGAATAAAGTTGTTATTAAGGAACAGATGGTAGATGTGTATATACACCTGATTCATTAAATGGATAAAGTAAATGTAAAGTATATGATGGATGTAAATCTGCTTTTTTTAATACTCATATTTAATGTTAACTTGTTGATCCTACTTGTACAACTGATGAAGTTAGTTGTGTAGATTTATAAGATTGTACTTTATATACTAAATAAAGTACTTGTAACATTGATCAAAAAAGAAATAAATGCTATTATGATGAGAAAGAAAAGAAATGTGTTCAATTAGAATGTAAACATGTAACTCTAACAACACATTAAGAATGCTTTGATAGTTTATCAACTTGTACTTCAGATAATACTAAATGTATTAATATGGGTAAATGTGAAACATATGCTAAAGAATATTGCAATACTTCATTAGGTACAGATGGTAGATGTTTATATGATCCAAATATTACCAAATGTCGTATTGCATAATGTACAGAATTAAATAATAATTGTTCTTAAATAACTAATTGTGTTGATAGTGGTATTGGCTGTGTTATTAAAGCAACTTGTGATAAATATTAAACTGCAATTGCATGTTCATAAGGAGGAACTGATGGTTTATGTGTATGGTATTTAAATAATGGAGAAGGAGCTTGTAAACTAATGTCTTCTTGTTCTGATGGCTCATCAAATAAAGACGCTTGTTTATTAAAATCATGGAATTGTTAATGGACTGAAACATCATCTCAAACTGCCTGTGCTTAACACACTTGCTCATCTAAATTTAAAGAAACAGGAGTATGCTAACCTATTCTAGATTTTGAATAAAAAAACTATGAATTATGTGCTTTGACTAGTTCCTAATGTATTTCCATAGAATTTGCATCATTAACCGAAAATAATTGTTTCTCAGCCACAGCTTATACCTACAGTTGGGATTCTGCTAATTCTATATGTTTAAAATGTGGAACAACTTTTACAAACAACTCTAATAATCAAAATAATAATTCTGATAACTAAACCAATTAAACAGATTCCAACAATCATTCCCCAATATTATTTACATTCATCATAATGATTATTAGTATATATATATGAATTTCATAAATCTTCCAAATTAAGTATATCAAAGTTCTCCTTTTATACTTCTTACTAATTATCATACCATTTCAACAGCTTTCCTTCTTGCCATTCACCAAATCTTGTTTACCCATTTTCTAATACTACCTTACCCTTCCCATTAGGCTTAGATGACTTAAAACTACCCTCATAACTCCTTCCATCTAATATATTCTTGAATCTTATACTTCCCCACTTAAATATTCCATACCCATTTGGAGCATCTTTATTAAATAAGCCTAGATATTAACAACCATTGGCCCATTTCATCTATCCTTATCCACACATATAATCTTCAAACCACTCCCCCTAATATTCCTTACCATTCTTCCAAATTTGTACTCCTTAACCATGTCGCTTATTATTTATCCACAATCCTGTATATTATGAACCATCACTCCATTTATATGTACCTTATCCTTATTTTATACCTTCATAAAAATATCCTTCATAGCTACTTCCATCCTCCCAAGTTTCAATTCCAAATCCTTATTATAGATCATCTTTCCATTACCCTTCGTACTTACCTCCATTCTAAGATTAAAAAGTTCCTTAACCATTCTATTTATCATTCTCCCATTCTCCTTCATAATAATCACCATCTGGATAGATAAATTTGCCCTATCCATTAGCTTTATTATTTTTCCATTCCCCCTAATATTCAGAACCATCTGGCCATTTTAATATTCCATAACCTTCCCTCTTATTGCCAATCCAGTCACCCAAATACACTCCTCCACTCTTTAAAGTCACAGCTAACTACTTTGTTCTCTCTTAAGTTTTTGTGGCTTGACTGGAATCCATCCCTTTTTACTTCTTCTTGTAATTGTACTTTATATTAATTTATCGAGCATCAAGACGTTTCGATTCTACATCATCACATGGTTCCATATCTTCGGGATACTAGTAATTGTTACAACACTATGCTCCCATTAAATATAAAAAATATAAAATGAATTAAGACGGATTCGAATATTTTGATGAAGGTAATCATTTACTAAATTTATTATATAGATATTATAAGTAGTAGGCCCTTAGAACATTTTCACTAAGTGAATCAATCTCCTCAATAAAAGAATTTCAATTTTCTAGTTGTTTAAAAAATGAATGTAGAAGGACCTAGTATAATGTAAAAATACATTGTTGAGCCACTATAACAAGTTGGTTAGACAGCAGTTGAAGTAGAATTTAAAAAATATACAATAGGGTACAAAAAATGCTCTATTCTAACTCCCATAATGGTTTAAATGGGGAGCATCAGAATTATTCAATAAATTATCATCTACTTTACATAAAACTCTAGAGTCAAAACAACCTCAATAAGAGTAGAGCTAATAAATATAACCAAATCCACCTTAAGAAGATAATATAGATGAAATTCCTATTGTTTTTGTTGTTCCAAAAGAAGTTATGGAAGGACCAATCGCTGATAGATTAAGATGGATTGATAAACATAGAGATAACTGTGAAGTTTTCATTCCTTTAGAAAAACCATTAAAGTATGAACTATTTATTCATTAAGATTGAATAATTTTAATGGGATACAAAGTTCTTCATCATCTTCAAGTAGTCCTGATGATTGTGATTTTTAAGTTAGAAGAATTTCATAAGAATTTAAATCTGAATATTCTGCTTCTGAATTATTTCCATCTACATAAAGTATGAAATCAAAATTGATGTAATCAAACAAAAGATTTATCATGTCTTAAGATGATTATAAATTATTAACTTAATAGAATAATGAAAATTAAAATTAAACTGAACCATAAAATATTATACTTTATCCCTTTTTAGGTGATTTGATTCCAAAAGAATAAGTATTAGAACAAATTAAATAATACTAATTTTAATAATCAACTTTTACTGTTATTTAACCAGATATGGAATAAATATAAACCTAATAAATTCCATAATAGAATTAATATGATCAATAAGATTAAAATAAATAAAACTAATTTGTTCCTCTCTCGTTAAATGGAATAAAATTTGAAGAGAATGATTGGAAATTAAAATAACAATAATAATAATAATAACAATAATAATAATAATAATAATAATAATAATAATAATAATAATAATAATAATAATAATAATAATAATATATAATAAAATAAATTAATACAAGAATAAGATTAAGAATAATAATTAGAGGCTATGTTAGAAGTTTGATTATTCTTATTTTTTAACTATAGATGATAAAAATTAAAAAAAACTAAAAATTTTGTATAATATCATCAAATTCTTTGTTATATATTTGAATTAATAGAATTTCATCAAAATTGAGAAAAGTTCTTTATAATTTTAACAAAAAATAAATAATCTTGATAAATAAACTTCATAATGATATTATGAATTTTAAATTTTATAATTCATTCATTTTCCATATCCATCTCTTAATCAATCAAATTTAATGCAAACTTTTAAGCATCAATTATTTCTTATAAAGACCATGGAATCTTACATTTTGAATTTTTCAAAATAGACTACTCCATTTTCAATCTTATAAAATTTCTAAAATATTCTTCATCATCATTCTTAGCACTATTCATCTAATAATCTTTTAAAGCTTCCTAATACATTCTAGAACAAAACTTAATAAATTTTGATAGTTTGTAACTCATTTCTTCTTGAACTTCTCTGACGAAATGATTTAGAATATAATCTTTGATTTCTGATCTAAAACTTTACGATTTTAAGATTGTTCTTATATAGGGCTAGTTGAATGACTTAAAGCCAGATTAATAAGTTATGATCCCTATTTACATTTTTCTTTAATAGTAATAGACACTTACTTTTAAGGGTGAATAAAATATGTCAAATGTTTATTCATTTTCAAAGAGAGCTCTTTGAAATGATTCTCATAAAAATCAATTTATTATTGATTTTACTTCTTTTTTTTACCAATTTTCAATTAATTCTAATAAAACTTCTGTTCTGCTTTCTTGAAACCTTTCTTGAATACTAGTTTTTATTTCTCTTCAACTCTTTTGTTGTTTAAGGCAGATTTTTAGGTGTACATTTCATATGTCAGTCTTTCTTCATCATTCAATTTTTATAGCTCTTAGTCTGTAGAAGGAAGTCCTTATTAAGCATAATTGAGTTAATAAAAAAGAGGGTTATTTTTCATCTATTCATATATATCTGGATTATGACCATTTTTCTCTATTTAAGATAACATCGCTTGTGATTCTTCATCTGGTGTATCTATAAATTAAGGTGTAATTTTTGATTCTTAATCCATTTTTTTTATTATATTATTTGCATTTAATATTTGAAGATTTATTTAAAAGTCTAGATATTCTTTCATAAGTTATATTATATCAATCAGAATTCTATACTTAAAATATGAAATTCACAATCAATGAATATACACTGTACAATTTATACAATAATTTAATAAACAAATTCTTTAAAATTATAATAGAGAATTCTAAATTTATGATTATACTATATGTAAATAAAGTTAATTGTATAACTAAAATTATTTTACATTTTAGACAAGTAAAATTTCTTGAATATAAAGAAAGAAAAAATAAGACAATTAATCATTTTAATTTAAATTGTTTATGTAAAATTGAATAATGAAAATAGTTTAACTCAATATTAATAAACTAAATTTATTTATAAAGAATATAAAAATAACAATTAAATTTAGTAATTATTATTCTTTATTAATAGATAAAGTTACTAAATATTTTTTTAAGTAATTTTAAACAGAATTAAAAATAATTTAAGATGAAATCATTAATTTTCATTACTTTTTAAGATAATTAATTAAAGAGTTTATTATATTTAATAAATATCTTTCAGTCAATAATTGTATTTATACTCTATAGGTCTTTATTATTCCATTTGTTAATGATAATTGAATATTATTTGTATCTAAATAATATTAGTCATAATTTTCTAAAAGAGATAGCAAGAACCAACTTGAATGTATTCAAATTTTGGTTGACTAAATATTAGTTAAGTGAAACATTTCAAATTTATGATTATATTATTATTCAAAAGCCTATGAATTAATTATCCATCTTAATTTGATTTATAAATAAAATAGATTTTTTGTTAATCAGCACTATTTTTTAATATTTTGAGGTAGTATTTGTAATTTATTAAATTCAAATCTAGAAGAGAATAATAAAGATTTGAAATAATTTCATTTTCTGCTTGGATTTGCAAAATTTGAAATGTAACTACTAAGTAAAAAAAATAATTTAATGCATTAATCAATTTTTTTATTTTATTAATATTTAACAGTTAATATATATATAAATCATAGCATTTATCTAATTTCACAAAGTTATCCCCTAAAATCTTCACTCATTTTATCAAGTGCATTTTTGATAGTTTAATTCACAACAATCAATAATTAATCATTAAATTCTGCATTTGGATCAGTTCCCAATTTATCATCAATACTACGAACAATTTATTAAGATCCTTCTTTCAATTTTGCTTCATACCACCTAGTGATAGTATTAAATTTTACCTATATAAACAATTAATAGAGGATTCTAGATCCTTAATTCTTTAATCTACCTATTACACCTCTAATTAAGGTTTTTAAGGCATAGATTCTATTTCTCTTAATTTTCTTTCAGCGCATCTTTCCTATATAATATTATGAATATTGAATACAAGTCTTCCTTATTTTTATTCATTGATATCTTGTTTTTTTTATACTTATTTAACATTTGCTTCTGTTCTTTGTATTGATGGAATGTATTCAATCATTTGTAATAGAGGGAGTAATGCATCTTATTATAAACTTACTCTATTTAAATCAGCTATAAAATAATTGTTATATTAAATACATTCAAATTTATCTGTTCTTGCTTCAATTGATTAGTCTAGGTCACTCATTTTAACGGATTAATTGATATTTTATATTATTTATATAATTATTATTTAAATCAATTGAATTTGAGAATGCCTAATAATAATAATAACACTATTATGATGACTATTCCTATTTTTATGAATTTATCATTTTTTTTTTCAATTATTGGTTAGAAATTATTTATATTTTATTCTTATATTTTTTGTTTGGATTCCATAATAACCTGTCTTTATATAAGTTAATCAGTTTAAAAATGTATTTGTTTATCAAATTCTGATGCTCTCATATCAGAATGCATATTAGGATTAGATAATATTTTTGGTTTTAGATTAAATAATGAGTTTTTTTGAATGTTAATTGGGATTTATTTTTATTAAAAAATTCTCTCCTTTTATCTACTGTTGGTTCTAGATATTCAATATTAATAAATACAATGAATTATAAGAAGATTATTATAATGAACTTAAATAAAAAGATGTCTGTGTATTGGTTATTGTACTAACTGATTTTGATAACTAAGACATATAAATATTTAACTAAGGATAGTAATCATCAAACTATTCATTGTAATACTTACAATGGGTTTTTTTATTTGCATTCTTTATGAGTAATTCATAGGATATTTAATAAATGTTATTAATATTTTACTAACTAAAACTAATTGAATTTATATAATTATATGAAAGACTTTATTAATTATATTATTAAATATCCCTTTTTTTAGCATGTAATTGTGTAAATTATTGAGATGAACAAATAAGGACAAGACTATCTGTTATATTTAATATCAAGGAAGATCTAAAATACGAAGGTATTTTAAATCTAATCCTTCTAGAAAAAATCAAATGTTTTGAAAATCAAAAAAAAGACTAAGTATTCATTAAACCAAGGTTAGCTCAATAATAAATGTTATTTATTTAAGAAATCAAGTCTAATTTAATTGACTTCTTTTAATANATTCTAGATCCTTAATTCTTTAATCTACCTATTACACCTCTAATTAAGGTTTTTAAGGCATAGATTCTATTTCTCTTAATTTTCTTTCAGCGCATCTTTCCTATATAATATTATGAATATTGAATACAAGTCTTCCTTATTTTTATTCATTGATATCTTGTTTTTTTTATACTTATTTAACATTTGCTTCTGTTCTTTGTATTGATGGAATGTATTCAATCATTTGTAATAGAGGGAGTAATGCATCTTATTATAAACTTACTCTATTTAAATCAGCTATAAAATAATTGTTATATTAAATACATTCAAATTTATCTGTTCTTGCTTCAATTGATTAGTCTAGGTCACTCATTTTAACGGATTAATTGATATTTTATATTATTTATATAATTATTATTTAAATCAATTGAATTTGAGAATGCCTAATAATAATAATAACACTATTATGATGACTATTCCTATTTTTATGAATTTATCATTTTTTTTTTCAATTATTGGTTAGAAATTATTTATATTTTATTCTTATATTTTTTGTTTGGATTCCATAATAACCTGTCTTTATATAAGTTAATCAGTTTAAAAATGTATTTGTTTATCAAATTCTGATGCTCTCATATCAGAATGCATATTAGGATTAGATAATATTTTTGGTTTTAGATTAAATAATGAGTTTTTTTGAATGTTAATTGGGATTTATTTTTATTAAAAAATTCTCTCCTTTTATCTACTGTTGGTTCTAGATATTCAATATTAATAAATACAATGAATTATAAGAAGATTATTATAATGAACTTAAATAAAAAGATGTCTGTGTATTGGTTATTGTACTAACTGATTTTGATAACTAAGACATATAAATATTTAACTAAGGATAGTAATCATCAAACTATTCATTGTAATACTTACAATGGGTTTTTTTATTTGCATTCTTTATGAGTAATTCATAGGATATTTAATAAATGTTATTAATATTTTACTAACTAAAACTAATTGAATTTATATAATTATATGAAAGACTTTATTAATTATATTATTAAATATCCCTTTTTTTAGCATGTAATTGTGTAAATTATTGAGATGAACAAATAAGGACAAGACTATCTGTTATATTTAATATCAAGGAAGATCTAAAATACGAAGGTATTTTAAATCTAATCCTTCTAGAAAAAATCAAATGTTTTGAAAATCAAAAAAAAGACTAAGTATTCATTAAACCAAGGTTAGCTCAATAATAAATGTTATTTATTTAAGAAATCAAGTCTAATTTAATTGACTTCTTTTAATATAATAGTTGAAAATTATTTAAAGTTGGAACTTTGTATATCATTTTTCCTTTTGTAGCTATTATAGTCATAAAAGAGAGGAAAGTTATTTAATAATCAATTATCTTTACAAAATTAATTATTCCCTTTATTAATCTAATGAAAAAAAAAATAATTTTTGCATAATTCTATTATAATAATCATTCTAGCTTCAATTCAAGAATATTATCAAATGATGAAAAGATTATTAAGTATAAAAGTAAATAAAGTACTTGAAATTGAGAATCTCATCCAAATTGATAAATGAAAGACTCATCAGTAATAATTTATAAGATAAATAGAAAATTATTAAAGTAATTAGAGATGCTGAATATATAGTTAAAGAATTGAATATTCAAACATTCATCTCTTCTGTTTTTCAGATAATATTTATTATTTATATGATTATCATATAGGAATGCCTTTCAGAAAGATCTTAATTAGAGTATCTAAATATTTGTGAATAGAAGTTAAACTTAGAAATAAAATTTTAGATTTTAGATCTTCTTTAAAAGTGTCACTTTAACTCATTTAAATAATAAAGATGATTTCAATATTTATTTTTAAATTCAAATCATAAAAGAGATATTAGTATAATACTAATAACAAGTTTGTAATACAATGACTAAATAGAAATTATTGATATATATACAATATTTAAGGATGAGTGATAGAATATAAAAATATTATTAAAAATATTAAATATAAAATGAATGACATAAAGAAATTATACTGCCGATTTGTTACAGGAATGACTGTAGAATTGGATATAAAACCAGAAACAAAAACTGTATAATAATTAAAGAATCAACTTGCTGAGATTATTAATTTAACTGCGGATAGATTATATATTGGATTTGAAACAACACTTTTGGAGGATAATGATTATCTTGGGCAGAAAGGAATAACAGATTGTGACACTGTCCATGTGATTACCTCTTAATTGACTGAAAAAATATGTTATAGAAATAAAAAGTGAGATAATGATAATCCATTCAGATATATTCATTATATTTGTATAATTTAATTCTTATAAATTGATTCTAATAGATATATACTTAGTCATTCCATAAAGGATTCTAAATTAAGAATAATCATTATTTTGCAGTATGTATCAGATTTTTAATTTTCTTATTGTCTATTAAAAATCATCCTTAAATAATTTATATATAAAAATTTATAAATGGATCTATAGGATTAAATATTTCAAAAAGAAACTAATTTAGAAATATATACAAACAATCTATATAATTACGAAATATTTAAAAGAATTACATGGTTTTTAAGCTTATAAGATGTATTAAATTTGGGAGCAACTTCCCGTATTTTAAATGAATTTGTCGAAGTTTCATATTAAATATATATAGATAGAAACATTATTAATTCTTTGCAGAGAATTACTATAAATAATTTCTTAAAGATTAACTTGAAATAGCTCTTGAAATTTATTATCCTGATAATATTTAAAGAAATAAAATTCGTTTAAGTAATTTTGATATTTGTTCTCTTGATTGGAAACTTCAATATAAAAAGATGTTATAATAGAAGTAAAATAATTAAATAAGTTGCAATAGAAAAACATTGAAAATTCCATTTTTACTTTGTGAATCAGTATTTCCAAAACCTATTTTAAAGAGAGAAACAATAGGATTGTATTGTGAATCAGAATTTTAAATAATGCTTGCTTAGCGTTTGGAATTAGAATAAAAAGGATTTGATAGATTGTTTAACTTTTAATTCATTTCAAATGAGGTATTTAAAATATGATTTAAATTATAGCTAATGAACTAGTTAAAATAAAATAAACAATAAATAATAGATTTAATGTACGAAAAGTTAAATAATAATAATCAAATACTTAAATCAAGATTTTTAAAATTAAGATGGAATTTATAAAATGAATCTTATGAATTTGAAGAATAAATACCTCTAATTAAAGTAGAATCTTAAAATATGCAAATTGAAGAACAATAAGAAGAAATTTAATTTGATTAAATTTGCATTATTGATCTTTTAGAATAATTGTATAGTTCTGTTGAATGTTATTTGTAGGGATTATAAATGTATTTTTCTACATTTATCACTATAAATTCTACAAATAGTGTAGATCTATTAAGTGAATATGTAATGTATTGGGAAGCATATAGTAATTCCATTATAGATTTAAATGGCATAATATATCCTTTAGAAAATATTGTGAATGAAATACATCAAAAGTGTTTTCCTCAATATCCCTAATATCCTAAATTTTCAGTTTGGAGAATAATGTGTTAATTGTGGATAAAACATGTATTATAATTTTTTATTAAAGATAATTAGAAATGAATAATTTTAATAATTACTTTTAGAATGTTTTATAAGAACTATGTAAGCAGAAAGATAAAAATAGTTTCTTAAAGAATTTGATCAAGGTGTTAATTAAGACTTAGGTTTTACTCCATCATTTTAAATTACTTATGAAATTTATGATAATTTTTTACTTAAATAAAAAAATAGCATAAAAGATTAATTTCAAATTGAATCTTATCATAAATTTTATACAGAAATAGTAGATTTATTAAAAAATTTTAATAAATCAATATAAGATATTTCAATTAATGAAGTATATTATTTTTTGATTAAATAATTTTAGGTATCTGTTCATTGGATTGGTCATTTGGATTGTTGTTATGAAGAATTTTATGACTAATTAAGTGAGAGAATTTAACATGAAACAAGTTTATACTATGATGAAACTAAATAAGTTTTTGGATCTAATGTAGCTTCTTATATAGAATTTATGAATTTTGATAAAGAGTAAAAAATATTTATTATTATTTTAGATTTTTATCTCAATTTTTATCAGAACCTATCATTTTTAAAATTGAAAATCTACAACATGAACATATTTATACATATTTGTATTATTATCTAGAGCACTCTTATCTTTTAAGATTTATTAAAACTCATAAAGATTAAATTGCTAATGCATATAAGACACAAAAAACAATAACTCCAAAATAAGAAAGAACATCAGTTACATCATCAAATAATAATGAGCATTTAGATACTTAAGGTGATGCAACATTAAATGATGCTTAAAGATTTTTTAATTTTGCTTTAGAAAATAGTAATTTTGATTTAGATGAACTATTGATTAGCAAAAAAAATTAAAATCAACAAGAACCTTTATTCGAAGTGATTAAAGTAGCATTATCTCAAAAAAACCTTGAATGTTAAATAATAGAATAAGATCAATTTGATTAATTTGATTAATTTTAATCTTAAGATTATTTCGAATTGAATAGGTAACCTAAAATACAAAGAACATATTCTAATAATAAATGTACATATAATTTAAATAATTATAGTAAATTCTGATTAGATAGAAGTTCCAGAAGAAATAATAAGATCTGCTAAACAATATCTATTAAATGATACTGAATTTTCCAAACTTTATCAGATTTTCACTGATTATACTAAACAATTTGAAAAAACCTAGATTTAAGTAATTTAAAAAAATTAAGATATTGAATTATTAAATAATGATAGAGAAATTCCAAGAGTAATATTATTCTTATTTATTTTTCTAGGTACTATAAGATTATCTTTAATATTTTTATTATATATCCAAAAATATAACAAAATCTATACTAGAAGATAACAAAATTGAAAATGATGAAGATCTAGATGATTTTGAAATTCCCCCTGATCTCTCAAAGAATTCATCCAAATTAAAAAGTAGTATAATATTTATAATATGAAGAAAACTCTTTATATATGGAGGTTTATTATTCAGATGAGGAAGATGAGAATTAAGGATGAATTCTAATAACAATGAATTTATTAATTTAATTTAGACTAACCATATTCTCAATATAAAATTCGAAATAAATTATTAAAATATCTTAATATATTATTAATCTATAAAGAATCAAATAAATCAATTTAGATCTTTCTATAGCTTTATTTATCATTTAAATTCTAAATATTTATTTAAATAAAACAACAACTAATTTAATTGTCTAGAGAAAGAAATTAATTTATATTGTTCTAGAATCTAAGATTAGGGTTTATGATATATATAAGTTTAATAAAAAATTTTTTACTTTAGCCTAATTGAATTTTATTTAATAAATAGGTAAATCAATTGTAGTTATAAATAATGTAGTTTTCATTTTATAGGGTTTTTAAAATCAATATAATTTATTAATAAATTTGATTCAGAAATCAAATTAATATAAATTTGATACTCTAATTCATTAATATAAATATATACTATTTATAATCAATTAATTCCTTATTTTATTATTTTCAACATTTTTTTATTGAATTCTTGCTTTCCATTTTCTAAATACTTAAATTAATTTTTCAACAAATCAAAATCAAATTCAGAATCATTTAAATTGTAAGAAAAAGCTTCCCAAATTTTACACATTTCACATTTTCTTCCTTAGCTTTCGGATAAGATTTAAGAAAAACTTAATATTTTATTTTATAAAGTAGTCAGAGCATCTGACTCTTATGGTTTTTTATTAATCATTTTAAATATTTCACTATTAATGTTATTTCCCAAAGATAATGTATATTGTTTAATAATTGAATTAAATTATTTTAAAGGCCTAAAAACAACTAATATAACTATAATCTAAACAATTATAGCTATAAATCCTAACATAATTTAGACAAAAAGTGAGATTGTAAAATTAAATAAAGATTTCTCCTTTATTGCTGCTGATTTATTCTGAGAATCTATTTTAGTAGTGATATTAGTATATCTTTTATAATTAATAATATTTACACAATTAAAGTGAAATTATTCTTTAAGACTTCAAGAGAATAAATATTTACTTTCTCTTTTTATAGTTTATTCTCTAAAACCAATATTATTCTTTCCCTTTAATTTGAAAATTAAATCATTTCTTCCCAATCAGTTTTATTAAAACCAGTAATATTTTCATCATATATATAAAAATAATCCGTTTTATTTATCAATTTCTCTATGTTAAAATATACTACTAAACCCTCTTAATCTAATAATAAAACATTATATGGAACAGCAGGTATTAATTAGTTATTTACTAATAATCCCTCTTTAATTATTCCTATCATTTAATCTTTCTTATATATTGAATTTGTTATTGACATTTCTTTAGTTTGAGAAGCAAAGGCTTCATTAAGAGGGGAAAAAACAAAACCTGTATTTGAATCAGTTTCTGTTTTAAGTAAATGATTTTAATACCTTCAAATAAATATTAATTGTTTACCAAAATCTTTATGTGATATCATAATTAGGAGATAATAAGCCTGAAGGGAATTAAGCAAAATATTTTGTTTAAGAAATTGATGCTATTTGAAGTTTTCCAGTAAATGGAACATTTATAACTAAGCTATAGTGATTTAGAAATGAAATAAAATCGTGAAGAATGAGAACTTCTATTTCAGCTTATGGTATAGAAATATAATCAGGAACTCCAATAGCTTAATAACAAAATTTCGGGGTCTAGAACTCCTTCTTATTCTTAATAAAATTTTTCATAGATATGCAAGGATTCATTTTTTAATTATTTACTATATTTTCCTTCTCAATCTCAAAAAAATTATAAAATTGCTTTATTTGCTCTATTTATTAGAGAACTAATATTAGTTACACTAAATTAATACCTGTTATAAATTTTAATTCTATAATTACTGCAACATTTTAAGCTATAAAGCCAATCTAATCTTAATCTTATACTTAAAGTATCTGAATTAATGAGCTTGATGAAATTGCTGAAAATATTTCTGTTTAGACATAGTAATTAATCCAAACTATTGAAAGTACAATAACAAGAGTAATCACATTAAATAAAATGATTTAACTTTTCATGGTCAATGATTTAAAATGTTAGGCAATTTTGGCAAACATAAAAAGTACTTGGTGATTATTAATTAAATAAATAAAAAAATATTTAATAATCAACTTAATAATTACAATTATTATCTTCTAATTATAATTTATAAGCATTTCAAAACAAAAAATTAGTCTAAAATATTATCCAGCCTTAGAAAATTAATAATAATAATGTTAAATGAAAAATATTTTGAAATGGATTATTTATTCTTATAAATAAAAATTAATTCTAAACATTTATAATTATAATCATTTAGTTTGAAAATATAAAAATATTATAAAATTCATTATTAATAGAATGCAATCTAAATTTTTCATTTAAAATTTCGTTCTTTATATTAATAAATAAAGACTAAGGAGTAAGATCTCCATATTTATGATATAAATTCAAGCATTTATGTAATACATTATTAATTTATATCGTTATAATTTATATTTTTTAAATTATAATTTCGTAGAATTTGATGAAATTTTATTAGATTTAGTAAGTGATACTAAAGAAGATTCAGAAAAATAATCATACTTTATTTTAGATTAAATATAAAGGTTTTATTTTTTTTAATTTACTATAATGATATTTTTAAACTAAAAATATTTAACAATTATTTATATTATATATAAGAACATTATTAATAAATTTTTAATAATAAATGAGGAAATTTTAGTTTATTTTTGATTTTCCATAATTCTTCTTGAGAGGTTAAAGAGAACATTAAATTTTAATATAGTTTTAATAATCTTAAAACTAAATAAGAACAATTTTGAATCATTTTCATTATATTTAAAAGTTTCAATCATAAATTTTAGAACAAGCCACAAATATACAGAAATGTATTTTATCAATAAAATAATCTGAAAAATAAAAGTATTTTTAAATAATATATTATTATTATATACCAATTATATATAATCATAATGAAACCAATTATAAGCCAACTTAAGAAATATATTAATTAGAAAACTTTTCCACTTAGGTCTTAGTATCTTTAAGGATCTAATTTAAAGTTACTAATGTTTCTATTTGCAATGAAAAAACTTGAGCGAATATTAATTTCATTGAGCTTCCCTTTGGTAATGGAGTTGCATCAGCTTTTTATTATTTTTGTAATTTATTCATATGAACAAAAAATTCTAATGGTGGTGCCTATTTGTTTATTAAATATTATGTGATTTCAGAAAGTTAGGTAATAAAATGTTTGGTATCCTCTATTTTAATTTTTGTTTCTTAACTTTTTGTATAAAAAATTTCAAATTATTCCTATAATTCTCTTAACCATTTAGCATCTTCTTTTTTTTATTGTTTTAATTATTCATTTTCTAATATTAAAGTCTACATAGTGGCTTCCATTTCTTTTAATCTAAAGTCGTTATTTTAATTTTTTTCAAGGCTTTATTCTAAAAATTTGATTTATTCTTATAATGCTTATTCTACATTCATTGCATTTTTCTTTCCTATTTCTAATTCTTTAGTGATACGATTAATTGTATTTTAATACTATTAAATCATTAAATCCTTTTCTTTTTTTAGTGCATTAATTGTTTTATCTAATTGATCAATCTACTTCTCTTTCGAGTTCACTTTCTCTTTCAAAGCTGCATTTTCCATTCTGATTCTAGTTAAGTCATCTCGATTAGGACTAACAGAAGCAATCTAATCAATATGTGATTGTTTAACAGATATTGGAGAAGACTAGAAGGTTATATAGTATTCTTACCGAATCAATAAGACGAGAGAGCTCGGATTTATTGGGAACCACAGAATTCTATTTTGTTGATTTTCTAGTACTTACATAACTCCTTTCAATACTACTGCTCTTAAAATTACTATTCCCGTACATTATAGTCTATTAATTTTGAATCCAATACTAATGCATAAATATCTCTGGCTTAAGCAGATAGCTTTTAGCTATGTTAATCAAGTTTTTGTTAATTTTTCTCAATTACTTTAATTAGATCGATATTCATTAATTATATAATTAAAAAAAAAGTCATAAATTCAAGAATAGAACAGCTTTTATAGGAAGTTCATGGAAGTTATTGGATTATTGTTGAAAATAGTAATTCTTATGAAGTTTGAAGTGTCTAACTATAAAGTAAAATATTTTATCTTTTATGATATAATCTAATAAAAATACTGAAACAATAAATAAACATGATAGATTTGTTAAATTGGAGTTAAAATCAAAAAAGATTGACTCTTAGATTCTAATTGAAATTTTTTATTATTTATAATGGAATTATACTTATAATTCATTCAAAGTTAAAAAAAGGATGTGCTAACAAAAAAATAGTATAAATTCTTAGCAGATGAAGCAATAACAAGTGGTTCTGATTATGATTAAGATTCTAAGCCTTTAGAAGGATACAAAATTAAGGAAAGACGTCGTTTAGGTCAAAATTACTATAGAAGAAGATTATTATCGGCAAAACATACAATAAAGAGAAAGTTTAGTCTTAATTGGCATCGTATTACTATTAGATTTAGAAGATTTTATAACAAAATAAAATAATTAGTTACTTTAAAAAAGCCTTACACTTTTAGTCCAGATGGTTCATTGAAAATGTTATGGGATCTATTATGTTTATTATTAGTAATTTATGAGATGATAGCCATTCCTTTGATGATAAGTTTTGAGATTGAAATAAGTAAATCATTTTCAAGTATAAGTGCTACTATATTCATATTTGATATTGTTCTGAATTTTAACACAGGTGTTTATTTAGAAGGTAAATTAAATATGGATAGAAAAGAAATATTTAAAGAATATGTAAGATTTTGGTTTTGGATTGACTTTGTTTCTACATTTCCTTATGATATAATAATAGATGAATCGTCTACATTAGTATAAAGTGCAAAATTAATAAGATTACTGAAATTTTTGAGATTTGTAAAAGTCTTAAAGTTAATAAGATTAGCTAAGTTAAAAAAAATAATAGATAAATTTGATGAATTATTATCAATGAGACCTGGTGTAGCAGCAATAGTCAATTTTTGTAAGTTATTTTTTTTTGTATTATTTTTTGCACATATACTTGGTTGCATATTCCATTATATAGCATAATAAGAACCAAGTGATGATTCATGGCTTGGAGATATTTATTTTGCTGATTGGTAAATTAGATATGTTAATTCTTTATATTGGGGAATAGCAACTATGACTACTGTAGGATATGGTGATATAAGTCCATAAACACCTTAAGAAAGATTTATTGGTATATTGCTTTTATTAATTGCTTGTGGGGGATTTGCATTTACTATGAATTCAATAGGATTTGCACTTTAAGAAATTAATGGATAAAACAAATTAAAAAAAGAGAAAATTAATAGTATAAATAGGTTTATGAAAAAAGTAGGGATTTCTAATTAATTATAAAATAGAATTAGAAGATATATTGAATTTGTTATGGATTCTAAATCTTTAGTATTATAAGATTTAACAAATTAAGTTTAAATTGAATTGGCTAATCATTTAAGAAAATAAGTAAATGGTAAATTATTAGGATATTGTAATATTTTATTGAAAAATAATTCTTAATAATTTCTAATAGAGGTTGTATTACCTAATATGATAGAAAAAAATTATAATCCAGAAGAAGTTATTTTTGATGAATTTGATTTTTAATAAAATTATGATATGTTCATAATCAAATCAGGATAAGTTGATATATTTTATAAAAAAACTGGTATAGTGATAGATCAAAAGAGAAAAAATGATTATTTTGGTGAAATAAGCTTTTATTCAAATATGTAAAGATCTGCAAGCACTAGAAGTGTTAATTTCTCAAGCATATTTAAAATAGCTTAAAGCTAATTTTATTAAAGTTTAAAAGCATTTTAAGATTCTATATAAACTACATCTTGTCGAAATTTCGATTTAGAACGGTATTAAATGATAAGGAATAAGATAGTCTTTAACAAGGATTATGGATCTATTGGTGTGAGATGTTATGTATGTTCAATGGATGATCATATAGCAAGAGATTGTGATAAATTACATTTTAATGTGTAAAATTAGTTTTTATCTTAGATCAGCCACACATTTTATAAAATTCCTAAAATAATTTGATAAATTACATTAAGCAGCTTATTTTAGAAGAGATAGAATTGATTTTAATGCAAGAAAGTGTATATCACAAATCTAATAAGCATAAAAAAGATTTGAAACTTCTAAATTAATAAATCTAAATTTAAAAAGAAAAACTTATTTAGAAGATCTTCTTAATAGTTATAATTTAGTTGAAGAAGAAATGTTGGATAATTAATATCCTGAATATCAAATCTTTACTCTTAAATAAAAAAGTAGAATAAAGAGTATAAAATATTTAAATGGTAGGATGACAAGAAAGATTACTAATATATATACTCATACTTCAATAAGTGAAAAATATTTAGGAGATTTAACAGAAAAAATAGATAATTTAATATTAAAGACAAAAAAAAAAGAGATGGAAGATAGATTTAAATAGCTTCATTTTAGTTGTATATCTAATTTTGATTAAATTTCAGAATTTACTCATTTTTATCCAGAAGGTAATTTTTCAATGGTACTAAACTAATATTTAAGAGCCTTAGAAAAAGGGTTCCCAAAAATAATAGAAATTGAAACATTATTTGGAATTGAGGAATTTCAAAATTATTCTTAATATTATTGTTATAAATTAGAAATTGATGCAGAAATTAAAAATAGAAATAATAATGTTGAAATGAATTTTGAATAAATGAGATTATTAAATATGGATAGAAGATAGAAAAAAAAAGAAAAAGTAATTAAAGATGCAAATTAATAAATTTAAAAATCACTTGTTTAATTAAAAGCTTATAAAGCAATAAATCGTAGTTTTAGAAATCTATTTGTTAAATGATATTAAAATATATAACTTTTTATATTTATTAACTAGCAACTAATATCAATGTATAAATTTATAATAAATCCCCATAATTTTAACTAATGTGAATATATAAGTGATATCATATAAATATATCATAACATTGATTGTTCCTTGATATATTATCTAAATAACTATTTCCCTTAAAAGGAATGTTATTTGATTATGTTTAAATAAAATATCTAAAATAACAACAATTTATTATTTTAATTTTAGATAATAAAATATGAAATATCTATGTTATAAGATTAATAAGCTATTTCAAGAGAAGAAATAGAAATAAAAACTTAAAATTATAATGAATAGTGCTATTCAAAAAGGATAAGTTAAGTTAATAATTATTTAAATCTATTGAACCAATATAATATAATAATATTTATCAAAAAAATAAGAAAATAAAATAATAGATATTTTGATTTTGGAATTGATATTTTCAATTAATTTTAGTACTCCTTGTCAATTAATTAGAGTAAAAGTTCTTAGACTTTTATTGTCTTGAATTTTAATTCAAACGTTAGCTTTAATATTCTATAACTTAGGGTGGTTATTCATAAGACTAATTTTCATCTGAATCTATTCCTATTAGATTACGATATATCATTTACCTAAATTTGTACTAATTTCATGACTATCTAACATATCATTCATCTCTCTTATAAATAAACTAACAGAATCTTCAGTACCCATGACACGATCTTACATTTCTTGATTTTCGATTTCTAAATTTCGTAACTTAATATTATGATTAAATACTTTAGAATCTAATGTTTTATTTGTTGAATTCTTTCTTAATTCATTTTCAAGCTAAGTCAATATTAATTCTTTTTATTTTAATTTAGATAAAAGTTCTTATTCTTTTAATTTCTAATTTGTAATGTTTTCTGTAATTTCTTGTTCTTTGATTTATAGATTTTTAATTTCAGCATCTTTTGAAGCAATAACTTATAAAAATGATCTTCTAATTTTATCATTTTTATATTTTGGAAATAATAAACGAACTTTTAAGAAAGCATGATGCAAATTTCTTTTTTATTTTTTTTGAATAATTAATCCAACTTATTAATATTTTAATGCTATTTAAGTAAATAACACTTTAAAATGATTAACACTATAATTAGTAGTTTTCTTAAGTTTTCTAAAGGCATAAAATTTTTATTAATTTCCTCTACTATTAACAGTTAGTATTACTTTAATTTTAATATTAATGCCACCTTTCTCATAGAGATTTCCATCTTTAAAAATATTAATTAGTATTTAGCCATCATATTCAAAGTTTCAGCATGTATAACTTGCTCTCTATATTTACTTTATTAGGCTTCTTTTTCATCTGGCAACATTAATTATAATTTATAATTAAATAAATGATTTTAAAATTCCATAGAAACATAAACATGTAATATTCTAAAAAATACTTAAATCACATTAGAAATAACATCATTAATAAAAATGAAATATTATTATTTCAAAGTTATATTTCTAATATAAAATACATGTTTAAAAAGGTTTATGAGGTTTTTAAATTTCATTTCATAATATATATATATGTAAAATAATTTAACTTTATTTATAAAATAACATATGAGTTATAAGTATTTAAGTCTCGTTATTTATATTTTTCAATTAATAACTTAAATTTAATTAAAAAAAATAAAAGATAAATGAGTGCGTAGGTTTTATTTCGTGTTGCATGTCAAACTTAAATTTCTTAAACGGTTTACATTGTTGGAAACAATTCAGCTCTAGGTAATTGGAATCCCTAGAATGGATTTAAATTGATAACTAATTCAGAGTAGTACCCTCTTTGGATAAACGAATAGCCTTTGGAAGTTGAGCCAAGTAACTTAATGTTTTAATTTATAGATTAAATTCTTGAATTCAAAATAGTTATATGTGATGGAATGAATTCTTAATGGGAGATTGGTGCAAACAGATTGATATAAATCTCAGGCTAAAAGCTTATAGTTATCTTAACTTTTAATTCACCTTCTCTAATTATCCATAACATAAGAAGACTATTCTCAAATACTGATTTAACTAATATTACTGAGTGTATTTTTTAAATATTTATATTTAGCCACTGCAAGAAAGATTTCAATCTAGCTACAACAAAAATTATATGATTCTGATGAAGACTCAGTAATAATTTAAATCATATTGATTAGGATCAAGAAATAGAAAGTGAAGAGAATTCATAATTTTATGATGAAGAAACTTCTTTGATTTCTAATGAATAATGTTAGAGTAGTCCTAATAAATAATCAAATGATAAAGATGATCAAGTAAACCTTGAATTTTCAAATTTTGATCTCTGATATTCTCTTTGTGTTAATATATATACTTATCTAATAAAAAATCCTATCAATTTAAAATATAGAAATTTCCAAGAATATAGATATAGAAAATTCTAAATTAAATTAAAATTCTTTATTTTATGAAACATTTTATAAATGGCAATATAATTTTAATTTATTTCCAATCTTTTTTTAGAATTTAAATTAACTTTAATATCAAACCTATATGCCAATACAGGTGTACTTTAAAGTCAGATGTGATACACATTCATCTCAAGAACTAAGAATTGTTGGAGATATTCCAGCTTTAGGAATGTGGAATCCATTTAACAGCCTGACTTTACATACAAATAATGAAATATATCCTTTTTGGGTAGGATATATTTATGAGGAACTAGAATAAAGTAAAATTTGATTGAAATTTGTAGATACTTTGATTCAATTTAAAGCAGTTATTATTGAAAATGATGAGATTATATGGGAATAAAGCGAAAATAGAGCTATATAAATTAGATACTAATCATAGAGTGTCTTATTTACTTTTAGTGGCACATTCACATAGATGGTTAAAATCTAATCATATCTTGATTAGCCATCTGATTCAGAATCAGAATCAATTGATATTAGTATATTGTTTTATATTAATAAATGTTAGAGGGAGCAAGGAAAATCTATCTCTAGACTTCTTAACATCCTTATGATTATGAGTTCGTGAGTTCAGTAAAAATCCTATTGTAATTAGGACTCTAGTAAAGACAAGAGTGAATAATAAAGTTCTCAAAAATCAAGTTTAAATTCAAAGTCATCTAGTTTAGAATAATTCGATAACCAAGAAACTTTATAAGAAAAAATTGCTTAAATTTCTAGTTTTAGATTCTGATTATTGCATAAATGTTATCATGCATCTTCTTCTTTTAATATATTACTATCTTATTTATATTATTTTTAATTCTTATTTGAGATATTAATGAATTATATGTCTAAACATCTTATATATAAAGAATAATTTGCATTTTAAAATCAATACATATATGTCATTCAGATTTTTATTATTTTGAGAATTCTTTTAACTTATATAAGTTTTCTATCTATTCCTCATTCAATAATGCCTTTTCTTCAGATGTTAAATCTCTTCCTATTTGTTTTGATTTATCCAATTCTTCAATATAAATTGCCCTTCAATTTTATAATATCAATATACCATCTCTTTAAAAATTCTATGTATTGTTCTTGATTTGCTTTTTGATGAGCTTATCTGAATTCTTCCTTTACATAAGCATCTCCTAGTATTCTCATTTCAGGCCTTAACTTTCTTCTATGTTACTTCAATATAGTATAGAACACTTGCATTCCTATCCCTTTTAATTAATCCATTTAACTTATTTAATATAAAAAATAAGACAACAATAATATTTTTATATATGCAAATCTCATTTTATTAATTATAAATGCTCCTTTATAAGATGATAATATTGTAATATATTATATCATAAGGGTTTTAATTAATAAAAATATTAAAATATTGAGTATGTCAACTTCATTAGAAAGTTAAATATTATTGGCTATTTGGACTATGTATTAACGTAATTAGATATCAATGGAATAAAAAGGATGTATAAAGGGTAATTCTTAAAATTTATAAAGATTTGTTAATTAGAAAGGATAATTATTTATACTCAACTATTTATCATTGTAAAAGATAAGATCAAATAGAAGAAAGGTTAATTGATATTTTGAATTGTATTTATAATTAATTTGTTTTGATTAGGGTTCTCCAAGAGACATGGATGCTGAAGAAAATACATATCCTATTATCAGATTAAGCAATTAATCAAGTTCTCCTACAACTACTTAATCCCAATGTCATTATCCTGAAAAAAGGTTCAGATTTAAGAGTTCAAATAATTAAAGTGATAATTCTTAGAATATCCTTAGAATTAGATCTAACTCTTATCATCATAAATGAATTTTTTATTGTAAATTTTTGTTTAATTATCTCAATCTTTAATTAATCTATTATTCCATTTTAAACATTATCCTAATATGAAATTGACATTTATCAATTTAAAGTATTTAAGATTTATTTATATTCTTATTCTAATTTTTATTAGATATTTATGTTACACTGTTTAAGATAAATGTAAATATTTTCTTTTATCTATCTATTCATAATAAACAAAGAATTACTTCAAAAACAAAATAAATATTAATTTATCATTAGAAATTCATATAAAATTTTAATTATTACACTAATTATAAAAATTTTATTTATTAAGATAGGCTAAGTTAGATAAAATTAATTTGAATTAATTGATTTAAAAAAAATAAAAATAGTAAGATATATAATTTATTCCCTTAGGCGTGATGTTTCCTATATTAATTAATTTTATCTATTTTAGTATTTTAGTCTTAATTTTCTAAACTAAAATTTTAATAATTGAGAAGTTAAATTTGAAGTATAATATTAATTTTTAGGGATATATAATATACTATTGAATTCTTTAAATATAAATTATTTTATGAAATTTTAACAATTCTTTTTTACTTATATGATATTTTTAATTAAATTGACAGATTACTGACTTTATCTCATAATTCTAAAATTTAACCCATAATCAACCTATTTTAAATAAATTTATGTGAGAATATATTGGAACTATATCTTCAAGTTTTTCAATAAATATTATTTTTTTTTACTATTGAGTATTTATAACTAAATAGTGTTATGAATACTAACATAAAAAATGTATTTTAGTCAGAATTCGATTAATAAATTATGGAATATTCAAGTTGAATGGAAAATTTAGTTATAGATATTCTTTATTAACTTAAAAGTAGTTAAAATTTTAATAATTAGAAACTAAAGAGTTAATCATATAAAAATAGAAATTTGATTGCATTTTTTAATCATAAATTAAAGAGTATTTGTAAAGATAATAATAAGAGATTTTAATAGTTTAGTATATTATATTATGAATATTCTACTAAAATATAAAAGTTGACTTTTAAAACAATATAATTAGTATTATTATGTTATTAATCAAATCAAATACATAATTATGTACTGAAAATTTGTTACATTTTTTCAGAATAATAAGGACTTAATTATTTCAACTTAACAAAATAAATGACTAATATTTTTTCTATGATTAATGTTTACACTTAAGACTATGAGAGGTAACTAGGTTTGGTTTATGAAGATCTATGATGTAAAATAGGAGTATTGACAATTCTATTTGAAGTTGATAAATTTGGATGATCTTCATTATTTTTTGTTTATCGAAAATTAAGCTATGGACTAAGAGTTCTCTTGAAAAATTAAAGAGATATTAAGATATAAGTGTAGATAGAGAAAGTTAAAGTGTAATGAAAGTTATTCCGAAATTATGTACATTATGAATTAAAAGGTGTAATGGATCTGAAATCACTTAGAGTAAAATAAAGATTATGGTCTTCTTATATAATCAAAAGACAATATTATTATTCATCAAAATGAATAACAAAATCTTCTTATTTTAAAACACAAATACTTTGGCTCAAGCATTAACCAATAAAATACATGAATTGGAGTACCAGTCTAAAAAAGGTACCAAATATCCTTTTGGTAATAATGAAGAATTTGTGGGGATTGGGTAAATGATTTTAGAGTTTTTTTTCTCTGATTACTTGATTTAAAGAGGGTAGGTATTTATGAAATTACACATAGTTATCCAAATAAAGAAACTTAAATAAAAAAGTCAAGTGATCTTGTGTTGTTAAGACAAAGACTATTAAGTGAAAGGAATTTGGCTGATATAGCAATAAGCTATAAGATTGATAATATTGTTTAAGTAGGAAATTAGATCAACTTAAAGTAAGAAATAATGTACATAATAGAAAAAACCCTAAAATACTTGCTGAAACACTTAAATCAATCATAGCTGCCTAGTATTATGATTCTGGTTATGATTTAGATCATTTAAGAGAAGTTGTATAGCCTATACTCAAATAAGTTTTGGATAAGTATAAAATATAACTACTAAAAACTTAGAGGATAAGCAGTGCCTTTAGTGGAGCTTAAATAGAATCCTAAATCAGCATTTTTAGAATTTGTGAATAGTTGTACAAATTTGAAACCAAAAGTATCAGTTGAATGGAAGAAGGATGCTTCTTAGAATGGAAACCCAATCAATGTATATTAAGTATAATTGGAATTAAATAATCTATTATTGATAAAGAGGGAGGGAATTAATAAGAGAAACACTGAATAATTAGTGTATAGAGAAGCATTAAAAAGACTTAAATAGATTTAATTAAACTAATCATATTCATAAGGCTCGCAAAATTAATCAACTAAAACATAAGATAAAGAATCTGCAGAAGAAATTACTATATTAGATGAACTAGAAACTTCTATTATAGACTCCAGTCAATTTTTTTAATTTTCTGATCTAAGAGACAATGATCTAAGTTTAGTAGAAAATTAGGGAACTTTAGGATAAAAAGTAGAAACTCTATTAGAACAATTTGCCTTATGATTATAATTTATCACTCAAATTAATATAAATCAATATAGAAATTGATATAATTTAAATTATTATGTTAATTAATCTATATGATTTTATTGAGGAATCTTATTCTCAATCACTTATATAAATATATATATATAATTATAATAAGATTTTAATATCTAAACTTAATATTATAGTATCAAAACATTAATAATATTTATCATATTTAAACTAGACCTTTAAAATGAATGTAAATATTTTGACAACCTTTTAACTTAATTTATAAAGAAAATAATTATATAAAATATTATTGAACATCTGTAACAAATTTCAAATAATGTTGAAAAGTAATTAATATTAAATAGAATACATTTGATGTCAATAAAAATACTAATAAAGATACATAAGATATAACATCAATTGAACTATTAATAAAGTATTTATGAATAGTTCTATATAGAAAAAGAAAAATTATTAATAAAATAAAAAAATCTAAAAAGCTAAAGGAACAATTTTAATTGTAAATAAAAAGAGTTGTTGTTGAATAATTAATTTTCAATTTAAAAATATTGATTAATATGATTAGAATATCTGATAGAATATATTAATAAGAATTTCAATCTGAATTATTAGTTATTATTTTATAAATGTAATAATTATATAATTTTTAGATGTCACTTGAAATAATAATATATCATTTTGAATTTGACTATTTCAGGTTGTCGTTCAATATTTTTTTGTAAGAATACCCATTAAATAAATAACCATCTGCTTTATAAAACTTATTCTGAAACTCAACCCTTTCATTAAAGTATACAGTACCAATGTAAACGAAGAGCATGCAAAAAGCATTCCATAACATCCATTGTCATTAATACTCCAAAAGTAAGCAAAGCAAATACGATATAAAAGTATCCTCCTAATAACCCACCTAAGATTCCTCCAATATCTAATTTGCCAGCCAAACACATATCATAGAATACTTCTGCTAATTAACCATGTGCTAATGATAAAGCCCAAAGACGTAAATATGAAGCTGTATTACTGATTCCTCCTAATACAAATTCAATAGTTTCAATCATTTAATGAACCCAAATCTCACCTGAATCATGTTATTCATTAGTCTATTCACTAAAACTTTTAAGATTAGCAGCATTTTATAAGTCATTATGAAATTATTAATTATTATCATCATCCTATTCAGATACTTGTTTTTCTAATACTAAAGGTTAATATTGAGAATCAGACATATTCACTTTGTGTTTATCATTCTTAGAACCCAAAATTAATGGTTTAGGCAGAAGCATCCAAGGTATACAAATAACAGCAATCAATGTTAAGATTTATGTTAAATGTAATTAAAACTCAGCTTCATTTGGAAATACAGGATATACAGGTTTATCAAATGGTTTCAAGACTTAATTGATCATAGTTTCAATAATGCTTGGATCAGTATTATTTTCATATGTATTTAACCATTTGACTATGATAATGAAATCCATCCATCCAAAGGTACAAATCATGAATAATAATTGAGGAATGAATTCACAAAAGAAATCTAGATAATTTTTAAAATATAAAGTATTGACTCCTTTCATCAGAATACCAAATAACATATGAATTACACCTAAAATAACTGATAATTTCATTTTATAGGAATTCATAAAATTCAAACTTGAACCAGAAGCTTACCAAACTGGATCAACTCCAAATGGATATACACAATCTTTTGATTCTCTTTTCCATTCTTGTTTTTCAGGTGAATAACAACTACCAAATAAATTCAAGGATATAGATAGATAATCATTATAAATGAATCCATTATAAAATGCAAAGAATCCCATCAATACTATTAAATATCTAAAGGGTATCATCAAATTAAACATAGAATCTGTTTACTTTAAGAGATAATTTTTCCAAAATATTATATATAATCCACATAAAAATAACATAAATCCATGAGCAATATCTGCAAACATTACTCCAAATAGGAATGGAAATGTAATTATGGTAAATAAACCAGGATTAACTTCTTAATATCGAGGTATTCCATATGTATTAACAATTTCCTAGAATGGCATAGTTACTTCATTTAAATTAAAATAAGTAGGAGGTGTAGTTGAATATGGTTTGATTTCTTGAATTTAACCTGTTGGATAATGATCTCTATTATTTTTCATTGCATTTCTTAGTTTTTCTTCTACTATAATTTCCAATCCTTCTGGCAACCAAAAATATCCAGTAAATATTGATCCTCTCATTGTTAAGTAATTTAAATTTACATAAAGATACTTTTCCTTCAATACATATAAACGCATGTATTCAAAATAAGAGCAATTGCATCCTTATTTCTACAAAACTAATTCATCTAATGATTATTCTAATTATTGCTTTGACATTTCTATTAAATTTTTAACTTCTAATAATTGTTAATTTAATTCCATCATTTTTCTTTATAATTCATCCATTGAGTTTGGATACTCAATTCTTTATCTATTAAAAGAGTCACACACTTTCAACAATTTCATTTTTAAAGAACTTGATTCATCAGCTCCAGGATATACAATTACATACAGACATCTTGGTGATGATGTATTATTCTACATATATTATAAATTTAAACTTAATTTAAATGAAATGATTATCTCATAGAATTGTCTATTTCTTAATTGTTTAAATCCTTAATCTAAACCCAAGCATTTCCTTTAGTAACTCTAAATATTATTCTTTTAAATCTAACTTCTTCTTCTTTTTCAATTACACCTATTAATTAACCAAATTTTAATTATTAATAATCATTTGGATTATGTGGTGTTTATCTAGATATTAATAAAAATAATAATAATACTATTAGAACATAGATTGACCTAAAATTTCTTTTGCATTTTCTAATACCAATTATTATTCTGTTATTATATTTACTCTATCCAATAGATTTTGTAAATTAGCAGATTACTCTTGAATTTATATTTTTTTTTGTTCTATTTCTGACTCCAATTCATCAAAATACGTATGACCTGGTTTCATTCTATCATATTAAACTTATGAGAAATAATCCAACAACTCTTCTACATTTTCACAATAATTAAGATTTTTTTTGAATTCCTTTAAGAGTAGCTCTAGACAACTCAATTTAAATAGGGAATCATCACATCTTAAATTGATTAATTTTATTGATACCTTTTCACATAATTAGCAAATGGTCTGTTGATCATAGGTAATTATGGATCATAATCTACAAAATGCAATTATCCTAATCTTGCTAATTCATTCATTACAACCCAAGCACTCTCTCTTGGGATTACTAAACTATAATATTTCATCTTTTTAGATCTAAAGAAACTCATATTAATATTATATTTATTGAATGTATTAAATATTTTATCAATCATCATCATCATCTTCTTTCTTAATTTGCATTTTTGCCATCTATTCTTATAATTTTAATTCATCTTCTTCTGAAGCAGGTACTTCTTTTTAAATTACTATTTCTGCTGTTTTCATAGATTCTACTGCTTTCAAGATTTCTTCAGTATATCCCCCTGGAATTTCTATATTAATAGGTGGCCTAATCTTACTATTAAAGATTATTACCAGAATTTTGTCAAATTAGCTACTTTACCTCCATATTATTCTTCTAATTAATTTGCAGGGATTCGCTCTTAAATTTTTGCATATTCATTTGGTTTCAACATTTGAATTTTCTCCATTGTATCAGCATCAGCAACAGCTTTATATAAATTTAATTTAAATACCTGAAACCATTTTCCATGAAAAACTCAAAGAACTTGAAGGATTTAATAAATATAATTTATCCAAACACCCACAAAAATTTACTTGCATTGTTTTTGTTGCAATTTAAATTGCCTATCATATAGAATTTAATATTAAAACTTTAAATGGAAATTTAGAAAGTCCTAATTTTTTTGTGTCCATTATGAAAACCCAATTTTCTATTTTTCCTGGAATAAAACAGTTTTTCTTTATTATACCAAAATAGTAGCTTAATGCATTAATATAGACCTCTTCACTAAACTAAATATTATCTTTATTATTCACTTATTTTAAATTGACTAATTCAAGATTCATTATTATAATGGGTCGTTGTTATTTATCTCTTCCAAAAGTATATACTATTCCTTTTTATAAAAATGCTATATTGATATCAGTTGGTTAGAAATTGTTTGGCACTGATCTCCAAACTAAATGAGATTATAAGACTTTTAAGTAATTCTTATCTTTAAATTTCCCACAATAAACCATTTTCAAAGTATCACAGTCCTACCAACTATTTTGAATATATCAAAATATTTTACTCTGCAGGTAATTATATTTTATTCTTTGCTACTATTTTCATGAAATCAGCCATCTTCTCTTTTTCATAAGCATCATAAGGCACATTCTCCCAAATTCTTCTCTAACTTTTGGATCTCTCTTTTCTCTTTATGTACTATTCTAAATCAATCAACATTATTTATACGATCATGCACTATTGCATCAACTAAATATTAAGCAGGTTTTAGATATTCAAAATTCAGAACCACCTATTATTATTGCATATTAATTTTATTTTAAAATGAGAATATTTTAAATTATACTTATTTCAATCATAGTATTTAGTATCATTCAATAGGGAATGAATATAAAAGATTGATTTATAAATTTGGCTACATATCTATGTTATTTTGGACAGAAAAATTAAGGCATTTTTGGAAATTTATTGAATGGTATAAAAACAAAAGAAACATAAATCAAATTAATGAAATTAGAAGTAATTGTTCCAGTAAAGAATTTATAATGAGATATCAAATTTTAATATTTAACTCTATTTGTTCTTTCATTTTTTATTATTTTAATCCCTATTTGAATAACACTTTCGAATTAATACTCTTATTATCCTAATAAATATCAAAATACTCTTTGATTTTGATAAAATTTCCTTTTTTAGTCTAGGCTTTACATATTTCTTAAGATCAAAAATAATTGAATCATAGTGGATCTTATTATTTTGCTATTTTAATTTTGGAATAGGAGCTATACTTATAATTATTAGCCTTAATAGATGCTCATTAATATTAATTGATGTCATGAAAAACTCTAAATATAATGAATTTTAAAAATATGAAATCATCATAATTTTAGAGTAATTGAAATATATTCAAAAAATGAGAATTATTATTAATGAAAAATTACCAATTTATATCATTGTTCATCTTCTGTAAGGATCATATTAGGTATTCCATTTGTGATTGGATAATTTCTTTTACATGATGGATTAGGGCAAGTCAATTGGCCATCCATTATGTGAGTCTATATAAAATTCTTTCTTTAAATTATTACCTCAAATAAAACTCTATGCAAGTCTTTTAAAAAGGCTAAGTCTTATTCCACATTAGGAGGAATTTGTTTAGGGAATTATTTGAATCCAAGCTATCTTATAATTCAATCTTTTACTTCTCTGACTGTATTGGATAATACCTCAAAATCAAGTTTAGGAATTAACTTTAAAATTGCATCTTTTTTGAATTCTAATTCCATAATAACACTCTTATTCACTTCTATTTTAAGTGGATAATTGTTCTTATCACATTTGTTACACATTAGTAAATTATGAACCAATAATCTCATATTAATTAAATATTTATATATATTTTTATGATATTTTTATTGAGTATTTTTCATTTAATAACATATTTAAAGTAATATTAATAAAATATTTTAATTCCTCATAAGTATTTAATCTTTATTATAATTGTAAAGTAAGTATACATTCTTCCTTTAATATATGAATATTTTAATTATAATAATACATAAGTAATACTTCTGAATAATATTTTAGAATATAAAGATGTTCAACTCATCAAAAAAGGTTAAAAATACAATAAAAATATTTTTGAACCAATTATTAATAATCATGAAATTAGTTTTTAGATTTTTATTTGATATATTAATATGTCTTTTGAATTGCAGACAAGTTACTGGTCAAGTGATTTAAAGAGATATAACATTAAAAATAATTTTTTATATAAATCAAACTATTAATTACTTACGTTTTTGAATTAAAGTACTTTGATTAATACTTTTTAGCTTTGGTACCTTTCGTTTTATATTGTACAATTTATCATAAACAAAATAGTATCTTTTTGAATTTGGAGAGTCATGAACACTGACAATTCTATTTACAAACTCCCTTTAACTTTGTTCCTATGTTGCTTTTTCAGAATTTTAGTGTAGCTCATCTGTGTCTAATAAACATATCTCTGAATTAGGACTCTCTCCACCAATTTTCTCTTCAACCCAACATGGAGGTTCAAAACTATCCTAAACTTATTCCCTAATCCTCTATTAATAAGTTGTAGTAATCAAATGTCCACTTTAATTGGTAGATGTACATACTCCCATTTTTTAGTAAAAGGAGACTAATAATTTAATAATAAATATTCCTCAAAATTTTATTTATTGGAAACATAAATAGTTTAATTTCAAAATGATTTAAAAAAAAGACAAGTTTTAATGAAATATTAAAAAGATGTCTTAGAACACCATCTTAATCTGGCTAGACAAAAACTCCATTAGAATTAAAAAAGAATTAGAAATAATGAGTATATGCATATATGTAATTGATTCTGATTACTTTTAATATTCTGTCCTTCTTTTAACAATTATAGAAAATCTTATTTACCTCATTTTAAGGTAAATTGGAAAATTTAAATTTTCACATATATTTTTCAATTATCTAATACACAATTAATTAGTTAAAATAACACTGATATTAATAGATGATAATTTTATTTAAGTAACTCATAAATATTTGCATATTTTGTTAGTGATCAATATTTTATCAATACAAAATATAATAATATTTACCTCTTATAAATTTTAGTTCTCTTTTAAAGAAATTCTTGATCTTTTAACAGAATTAGCCATCATTTATAATAAAATAGTTTGCATTTCTTTTTAGTATTTACATTAAACTGAACTCTAAATAATAATAAATGATATTTTATAATATATCTAAGTCTTTAAAAAATACGATTATCTATTCTTATTAATACATGCAATAGTAAAAACGATAAATATCTATTAAAAAATGTTATGTAGATTTCTAAGAAATTATAGAGAACTTCAAACTTAATTATTTTTTTACTTTTTATTGGTTATTCTTTTTAGAGTCAGATTAATTATTGTAGATTATATTAGACTAAGAATACTTGTCCAATTTGAAAGAAGTAATGCTTTGATTTTACTTACATTATGATGTGCAAAAGATCATAATTAATAAGATATCTTCATTTTGGTTGGTGAAATATATTTGTCAAGATTGAATTTAAACAGAAATTAAAAATGAAAAGAAAGAATTAGATTTAGATATTGAAATATTCAATTTAAAGTTATATAGAATAATTTGATTGATCATCTTCTTATTAGGTTTTCTTTTTAGGTCATGAAATTTTGATATTGCATATTTAATACATCATGGATTGTACAAGCACGATTTATCAATTATTATTTTGTACTCAATTTTTCTTAAGAGTTTTTATTTTCTCTTGGATAATGAGTAGAAGGTTCTCTATGATAAGGAACATCACGAGTAGCATAATTATGTTTTTCAGATACTTTAGGTGATTCAGATTATTTCATTGTTTTTTTATCAAAAACATCAAATAATTGATCTTTCCATTTGCTTACTAAATTATTCTTTTAAGATATTTGACTATCAAATAGTTTTTTAGAATTATTATTATTTCTACTCTTATCATCACTATCTTCATAAATTAATTTTTATTTAGGATTTGCATTCAGACTCTCTTAAGTCAAAACCTTTTAATTCTTTTTATCCTTTTCCTTCTCTCTATAATCTTTAAATTCATGAAGATCTTTACTCTCTCTAATAGTATTTTTTTCTAATGATATATGAGATTTATCATTTTTAGGCCATAATTCATTAAGTTTCTCTGATTTAATAGGACTAAATTTGTTGGGTCTATCTTATTTTTCAAAATGAACATTTAGTTTTGAATCTATAGGTTTCTCATCTGAATTTTAATTCTTCATAAATAAATCTTTTTATCTAATGGATTGAGGAAAATCTTATAATAAATTAGGAACAGATGCACTTAACTAAGATTAGGCATTTGTTGATAATTTAAGTAATTGTCTCTATGTAGCTAATATTGAAGATTTCTATAATATTATTATAATAATGATTACAATTTAGAGAGAAGATGATGGAGTATTTAAAGACTTTTCTATATCAATTAATAATTTGCTAATATCTTCTTAAGATTTATTTAAATTTTAATAGATTAATGAATTAATTTCTTCTTGAAATTAAGCCATTTATTGTATTTATTATTCAAGATCTTTTTCTTATTTTTAAATTTCTAATAATTGAATCATTTCTAAACTATTTATATCATTAAATGTTTAATTTTTCTTTTATTCTAAACTCAAAATAAACTAATGATTAATATAATAATTATTACTTATTAATATTGACTATTGATTTCATCTTTAGTTTATTTACATTTTGATTGAAATTAATGTTTCTAATCCTATATATCCTTAATGGCTTCAAATTTAGATTTAAAACTCTTTTCTAATCTCTCTAAATACAATTATAGTCTTTCATTGGCCATTGAATTCTTCTAATTTGATTAATGTTGAGATCCATCATTTTATTCACCCAAATCACGTAAATCATCAATTACTTCAACTACTTCACTATCGTTATTAGATTTAGATTTAGAATTAATTTAATTTTATTCAATTAACGGAACTATTATTTCTTTGATGACCATATGAAGGGCTTCAACTGTATCTTAATCAAGTTTAGTAAGATGATTGCATTTAAAACATACTGCTACTCTTTCAAGTTCTTCTAGATTTTACTTCTCCTGTTAAATTTATAAGTAATTATAGGCCAAACATATCAAACAAAATTTATGATCGCATTCTAATTTTACATAAGTCTCTGGTACTGTTTAACATTAATCACATTCAACATCTTATTAAGAATCCATTTCAATATTCTATACTAATTTAATTAATATATAAATTTTATATCGTTAGATTAAAGAAACTTTATTGAATTTTAATCATTTCAAGTTGATTAAATATCTATTAGAAAAGTATTCATTTAAAATTATAAACATAATCTAATCAATTTTAAATAAATTACTTTTTGTTTGAAATTTTTTTTAAACACTTAAGCATTTTATAATACAAATATAAAAATTATTTTAATATTTGATAATAGTTTTAAAAAAATTTAATCAGAATTAAAATGATCAACCTTATTAATTACGAATTATTGCTGATATTTTATGTTAATACGCACTAAATCTGAATAAAAATAGAAATTTATGTTAAATTTTTCAATAATTATAATAAAAACTTATTTAAAATAACCTACACCATGCTTTTTCCAGAACTTTAATCATTAGAAGACTTTGAATATATTAAAAATCTAGGATCAGGATATTCTTCAACGTATTATACTTTATTCTATTATCATAGTGTTGATCTATATAAACACATTTAAACCAATAAAATAGTAGCCGTGAAGAAATTATCGATAAAAAATTTATCTTAATCTGAATGTAGAAAAACTTATGATACTGAAATAACTATCCTAACAAAATTAAAAGGTTGCTCAAATGTAGTTTAATTAATTGGATTTGGATTCTACACTACCATAGATAATAGTACTAGAAGAACGAAAACTTTAAACAATTATTTCCTAATTTTAGAATATATTGATGCATAACCTTTGGATAAAAATAATGAAAGAATTACTAAATAATTCTACTACAAACTTTTATAAAGTATAATTTATAATCTATATTGTAGCTGTTTAAAAGATTCATGAATTAGGAGTAGTTCATAGAGATTTAAATTTAAATAACGTGTTGGTATAAAATAATGAACCTATACTGATTGATTTTGCCTTTGGTGCAGTTACAAATGGCAAGTAGAAATTTGCTGAATTTTATGGAACTAAACCTTATGTAGCTCCAGAAATTGTTGATGGATAATCCTATCTTCCATACCCTACTGAAGTATATAGTTTAGGAGTTATATTATTGGAATTAATAAATAACAATGAATCCTAAGAAATAGCAGCCTAGATGATGCAATAAAATCCATATAAAAGACCTAACCTGGAAGATGTTATTGCCCATCCTTACTTCTAATTTTGATTTTAATTATTTGTATTTCTCTAATATCAATTATAACTTACTATCTCACAAATACATAACAAATACTCTTAAATACTATAATTATATTCTTTATATCAATCAAACTAATTTATTAGATATAGTACTCTATAATCTATATTATTAATAACATAAAATTATTATTAGAATAAATTCTATAATGAATATAATAAAATCATTCTATAATTATTTAATAATTAAGTATTCTCATTTAACAAATATGTTTATTGTACTTGAAATTCTAATGGTAATAATATAAATTTAAATAAGTAAATAATTTACATATATTTGATATAATTTATTTATTTTTCAATAAATGAAATCAATCTATGGAGATCCTGAATTAATAAGGTGGTTGAATAAGGAAATCAAACTTTAACCTGCTATTGTTGATATTGAGAAACAATTTTAGAATTGGTTTTATTTTTAAGAAGTACTTTACAAAACAGGAAATCCTCTTAAGAAAATATTAACTAATAAATTTGATGAATATTCAACACAAAAGAATATAAAGATAGTTAAAAAGCACATTATAAAATTAGTAGGAATTGAACCAAAAGTTGAAAAAGGTTAATCATAAATAGAAGAATATTTGAAAGCAATAAAATCACATTCTAAGCCAATTGCAGTTAATTCATTACTTACAATAGCTCGTAAAGAGACAAAGGATGTTTTGAATGAATTGACAAAAACGTTAAAAGTAACAGATAAAAAATAAGTTTAATCTTTAGTGAACAAGTAAATTATGAAACTGTTATATCAATTTTTAGTTATGAATAGAAGTTTATAAACTCATTGCCAAAGAAATTAAAGTCTATTGAAGAGAGTTTACATAGATTTAGAGATGAGAAACTTATCCATGAGATTCAAGCAGTTTAATTAAAATAGAAGGATGAAGAAAAGGAGAGATAATGGTTATAATCATTAAGAGAGAATGAATTGGAAAAAATAAGAGCAAATCATGAATTTATTAAAGAATAAGATAAAAAAATATATGAATTCTGGAAATATACAGAAACAATTAAACATAATCGTATTGAAAAAGAGACAAAATTAAATGAAATGATGACTGGAAGATTAGTAGCTGAAATTAATCAAAAGAAAAAAGATGATTAAAAGGCTATGGATAACAATATATATCTATTTTTGTAAACTTGTATCAGATAAGGCATTGAAATAGAAAAAGATCCATCTAAAAAGCCAGTACCTGAAAAGGCTAAATTCTCAGCAGTTGCAACAATGATGAAAATAAGAGAAAGGACACATAAGACTGAGGAAGCTAGAAAGGCAAGATAGAAACGTAGAAATAAAATGTTAGTTGAATAATTAAAATAGTAAGAGTTAGTGGAGGCTAAGAAAAAATTAGATGAATTAGTTGATAAATTTACAGAATATGGAAAAATAGCTAATTAAGAGGCAGCTTTAAGATAGAGAGAGAAATTGAGAGGGAAATTATAATTTAATGAAAGGATATTGATGTGTTAAGTATTGGAGGAATAAAGAGAAATGTTTTTTGAATAATTAAGAAATGAAGCTAAAGCTAGAGAATAAGAAGTTAGATTGTAGAGATAAAAAGAATGGAGAATACTTTAAGTTTAATATATGGAATAGAATTATAATAGAAAAGTGTAAAAGAGATAGAAACATATTTAATAAATGCAACCATTAATATTGACAATATTAGATTTGGCTGATAAATGTTATTTAAAAATGAATGAAAATATAGAAGAAAATACTAAACCTTTAACATTAGATAAGAAGGTTTGGAATAAATTTATTGAAGAATGGCAAAATGAATTATCATAAGTTAAACCTCTTAATGATAATATTCCTGCAGCTATTACCTAAGATTTTGTTGAATATTATCATGCAGTTAAAGATTGGAAATCTACTTAAAATGATAGTTAATTAATGGCAAATATTTCATTGGCTGAATTTCTATTTGAAATTACAGATGAATTATATCCAATGTAACCATTAAAAGAAGGCATCAATTTTTATTTACCTCTTAAAATATCATTAATAGGAGGTAAATTTAGTGGTAGAAGAACTACTGCAAAATATTTAAATTAGAAATATGGTTTAGAAATTATAGATATAGAATCTATAATTAAAGAATCTTTGAAACTTGCATTTCCTCCTGTTGAAGATCCAAAGAAAAAAAAGGATACAAAAAAAGTAATTGAAATTCCTGTTGTAGAAAATCCAGAATTAAAAGAATATGGTTTATTAATAAATGAATATAAAGATTAAATTATTCCTGATGAATTATTATTAAAAGGAATCTTAATAAAATTGAATTAAACATTTGGTTAAAGAACACCATTATAAGTTGCATAAGAAATGAAAGAAGCAAAAGAAATGTAATTAAAGAAAGATTAATAACCTGTTGTTGAAGAAGTTAAAAAAACATCAAAGAAACCTGGTAAAAAGGATGCACCATAAAGTACTGGACCCACTTAAGAAGATTTAATTAAAGAATATATGAATTCAAAATAATTTTATTATACAAAAGGATTTATTTTGATTGGATTTCCAGAGAATGTTAATTAAGCTAAGATGTTAGAAGAATAATTAACTGGTTTTATTCCATATGAAGAAAGGTTGAATTAGATAGCTGAAGAAAAGAAAAAGAAATTTTAAGAATTATTAGATATACCTACTTAAGAAGAATCCAACAAAATTTAATAATCAGGAATAGATTTAATTATTAATCTTGATACTCCTTATGAATAAAGAGTTTAAAGAATGTAAAATAGAAGAATAGATCCTCTAACAGATATAATCTACAATTTAGAAGAAAATCCACCTCCTCCAGAAATCAAACCAGATAAGTTATTAAAAATAGATAATGAAACTGAAGAGTAAATTTAAATTTAATATTAGAAAATTATAGAAGGATTTTCAATAATTTAATGACAATTTACCTAAACTATTTGATTGGTGTGAATAATTTGGATTTGAAGATGATTTTAAATAATTACATCATACCAAAACTGTAGGCAAAGGATTTGAAGTTGCAAAATCTATTGATGGTTTGATTAACAAAGTACTTACACATAATTGTGAGTATTTAAATTAAATTACTGAAGAAATTTTAGCATCAGAATTATAATAAGAATAATAATCTTAATAAATATAGACTTAAGAAAATCAAGATATGGAAAAAGTAGAAGAATAGAATCAAGAATAATAATAAACATAATTAATATAAGATAAATAAAGTCTACTTGATGCTAAATAATCAACTGAAAGAGGAAGATCTCAATTAGCATCAAGATAAAAAGATGCTTAAAGTGAATTTTTAAATTAAGATTAATTAAAAGGCATTTTGAAATAATGGGATGAAATTTCTAATACTTATATAAGAGAAAGTACAATATATATTAGAAGGATGAGTCATTAAAGAAAAAAATGTTAATAAATATTTTTATAAACTCAAAAAAGTTTTATAGAATTCTTTGAAAGTCCTGATAATAAATTAAAATTAATGCATGAATTTTAATAAAGTTATAATAAATTCTTATAAGAAAATGATGATTTATCTAAATAAAAAAATGCCAAATAATAATTAAAAGATCATTTACAAAAAACATATGAATAATTATGGGATATTTTAAATCATAAGAAAAATTAAGCATTAGATTTTGTAAAAAAATTAAAAAAAGATAGATTTGTAGCCATTTAAATATAATAATTTATGTAACATGTACTAATGCTTTTATAAACTGAAACTAATTTATTAACTGAAATTTAATTACTTGGAAAACCTTGGAGTGAACATTTTATTCTTGAACCTCCTTAATCATAATTAATTGATGGATATAAATTTCCATAATTAGAAGTACTAATTTCATATTATTTTGATTGTCTTGATAAAATTACTTAAGGTGAAGAATCATTAATTATTAAAATTTAAAAAGAAATTGCATATAAAAGAGGTTAAATCATTAGAAGTGTTGCTTACAGTAAAATGACTGAAATGTTATTAATGGAAGATATTTTAAATTCAAGAATTGATGATTGGATTATTTGTGGAATTAAAAAGTAATTATAAATAATCTAATTTTTAGTGAAAATGATTTTTGTTTTGAATCAATTAATTATCTAAAACAATAAATTGAAAATAGATAACCAGCTATACTAACAATACCAGAACCTAGTCCTATTTCTGAATCTTTTAAGATGGTTTATATGTAATAACATTTAATTCCTGAATCTGAAAAATGGAGATAGGCCATTCAATTCTATGAAGAAGTTAAATCTCTTAGTGATTCAGCTTGGATTCCTTTGGATATATATGAATCTTTCTAAAGAAGAAGAACTAAATTCCTCTCTTAATTCAAATTAAATATTAATAAGATAGCCAATTTAGGTTGTTATCCAAATGTTAGATTTAGCTATCAAACTTTATTAATTATTATAATATTATATAATTGCAGAGTACCAACCTAAGAGGAAATTTAATAATTAGTCGATGATATTTAATAAGTAGAGCCAGATGATTAGAGAGATTATTGGATAGAAGTATTCAATTATATTATAATAGTATTAATTTTGGTTTGATGACAATTTTGCAGAGTAAGAATTCAATTTAAAAATTTATGTTAAAAACTTTCTATTCAATGTATTGTAATCCCAAGACTTAGTAATAAAACATTTATATAATTTTTAGGCTGTTTCTGTAAAAGAGAATTTTGGATATTTTAAATAATTTGAAAATTAATTATTTTCATCTATTTTTGAAGAAGAAGTAATTGAAGAAGATAAAAATTCTAAGTAAAAATGAATATTAAATAATTGAATTTCTTAATAATAACAAAAACAAAAATATTAGGTTAATCATTACACTTATTTTTATATATAATCTTTTATTTTTTTATACCATTTATGAAATGGAACACCTTCAGCCAAAAATTAATCATAGAGCATATCAACATTTACAACATAATATTTAGTCTAATTAAGATTTAATTTAACAGATTAACTTATCTAATTAATATTAATCTTATATACCAATGTATAAAAGTCTTTATAAGGATTTCTGCTTCCAAACAATATGGGTTCGCACTCTGTACTCAAATCTTTAGATAATCTCCTTTAAGATTTTTGACAGACAGCTTCCTCATCATCACTGTTGGATGATAATGACTATTGGGTTTAAGCAATAGTAGCTAACTTAACCCAATTTATGCTTTAATTTTTAGAATGACAATGAGTATATTTCAAATGATGACCAGCTTCTCTTATACTATTTGTACGTAGAATGGTCTATGAGCAATTTTCAGCTTATATATTTTCTTTTTAATTAGATTGGGGATTTAATTCTATGCTAGAACAACTTTCTAATTATTTTAGTTTTACACTATCACATGAAGAACTACTATTTTAGTGTCCCTTAATGTTTAGGTAAGTTTGAAGTTTAGATTCTTCATGATCAAGGGCAGATCCAATATTGGACTGCTTTTCTTGTTATAATAATTTTCTCAATTCTTTAATTTCCATTTACTGGTCTTCATTTTACTTTTTCACATTTTCTAATTATAATTATTGATTTTTCAATGATTTCATCATTTCATAAGTACTTGATTTCATATAATTAATTTATTCATCTTTCTCTTTTTCAATAAAATATTCTTATTTAATCATTCTATCTTCTATTAATGAAAATTCTTCAACATCTTATTTATGATGTACTTTAAGTGTCTCAATTTCCTATAATGATTAATTATACAATGTTTATAAGTTAAAAAACTCTTAATTTAAAGCTTAATATTTTAATTTTTCTTCTTCAAAGGTTTATTAACCTTATTCAATAAGAAAGTCTTGAAAAATAAAAATAACTTATACAAACGATTGAAATAAGTTAATGAACTATTTCTTCCATTTAAGAAAGGTCTTAACAATTTCCAATATTAGTTTGACATTCCTAAATGAACTCAATTATCTTCTTTTCCATAGGGTTGAAAATTAGGGTGAGTAATTATTTAAAATATTAAAAACCATTTATATCAGTCAATTTATATATATATATGAAATTTGTTAGATATGCTCAGATTTGTTGACTTTGGAATTTAAAAGTATTAAATTATTTCATGTTATTTTAACAATACAATGAAATATAAAATGTAAAGTATTTGATTTAAAAAAAGAGAAATTAGCATATTTTAATTTGTGTATAATATGTAAATAGTTGTTACATAATTAAAATTGATTTGATTATTTTTTATATTTAATTATTTTATGATATTATTAAATATTTAATGAGAATTGAATAATTAAATAATATAGTCAACTAAGATGTTCTCCAATATTATTTAATTTATTGATAAATAATTGATATTAATGCAAAAGAATAAGATTTTCTTAAAAGGAATTAAATAGTTTGATATGTTTGCCCAACCATTATAATTATTAGTTGATAAAAAAGAATATCACTAAACATTATTTGGGTCAATCCTAACACTCTTATTACTTGCATTATTTTCAAATCTATTTTATCAAAAATTAGTTACATTATTTAACAAAAGCAATCCTTCCTCATTAAGTTCAGAAATCTATCATTCTTAACCTGAATTATACAATTTGACTCCTTTTAACTTCACAATGACAATGGCCTTTTAAAATTCAACTTATAATACATACATTGATGAATCAATTTATGTTGTTAATGCATATTTAGTCAAAAAGAATGTTAAAGAATAAAATGGATAAAAAATTGATGTCTATGATAAACAAGAATTACCATTAGTGGAATGTAATTAGGATTTAATTAAATAAAAAGAATTAAAACAATATTTTTCTCATTTTGATTTACCAACTAATTATTGTATTGATTGGAATTAAATTCCTAATATTCAAATTCAAGGTACTTTTGATGCTCCAAAATTTCAATACATAATAATGTAATTTAACACCTGTACTGAATAAACAAAAAAAAGCAAACCTTGTAAAAATTAAAAAGAAATAGAATAAGCATTAATGCAGAATTATTTTTCATTTTAAATTTCATCTTAAACCACAAATTTAAAAAATCCTAAATCTCCATATTAACCAAAAGGACAAGATCTATTTACAACAATCTCAAGTAATATATACAAGGAGATTTCTATATACTTAGAACCATTGACTACAATTACAGATGTTGGTTTGATTTAAACAGAATTGGAATATGAAAAAACATTAAGATATGGCAGACATACAGAAATGTTAGATTTGAGTCAATCTGATTTAATTATGAATGTTATAATTAGACTAGATACTACTGAATATGTAGATTATAGAACATATCCAAAGATATAAGAAATATTAGCAGAATTAGGAGGTTTATGGTAAGTATTGTTTACTCTCTTTTATATTATTTCTAAACCTATTAATAAAATTAGTCTTCTTCTTGAACTTATTAATTCTTTATATGAATTTTAAGATATCAATTAATATGAGGACAGCAAATAATAGAAAGAATCCTCTTAAACTAAAAATTAAAAATTAGGCTCTCCTTTATAGAGATAATTAGAACAATAAATTCAGATTGGTCAAGATTAAATTGTAACTAATAAGACATTATCGATAAAGGATAATATTTATAAAAAATAAGGGCCAAAGGATAAATCATATAAAACCATTCTTTAAACATACATTCAATACATCCAAAAAGCTTTATTTCGTTAAAATATCAAATATAAATTTGGATACATAAATGCATTTTAAGCAATGAGGTGTATTGTCACTAAAGTAATATTTATAATAATTTTAGGATGATGAAAATATACTTCAATTCCGTTAGGCTCATAAAGAAATCAACAGTTAACTTAATATTCTTAATATATTAAAAAGACTATAAGATGTTGAAAAATTGAAGCACATAATTTTTAATGAAAATTAACGTATTCTATTTGATAAATTTAACAATATCCCATAAAAGGCTTCATAATTAGAAATAAAATCGTATAATGATCAACAAATAAAATAATAAGGTATTTCTTCAGATGCTATCTTATAAATATTATCTGATCAAAATAGTGAAATTAATTAAAAACTTATAGCTTCCATAGATGTTACTGTTAGTAATTTAATATAAAAATGTAAGCAAGAAAATGTTGAAAATTAAGAAAAAAATTGAATTTTATAAATTAATCAATCTTATTTTAATCTTATTTTTTATGTTTCTATTCTTACAAAAAAATCATATTTGAATAAATTCAAATTAAATTATATCTATCACCTCTTAAATAAAGAAGTCAAACTATTACTCCTTAAAAATAATAAAAATATTATCTATAAAAAGTAGTTATTTTAAATCAATATTTCTAGCTGATGCATAATTTCACTAAATTCATTTAGGAATTAACAAAATTCAATGGGAACATCAAAGTTTAATTCTAATAATTTAATCTTGTTTATAAATATTTGAGAATCAAACAAAAATAATCATTTATATATAAAAATTAATTTTTATAATGACCAATACTGTTCTCTATGAGATGCCTTAAGTATTTGCATACGAAGATGAATCTAACAAAATATTCACATTTTTACTGTCTTTGCTCTCTTGTATAGATCTCTTACATTTGGATCTAAAAATTCTAAATATTTATCATAATTATTTTTTGAATTACCCCATGGAGAGCTTTGAATTATAATAAAATACAAATGCATTAATTGCATTTTCCTCTAATAGAATAAAATAATGGAGTACTACTTACTAAAATATAAAGATAGAAATAATACAATGTCTTTACTATTAACCTCAGCATAATTTTTTAAAATTAAAATTGCCATATCAGGATAATCTCTAATAACTGCATGTTGAAGCATAGATAATTGAAAATGATCATAATCATAAACTAGATATTTATTTTATATTATAAATTAATTTGCAATTTCAATATCACTTATTTTTACTTTTTGAAAACATTATTAAGATTTATGGCTTTAATAAGGTTTTGTTTAAAAAACTATTGACTAATAATATCTTCATATCATAAATTATGTTCAATCTGTAGAAATATAGTTATTTATAATAATACTCGTTTAATTTTATTATTTCTATTTTAAATTATCAAGATTTATTTATTTTCATTTTACTCACTAACTGTAATTTTATTTTCATCAATCTATTTATTTAATTCTTTAATTTTATTAGAATGTATATTAGAAAAATGATTTTGAAAAATTGACTTTTATTACAATTCTTTAATAGTATCATAATCTTAAGATGTCAATTCTTCATCTATTTCAATGAAATCTTTAATATCGTTTTTATATTGATTATGCAAAACATTATTTTTTATACCTCTTTTGACAGATGAATATAAATTGATATGATGAATATTTTAAATTTGTAATTATTCAAAAATATTATATTATTACTCTTATTAAGTTTAACAATGTCTTCTTAATTCATTATTTTTCTCAATAAATTCTATTTATTTTAAATGTTATAGTACATTCTAAATTCATCTTTTTGGTTTTAGCTTTTTTCTTAATATTACTCATACTCGAATTTATACCTAAAAGCTCTTTTCTAAATAAATATGATTGCATTTACTGATATTTTTATTTTTAATTTAAATAGGTTTCACAGGTGTCTCAACTACAAAATACTTGTCACTATTAATTTATTAAATTTTATTATAAATTTAACTTTATTATTAACTTATAGATTGATTATAATTTTAATTTGATTATTTTTTTGCTGAATTTATAATTTCTAAAAATTTTTATTATTATTCTAGTTATTTATTTTATTTAGTAAACCAAGACTTTCTTTAAACATCAGTTTTTTTTTTTCCAAATTGAGAAATTTGCTAAAATGATATCGTGAGTCTGATTTTGTTACAGTCATAAAAGCAAGGTCTAGATTAGAAACTTGCTTCTATTGAATATGATTTTTTGTTTTTGATATTAATTTTTGTGAATTTAATAATTGAGAGTCTGTTTTATTTTTTTTAATTTAAACTAGAGTTTCTGTAGTTGAGTGTATTTTAATAGATCTGAATATCTAATTTTATGTATTGATTTTGCATTTCGATTAATTATATCCTTTCATTTATTTTAATAATATATGCGATAAAATATAAAAAAAATATAATTTTTTGTTAAAAAATAAATTAAAAACTATTAAGAAAATTAACGATTCATTTATTTACTATTTTTTTATTGTTGTATTTATTAATAAAATTCTTATTTATTAACAAAAGTTGAAGTAGAAATCAATAATAATAAATTTTATGTTCTATAGTTAATATTAGTTATGTAATTCTAGGTCATTAATTATTGTTATGATATAAATAGTATAGAAATAAAGAATAAAATTGATAAAAGTAGTATTTTAATAGTTTATTGGCTAAGAGAATATACAGGATGTAATGATAATATGATTAATTTAAATAATTTTTTTATTTTAAATTAATTATGGATTAAGGATTAGATGCTGCATAATTGTTGGCTGAATTAAAAAAGCAAGATGAAGTAAATAAGTTACAATAAATAAATAGTGGGCCAAAGCTATAATATTTGATGAAGATCTAAATGTGATAACTCATAAAAATTGTGCAGCTTCAAAGGAAGAGTTGGCACCTTATTTAAAGGCATATGATGTAAGAGATAACACAATAGGAGCAGGATTTGTGTTATTAGGAGAGAATTATGAAGTTCATAGATGGCATCCTCCTCTGATTTATGGAAGAAGAGGGGATGCAGATGTAGGAGAAGGGATTTCATTAGCTAGAGTAATATGGAAAAGTTAATTATTTATTAGGGGATTAGTAAAAAGCATAATGGTAAGAGGGTTTACTTGTTGATAACCTATGAATTACCAATAGTTAGTGCAAGAGCTGTTCCACAATAAATTAATTTTTATAATCAATATATTGGTGAACTAGAAAAATTTGATATTAAATAATAGTGAGATATGAAAAATATAATAAGATTAACATAAACTTATTTGTGGATATACAATATGCATTTTACTATACTAATGATAATCATATTCATTTTTTGGCTACTTTCTTTGCTCCTCTCTTTTGATAGAATGTATCATCTCTTCTGAATTCAAATTCCAAATCTCTTGTTGTGAGTACTTTATAAACATCTTTAATTGCATCAAGTCTATGCTCTAATTCTTTTTGATCGCTTTCATCAAGGAATCTTAATAATTTATTGACAATTAATTTACATTCTATAAAATTTAGTACCATCAACTCTGACTCTTGTTCTTCTTCCAAGAATGACTGATGGACTTATTAAATCTTCAAGTAAACCCTCATAGACAGATGTAAGTGTTCTTGAGTTAGGTCTGGTTTAAGATCTGTGATTCTTAACCCATTTGCTTTCTATTGTTCTTTTGGCAGCTACTAAGATTGTGGCTTTGACTCTCTTTTCTAATTCAGGTAATAATTTTGAGCTATGATTAATTGAAAACTCTTACCTAATCTTATTATAAATGCTCAAACATGGATATGGGATCAATACTAAATAGACCTACTTCTTTGCATTAATTTTTGCAGTGTAGTCAACAACAGATGATACTTTGAGATTCTTAACTTCAGTTATTGTTGTTTCAATTTATGTCAATGCTGATCCAACTTATTATTCTAAGCTTGATAACTTAAAGTTAGATTTAATTTCTTACTTCCTTCTTTTTCCAAAATTTGTTAGCTGCCATTTCCTTTCAATAAAATTTGATTTATTATTTAAATCTTTTTATATTTATAATCAGATGTAATAATCTCAAGCAATTAACTTAATACCTGAATCAACATCCTTAATAATAGAACCTACAGATACAACTGGAGCATTGTTATTAGGAAATATAAGTTCATTGACAAAATCATATAAATAAAACTAAGTTAAAGTATATATCATTTAAATTTTAAGGCTGCAATTACTGTTTGTGAATTCTCAGAATTTGATGANTCCTCTGATTTATGGAAGAAGAGGGGATGCAGATGTAGGAGAAGGGATTTCATTAGCTAGAGTAATATGGAAAAGTTAATTATTTATTAGGGGATTAGTAAAAAGCATAATGGTAAGAGGGTTTACTTGTTGATAACCTATGAATTACCAATAGTTAGTGCAAGAGCTGTTCCACAATAAATTAATTTTTATAATCAATATATTGGTGAACTAGAAAAATTTGATATTAAATAATAGTGAGATATGAAAAATATAATAAGATTAACATAAACTTATTTGTGGATATACAATATGCATTTTACTATACTAATGATAATCATATTCATTTTTTGGCTACTTTCTTTGCTCCTCTCTTTTGATAGAATGTATCATCTCTTCTGAATTCAAATTCCAAATCTCTTGTTGTGAGTACTTTATAAACATCTTTAATTGCATCAAGTCTATGCTCTAATTCTTTTTGATCGCTTTCATCAAGGAATCTTAATAATTTATTGACAATTAATTTACATTCTATAAAATTTAGTACCATCAACTCTGACTCTTGTTCTTCTTCCAAGAATGACTGATGGACTTATTAAATCTTCAAGTAAACCCTCATAGACAGATGTAAGTGTTCTTGAGTTAGGTCTGGTTTAAGATCTGTGATTCTTAACCCATTTGCTTTCTATTGTTCTTTTGGCAGCTACTAAGATTGTGGCTTTGACTCTCTTTTCTAATTCAGGTAATAATTTTGAGCTATGATTAATTGAAAACTCTTACCTAATCTTATTATAAATGCTCAAACATGGATATGGGATCAATACTAAATAGACCTACTTCTTTGCATTAATTTTTGCAGTGTAGTCAACAACAGATGATACTTTGAGATTCTTAACTTCAGTTATTGTTGTTTCAATTTATGTCAATGCTGATCCAACTTATTATTCTAAGCTTGATAACTTAAAGTTAGATTTAATTTCTTACTTCCTTCTTTTTCCAAAATTTGTTAGCTGCCATTTCCTTTCAATAAAATTTGATTTATTATTTAAATCTTTTTATATTTATAATCAGATGTAATAATCTCAAGCAATTAACTTAATACCTGAATCAACATCCTTAATAATAGAACCTACAGATACAACTGGAGCATTGTTATTAGGAAATATAAGTTCATTGACAAAATCATATAAATAAAACTAAGTTAAAGTATATATCATTTAAATTTTAAGGCTGCAATTACTGTTTGTGAATTCTCAGAATTTGATGATAAAAATGTTTCTAATTTACTCTATACATTTGGATAATCATTTAATTATCAATATTGAAGATAGTGAAGATGAAAATATATTATAATACTTTGAAAAAACAAATAAATTTATAGAAGAAAACTTAAAAGTAAAAATTTATAGATACAAAGATAGAAAGGTAATTTATTAGTACATTGCATGGGTGGAATCTCAAGAAGTGCTACTATAATAATTGCATATATTATGTGGAGTTAGAAAAGGAGTTATAAAGATGCTTATAAATTTGTGGATGAAATGAGAGAAGGAATTTATCCTAATGAGGGTTTTAAACATTAACTTAAGGAATATGAATTGTAATTAAATAAATTGTAATGAATGAATTATTATTAATAATTATAATTAATGTTTAAGCTTGTATTTTAAATAATTGAGTTTTCGTTGTCTTTTGGATTGTGTCTATTTATAAAAATAGGAAGAGAAGAAACTAAAATGAGTGGAAGAGTTCTTAAGTTTGCCTATAGAGTAGAAAAGAACCTTTTATATAATTATGAATTTGGATAATATACAAAAGTAGGTAATGAGTTTACAATAGGTTTTCAGATTTTGCCTGATTCCATTTTTATTATCAACTTTATATCGAAAGATGACAAAACTTGAATCATCATTTAATTTTTATCAGATAATTTTATTAGTGATTGATCTATTATCATTAACTGATTATATAAACACAACAGAATCATATTAAAGATATTGTCTAATTTATGCAATTAGAATAATTAGGACAACAATTATGTTAATTGATTTAGTTAAAGATATTACAAAATTAATTATAGGACATTAAGAATAAAGACTATAAGCAAAACAAATTTAAATATCATAACAACTTCTTTAATAAAATCAATTAGAATAAGCAAAATAACAGGAAAGTTTGGATGAAGAATCAGACATAGATGAATCATAGAAATTAATCAATACAAAAAAATAATAATAATAATAAACTTTAATAAAACGACTAATATTTCCATAAATGAAAATTCCTTGCATTGCATTAAATTTAATTATTAATCAACAATAATATTATATATAGATAATTGATCCTTGGAGTTTTGATATATCATTCTCAAAAATCTAAATCAGGGAACAATTATTGATAATGATAAAACTCAACTTTTGTTGTTAAATTTATTAGAATCTAAAGAAATCTAAATGTAATTAATAAGCACTGTATTAATATAGAGAATTAATAGCTTAATATCTATCTTAAATTATTTGGATGAATTGATTAATAAATTTGTATATATTTATTAAATTATATATATATATATAAATATCAATCTACTTCTTCCATTTTTGATTTTGTAGCCTCTGTATTGGCAGTTTCACTTTTCTTTTCTAAACTTGGTAATTTCTCATCTTCTTCTTCAATTGTTGTATCATCTATTGATAATCCTAATTTAATCATCTTATGAATTCTGCTAGCAAAATGAGCTGGATCATCTAAACTAAATCCTGATGTCAATAAAGCTGTCTCATATAATAACCAAATAAGATCTTTAACAGTTTTATCACTCTTGTCTTTATCTGCTTTCTTTTTCAATTCAGTCATTATAGGATGAGATGCATTAATTTCCAATGTTTTTTTAGACATCATATAACTACTCATTGATGGATCTCTTAATGCTTATGCTTTCATAATTCTTTCCATATTAGCTGACCATCCATATTCACCAGTTACTAAAACACAAGGAGATTATTCTAATCTTTATCCTAATTATACTTTCTCTATTTTATCACCTAAAATATCTTTTATTAATTTGCATAGACCTTCAAATTATGATTTAAGTTCTTCAAATTTCTTTTTCTCATCTTCAGTTTAATCTAATTCTAATCCTTCCTTACTACAATTCTTCAATTTCTTTCCTTCAAATTCTTTCAACTATTAAATTACATATTCATCAATAGGATCCACCATATAAATTACTTCATAATCTTTCTTTTTTAAACTTTCAACAAAAGGTGAAGCTGCTACTGAAGCCTTAGATTCACCTGTTATGAAATATATGTCTTTTTAACCTTCTTTCATTTTGTTAATATAATCCTTTAAAGAGATTTAATCTTCTCCACTCTTAGATGTATGGAATCTTAAGAATTCAGCCAATTTAGTTCTGTTAGCAGAATCTTCATGAATACCTAATTTAATATTTTTGGAGAATTATTCATAGAATTTCTTATAATCCTCAGCATTTTCTGAAAGTTCTTAGAACATTTCAATACATTTTTTAGTAATGTTCTTTTTAATCACTTTCAAAATCTTATTATGTTATAAGAATTCTCTTGAAATGTTTAAGGGTAAGTCTTCTGAATCAACAACACCTTTGATAAATCCTAAATATTCTGGTATCAATTCTTCACAATCATCCATAATAAATACTCTTCTAACATATAATTTGATATTATTCTTTTTCTTTTTGGTTTCAAATAAATCAAAAGGTGCTCTTTTAGGAATAAATAGAACAGCCTTGAATTCTAGACCACCTTCAACTGAAAATTATTTAACACTTAAATGATCTTCCCAATCATTTGTTAAAGATTTGTAAAAGTTTGCATACTCTTCTTTTGTAATTTCTTCTGGTTTTTTCATCCACAAAGGTTTATTCTTATTAACTTATTCAAATTCAGTAGTAACTTCTTTAATCTTCTTTTTCTTCTTTTTTTCATCTTTACTCTTCTCTTCTTAAACTTCTCCCTCTTCAGTCTTCTTTTCTTTATTATCCTCTTCATCATCACTAACTTCTTTCTCATGAGTTTTTTCAATTTATAATTCAATAGGGAATCCAATAAATTCTGAGTGTTTCTTAACTAAATCTTTAAGTCTCTTTTCCTCCAAAAATTCTAAGTTATCTTATTTAAGATGGAGAATAACAGATGATCCTCTTGTTAATTAATTAGGATTCTCACTATCATCATAGATAAAGAATGTTCCACCTGCTTATGATTCCCATCTATATTATTATTAACCAACAGCTTTTGAAAGTACAACTACTTTATCTGCAACTAAATAAGCAGAGTAGAAACCAACACCAAATTAGCCAATCATAGAAATATCAGCTCCAGAATTAAGTGCTTCCATGAATGCTTTAGTTCCAGATTTAGCAATTGTACCAAGATTGTTAATTAATTCATCTCTTGTCATACCAATACCAGTATCTTATATAGTTAAAGTGTTATTGTTTTTATCTGGTATGATCTTAATTTTGAAATTAGGTTCAACATTTAATCCTGCACTATCTGGATCTGTAATAGATTTGTATCTGATTTTATCTAGTGCATCAGAAGCATTTGAAATTAGTTCTCTAAGGAAGATTTCCTTATTTGAATAGAATGTATTAATGATTAAACCCATCAATTGTTGAATATCTGCATTAAAGTGGAATTATTCTTCTTTATTTTGAGTTGTTGACATTGTTTAAATTAATTGTTGGTTCTTAAAATATAAGAGATGGATTTAAAAGGCAAAATATCTAGAATTTTCTAAAATCAAGAATTTCTATGGGTTCTTTATAAATTAGTTATATTCTAGAAATATTTAAATTATAAAAAAAAATATTGTAATTAATTTAATTAATGATAATATTTATAAAGAGTTTATAATTGTATTATAATTTAATTAAATTAATAATGTAAACTTCAGATAATACAAAAGCATCACGCAAAGGATTGGGATTACTTCTCAACTAACATCATCGTTAACACTTTTCTGAGGACTTTCAAAGACCATAATAATTAGGAACTCCTAGATCATATATACAAGCTTTACCAAAGATGAGTACTTAATTCAATTCTGTGAGTACTACAAACTCAAACACTAGAAAATTGATAAGTGCTGAGAGACCCACTATTACCATAGCTGAAGAGCAAGATTCATATGGTTATAGATAATAAGATCATTTGGATGAAGAAATCTTAGTAACTATTTATTAAAATGCAGCGAATTCGTGAAATTCATGAAATTCTTAAATCTAGATGTAGTACTTTAGATTTATTGATCTCAGTTATAGGTGGCAAAGAGTTTGTACATAATATAAAAAATCAAACAACATTATAGAAAATTTAAGAATTGTTAAAAAGCATTTCTTAAACATTATAACAATCTGCTAAGACTGAAATAGAATTAGGCTTTAAGATGAGGGAAATAGAGAGGAAGAATAGTATTTTAATTAACTTATGGTAGTTAAGTATTCATCATTATAAATGAAGTAACTGAAATTATCAGATAAAAATCAATCTCTATAAAGTGTAATTGATGTACATAGTTAAAAGACCAATAAATTATTAGATGAGAATTCTAAATTATAGAAACAATTAAAACAAGAAAGGAAATTAAATGCATCTAATTCTAAAAAAATTACAGCTTTAGAAAAAAGAATTGAGTTTCTTTTGGAAAATGATGTGAATTCTGCTTTAAATCCAAATGATAAATTAAGAAGTAGTCTCAATGAATTGTTAAAAGAGAATGAATTAATAAAAAGAGAATTTGAACATAAAAAATAAGAATTAGATAGAGTTTAAGGAAAACTAAATTAATATACATAATTAGTAAATCGTTTATAAAAAACAATTGATAATATGAGAAAGAAAAATTAAGATGATATGGGAAAAGATGAAAAATCAGTATTTAGAAAAGATGATATTGATTTATTAGTTAATTTTAGAATACCATAAACTTTAGATTTTAGAGTAGTTAGTTAAAGATTAAATAATTAACATTTGTTAAATGATCTTACTGATAAAGGTGTATTAGCTACTAGTTAACATAATTTTACACTCCCTGTAGAATCACAAAAAGAATAATTTTAAATTATAGCTTAATAATTATTATCTTATAAAGAATTTGCTGAAAAAATGAATTAGTTTTTCTTTTATATGGAATAATTTAGTAAATGTATTCTATTTGAAGATGTAAAATATATATTTTTAATTATTAGATTATACATTAAGTTAATAGAGTATTACCATAAGTATTTGGATGTGAATAAGTCAGATTATGGTTAATAGATGGAATGAATGGAACCATATTTACTTATTTAGAAACAGGCAATCAAATTAGAGCTTTATAACATAAGGGTTAAGTTGCTGATGTCTTTAAATTAAGGGCTGCCTAAAATATCTCATAAGCATCATAAAAACCTTTATTGTATAGAATTAATGAATCAGAATAAGCTGATTATGCTAGAAATGCTTTGTTATTACCTTTGTTTTGTGAAACCAATGATGCTATAAGAGGTGTTTTAGAAGTAACTAATACTGAAAATGAATTCTTTTCATTTGATGAAGAATACTTTGGTATATTGGCATCTCATTAACTTGGACATTTGTTATAAAGATTAATTGATAAGTACTTCATCTTTTAGATTTAGTTAATCATGGTTAATTACGTAGAAATATAGAGGTATGATGATGGATGGATTTACTAATCTAATGAAGAGTTAAAGTAAACAAGAGTTCTCTTCTAAAGTTTAATTGAGTCTTAGTTAAATATTTGGATTCTCTTAAGTTTTATTTTACTTTTTTGAAGACAATTAACTTGTAGATTATAGCAATCAAGATGTTAAAAAATATAATGTTTAATATGGATTAGCTGGTATGGTGGCTCATACAAAATAGAAATTGATAATAAATGATGTAAAAAACTCAATTCATTTCAATCAAGCTGTAGACATTAAGTCTATTTTACCAATATTTGCATAACCATTATTAGATAAAAATAATAATACAGTTGCTGTTATAGAAGTAATCAAAAATTATAATATTTTAGACTTGTTTAAAATGTAAATTAAAAGTATAAGTTGAGAAGGATCAATTATTGTCACCAAGTGAAGGAGTCTTAGGAATGGAAGAACCATTAACTAAATAACTAGCAAATTTTGTTGATATAATAGTAGCTGCCTTGTGTAATATAAGATTCTGATGTTAATTATTTTTATATCATATAAGAGGTGGATATTCATAGTCACCAAATTCTGATGGTAATTAATAAGTACCAGGTCCAGGAACTTTAATAATCTTATAAATTAATTTACATTATTTATTTTTTATATTTTAAGTTTATCTTTCCTAAAATCCAAACCTGAATCCACTTCTTGTAGAATATTAAGATGGCAAATAGGTTCTAAGATCTCCAATATCTCCAGGAGGATCATAAGTTCCAGGACCTGGGATTCTCTTGAGTCTTTTAGCAATTGTAGTAGATGGAGATATAACAGGAGCACCACTACTTTTGAATCTACCAAAAAAGTAATTTCCTTTTGCATTGAGACCTCCAACATCATATCGACCAGGTGCTGGAGTTGTAGATTAGAGATAAATATCTAATAAATATTAAAATTCTTTTTACGTTTTGCTGAAGTTCTCTCACCCATTGAATATTTATAAGTTGTTACTATATCTTTTACTTAATATAAATTAGGAGCAGGATTTTTATTTGGTCGTCCATGTATTCCTTTAATCATAGTTTCATCTCTCCCATATCCAAATTTAACTCCTGGATTTAAAGACAATTTGATATTGTAATCAGTAGGTCCTGGAATATATTTATCTTTCTTAGTAAAATCAGATTTATTTCCATATCCAAGAGCAGCAGCTCTTTTATTCAATTGAGTTTGGATTCTACAATTAAAAAATAGATATTACTATGAATCATAAAATTAAATAGAACAATAGCTTTCTTTAGCTTTCGAGAATCTTTCTGCTTTTGAAAATGTATATTATTGTTTTGAATGAGATCGATTAATTTAATCATGAATTATTTTAGTATCAAATTATTCTGATGTTCTGAGATGTAACAATGATTAAGTATTTCGTTTACTATATATTTATTCTAAAGTTTTAAATGTTCTTTCTGATGTTGTTTTTTATCCATATTACTTTTCAGTTTCTATTCTTTTATTCAACTCTTTTCTTTAAGTAGTGGTTTTAATCTCTTCTTGAGAATCAACCCTTTTTGAATTCTATTGAACAATCTATTATCTTTTTTCTGGCTGATCCTCAATCTATTATTATTATTATTATGGAGTATCTTAAGAATAAAATTCTTTTTATTCATCATCTACTTTACTATCTTTTTCTTATTAGTCTTATTACACTTCTTTCTCTTAATCTATTTGATCATTTTATTCATTTATATTCTATTCATTGATATTTTATTCATCTTACTACTAGATCTATTCTTCTTGTAGTAATTAATTCATACTTAATAAATATTTTACAAATATTTAAATAATATATATATTATATTAAAATAGAGTGAAAATTAGGAGATTCAATTCTGTATTTTCAAATATGGGTGTAGCTCTCCATTATACTTTTTAAGAATTGTATAATAAAATCTATTTTTGACTTAATTTTCCTAATATTTAAGAATTCAGAATTACAGATCTGTTATCTAACTACTTAGCTATTTAAGCCCAATGTGGTCCATTTTATTAAAATTCTTTCATTATTATTTTATCTTCTTCTTCATTCCACTCCTTATGATTGATTATTGGATTTATTTAATTTACATATCTATCTCTAACTTGTTTTGATGTCCTTCCTGGAAGTTCTATATTTAGTTATTGTATTTAATACTTTCAGCTATCTTAATCCATTATCTTCCATACTATTCAAAGCTTTCTAATAGTATTTTATCTTCCTCAGTTGACCATTTCCTTTTTGTTCTTTTATCTTAATCTTAAAGTTTTCTAAATTTCTATGAACACTAAGAGATATTTCTTCCTTTTAAGTGTTTAATGATCTTTTTCCAATCTCCATGATACTATTTATAGTATTTAATTAAGTTATCCACCTCATCTTTAGACCATAATTATCCTTTTCCTCTAACTATTCCACTTGCATTCGTTTGTTCTTAAATATTTTAAACTGTTTATTCTTTTTCTATATCTGAAGCCTCCTCTTTAACTAACGTTTAAGGAGCCTGAAAAGAATAAAAATAAGGTAAGCAAAAGAACATTGAGTTAACAGGGTTTATAAACATTGAATAAATTAATAAACGCTATAAAAACGATTCCATAAAATATTGTCATCTTATGGATCATTCTGTATATTGTCACACTCTCCAATTCTCTTCTTTTCTAAATTTGTACCTTTCCATTTCAAGAATGCTTTCAATATCATTTAATATATAAGTTTTAATATAATCTTTTGTTGACTTTATTATTTTAAAATCATTCACTATTAGTATTATTAATCTATTTATATCAAATATCAATTCTTCATATGATTTTATAATTGAAAATCATTTCTAATTCTTCTCATGAACCTAATAATTATTTGATAAAACTTAGAAATTATATTCAATATAAAATAATTAAATTATTTATATTTTTATTTATATATTTATATATAAATATAAGATAAAAAAATAATTACTATTATTATATATAAAATAAACTTAATTCATGTGAAATAAATTACGGCAATGTAATATACTTTACAATATTTATTTAAATTTAGGATAAAAAAATAGCAAAAATATCTTTATTTTATTATAGATTTAAAAGCATATATGGATAAGAAAATTTGAATTATGATGAACTGATCAAAATAGAAAAATAATAACTTTAGTAACAATGTATATATTTTAAATTATTACCTTTCTTTCGAATTTACACATTAACATGTATAAAATTCATGAATCCATATGATATTGTGAAATTGTGAAATTCTAATGTAAAAAACAAATCTGTAAAATTTTTACAAATCTATCATTTTATCAAATAATATTTTTGGATAACAAAAGCTAATGATAAATCAAATAATATTTTATTATTAAATATAATTAAGTTGGTTAAAATTTAATAAATAGAGATGAACCAATAAACCCTAAAATATAAAAACAATATTTATATATGTAATAGAAAAATATTAGACAAATTTTGTTAAATAATGATATCAAATTATCTTGATTTATCAGTTTGTTTTGAAAAAAAATTATTTCATTTAATATAATAAACAACTTTTTGAATATGCAAAAAAAAACGCCATTAGATAGACACTTAATTTTGGAGATGTTTTACCAACCAGATTAAGATTTCGCATAATTTCTTCTAAAAAACCATTAGTTCTCATTCTAGTAATTGCCTACTTTTGAGGAAATTAATTCTATACTAAATAATGTAGAAAAAGCTTACAACAGTAAAAGAGGAATGTGGACTCCCTGTTAAGATGAATTCTTAAATTTATTGGTATTAGGTACTTGTTTGAAAACCAAAGAAATTCCTGTTGATTTAGTATAAAATTTAGAATAATTCTTTTTAGACTTCTTATTAATGGGAATAAATATCAAGAATGTTTAGATATCATAATTGGAAAGGTTGTAGAAATAGATGGTTGGAAGAATGTCATTAGAAGGTAGGTTGGACTCCAGCTGAAGATTAAGTTTTAATATAACTATAGTAATTACATCCAAATAAATGGTGTGAGATTGCAATTGAAATGATGAAAATTTGTAAGACTCCCTATATTCGATAAGGAAAATAATGTAGGGATAGATGGGTGAATAAATTGGATCCAAATATAGTGAAGTAATTAGAATATATATTTGTAGTCTACCTTGGACAAAGGAAGAAGAATTGAAACTATTTAGAGAGATAGAAAATAGAGGGAAGAGATGGGCTGAGATCTCATTGAAAGTTTTTAAGTTAAGGAGAACAGAAAATACAATAAAAAATAGATATTACAATTTATTAAAATAGGAAGAAAATAAAATTAAATTAGGCAAAATAACAAAAGATGAAAAGAATGAAATATTAGTCAAATCTATCATTTAATAACTTGAATAATAAGTCAACTGTAAATTTCATATAAAAAATGAAGAAACATAAGATTAATAAAATTAAGAGTATCAAATAGAGATTTTTGATATCAATAAATTAAAAGAACCCTTTAAATTAGTTTGTTTAGTAAAAAGAAAGATTGTAAAATTAAATGAATTATGATAATATTTATTATCCTATTGATTTATTTAATTCTGATTATTGCTAAAAATTATATCATTTATCATATGTAATAAAATTATGAATTGTTAAATCTGCTTCATTGATAAATAGATGATTAAACCTGGAGATTGTTCTCATCAATTTTGCAAGTAAGCATATTTAAATCAAAAAGAGAATGCATCATCATGTATTTGAAAGAAACAATTAATAATGGAAGTGTATTTTAGATAACTTGTCCTGCATGTACTACAGAATATAGTGCTTTAATAATAAAATAATATTGTGAAGATCTATATCCAAAATATTTGGAATTAAAACAAAAAGCTATAATAACTTGTTCTGTACTAGAAATTTATTATACAATATAGGTATGTAAAGAGGATATAAAAACACATAAATGTGGTTCAAAGGTATGTTCAAAGTGTGGTGAAATTCATACTGGATATTGTAGCTAAAGATGCCCAAATTGTTTAATTCCTATAGAGAAGATTAGTGGATGTAATCATATGATTTGTAAATGTAAATATGAATTTTGTTGGATTTGCAAAGGAAAATATAGTAAATATCATTATAGATTATGGAATGTATTTGGATGTCCATGTAATAATATATCTATTTATTAAAGTTCCTGGATCAATGATGAGAACTATAGAACCTTTATAAAACCCAATGTTATTTCGTTTACTTATGATTTTACCCAAAATCTTAGCATTTATGCTTTTATTTTGCATCTTGCTTTTAATATATCCATTTTTTTGTTTTATAATCACTGTTAAATTCCATTATCAATAATTTAAAATCAAAAAGTAATCCATAAATTAAAAATTATATTAGATCTAGAATTTTATTGGTATTTCTATTTCCTTTGACTTACTTGATGCATTTTTTTTACAAAGGAATATTTGCTGTGCAGCATAAATTACATACTCTTAGTTGAAAATATATTAAAATAATGTATGTTTTATAATTAATTCGCACTGTTTCTAGGTGATATATCGTCACTTTAAATTATATTAGTATAATATTTAATATGCAAAAGTAAGAGATTTAACTCAATAATTATGATGATATCTCATTGAAAATATAATCATCTCAATAGAATAGATGTATATTGGAATAATAAGCATTAAATTATGAGATGAATAAATAAAATGAAAGCATTTTTACAACTCTTGAAAATTTTGAATGTTATCCTGATTTATAAAATAGATTAGCAGATGCTATCAAATAAGAAAATCTTTAATTTAAATAATACCATAAGAAAGTATCATAAACTTTGAATGAAGCAAAAACTATAGTCTTAGATTATTTTAAAAAAACTAAAGAAGAAATTAAAAAGATAATAAATTCTTTAAAAACTACTGAATTTCTTTACAAAATAACATAAAGTTCATAAGAAAAAATAAAATAATCATTAATTGAACAACCAAACAAAGAAAAATATTAGAAAGAAAAGTTTAATGACATAGTTTAAATGTTAAATATTTTAATTTAATATTCTAAATCATTTCATTAATTAAAATTTGAGATATCCAAAACTGAACAATTGTTTAATAATCAAGTTTAAATCACAGGCAATTATAATTTTGGATTAAAACATGGATGTCATTTTTATAAATTTTTAGATTTGTAATTCAAAGTATAATCTACTATTTCATAATAAATAGGGAGGTGAATATAAATATGGGATAAAGGAAGGATTATGGAAAGAGATACTTTGGGCAAGATCAGAACCTATAGAATTAATTTATGAACAAGGATAATATTTAAATGGAAAAAGAATTGGAGAATGGAATACAATTGATTTAATTGCAAATTAGATTTTAAGTAATGGAACTTATGATGAATTTGGAAATAAATAGGGTAAATGGCTTGAAATGAAAATAAAACATGATGAAAACAATAATATTAAGTAAAATTTTATTTAAATTTTAGAATTGTTGAATGGCATCAAAATTATATTAATGATTTCCCCTAAAATGAAAGAAGATTAACATCAATTATTAGAGTATTTAGAATTATTAAAATATATATAGAATTCCTTAATTTTAAGTCAAGCTAATTGTCCTTAAATTCCAATAACTGAAGGATATTTCATTAAATAAGGAAAATCAAAATAATTAGAAAATGAGATATTTGTATAATTGCAACCTTAAAGCTAAATGCTTTATTTATATTAATCTTAATCCTTCAATGTTTAACCTAAGTAATAATTATAATTTAAATAGTGAAATCATTAATCTAATTAGTATACATTCTGTTTTTCATTAAAAAAACACAAAAAAAAATAATATAGTTGAAATCAATTTTTTGAATGGAAAAAAGGTTTAATTTATGACAAAAACAGAACGTGCTGCTAAAAAATGGGTTGATTCATTAAATTAAGCATTATTATATAATTAATGGATAACTGAAAAATAGAATTCATCTATAAGTGTTTAAGATGTTAGTGAAGATATTAATAATGAGAAAATATTTATTGAGGATAATGTTTTACAAAATTAAAATTATTAGTACCTGAAAGAAGGATTTGATGACATTTTTTCATTAGATATAAAATAATTTGAATTATAAAAACAATTAGGAGAAGGACTATTTGGCAAAGTGTTTTTGGCTAAATATAAAAACAATAATATTTATGCTTTAAAGCAAATGTAAAAGAGTTTTTTAAAAAAACAGAATTATTTAAAATATGCTATTACTGAGATGGAGATATTGAAAAGTGTGGATTGTCCATTTATTATAAAAAGTTATGCAATATTAGAAGTAATATTAATAATTTAAAAATTTTAGAATGAAAAATATTATTATATAATAATGGAATATTGTCCAGGCAGAGATCTTATACATAATCTAATTATTCATGGAAAATTTAATGAAAATGAAGTAAGATTTTATATGGCTGAATTAATAATTGCTATAGAATATTTACATAATAAGGATATCTTATATAGAGATTTGAAACCAGAAAATATTTTAATAGACAGAAGAGGTCATATTAAATTAATTGATTTTGGATTATGCAAAACTGATATTAAAGATGGTGAAAGAAGTCACAGTTTTTGTGGTTCACCTTATTATATGTCACCAGAAATGATTGATTAAAGAGGGGCTACAAAAGCCTCTGATATATATGGATTAGGAGCCATTTTCTATGAATTATTAACAGGAAAATCACCATATTTTGATAAGAATTAAGAAAATGTCAAACAAAATATCAAAGATGCTAAACTTACTTATCCTAATAATATTTCTTAGTCAGCTAGAGACTTAATACTTGTATTATTATTATAAAGAGTATTTTTAGTAAATGCTTGAAATTGATGAAACAAAAAGAATTACATTAAATGCAATTAAATCAAATAAATTTTTTAGTGGTGTTGATTGGGGTAGAATGTATAAATAATAATATACCCCTCCAATAAGAGAATTTGAAGATCTATCAGATGATGATTGACATTTACAATAGCTATATAAATATTGTACTGTTTTATATAATTGATCATTCTTTCAAAGCAAACTTTCTTAATGGGAAATTGTTCAATCTTTTCCATTGTCTTTATGTTTTTTATGCTTAATTTATATATCAATTATTATTACCTCTTTCGCTTCTTGTAAGTCTTTATCTAATTGCTCTTGTTCTTTTACCTCTAAGATCAACTGGAAGATTAGTACTTGACTTGGTTGCCTTTTTGACAGAATTTCTTCTTTGCTCATTGATCACTGTTAAGTATTTAGCAATTCGCTTTCTAACAAGCTTAATTTATTGTTTAATTGTTTACTCCAATTCTGCCAAGTTTTTGAGCATTACCAGCTGAAACCTTAACTGTTCTTAATTAAATGAGTTCTCCTTTGAGCTTCTCTAAATCTTTAAGAAGATCTTCAGGCTTTTATTCTCTCAGCTTTTTCACCTTGAACTTTTAAGAAGACATATTTTAAAAAAAAGGATTTAATTTTTATCAAATATGGGTAATTGCTTCAATTAAGATGAGAATAGTAAAACATCCATTAAATCACTTAAGAAGGTAGATTAGATGTAGTCTCAGTCCCTTAAAGACTTAGATGCAAATAAAGTTACTTTAAAGGACTTTTTAAGTTAAGGTTAGATAGGAAGGGTTAGGAATATATAAATTTATTTAGGGCTAATTTGGAAAGGTTTTAAAAGTTAAAATGAAGAGCAACAATTAAGAATATGCTATGAAAGTTATTAAAAAATCAGATATTATTCAATATGGGTTAGTGGAACATACAATGCTAGAGAAGAGTGTTCTTATTCGAAGTAAAAACCCTTTTGTTGTCAAACTAAAATATTCTTTCTAGACAGATTAAAAGCTATATTTCGTTATGGAGTAATATATCAAAATTTAAAGTTTAGATTAGTGACTGGAGGATAACTTGCTAAAGTCCTTAGTAAGTAGCGAGAGAAACGATTCACATAATTTTAAGCTTAGTTCTGTGCCGCTGAAATAGTTCTTGGATTATAATACATACACGAAACTTTAAAGGTCATATATAGAGATTTAAAACCAGAAAACGTTTTAGTTACTTCAGATGGACATTTGAAATTAACAGATTTCGGATTATCTAAGTAATATGATACTTAAGACATGAAATTCTTTACTGTAATACTTAGATATAATTATAAGGCTAGTTTGTTGGAACACCAGAGTACATAGCACCAGAAATATTGTTAAAATCTGGACATAATTCATCGGTAGATTGGTGGAGTCTAGGAATATTGCTTTATGAAATGCTTGTAGGATACACTCCTTTTAGAGATAGATCTAATAATTTAAGGGTGATAGAGAATAAAATTATTTAAAACGAATTAATATTTCCTGATTATATATCCACAGAAGCAAAGGATATTATTTGTCAACTATTAAATAAGGATCCTCATTAACGTTTAGGTAAATTTAATTTAACCGACTTAGGTAGCAGATCCATAGATTAAATAAAGAATCATTTATTTTTTTCTTAAATTAATTGGGATGATATTTATAATTTAAATATAAAATCCCCAATTTTAGAAAGTGTTACTAAGATATTAGAATAGCAATAAACAGAATGCAAAATTGTTCCTAAAAAGATATTTGAAACTCCTCAATCATAAATAGGATAAACTGATTGTTAGTTTGAAGGTTTTTCAGTTGATCGTGAGGAATTTTGAAATGTGTTTAGAAGTTTTTTTTAAATTTCTTTCTTTTTTTTCAAAGCATAATAAATTTATTTTGAATTCAATATTATTATAGTAATCATACACAGAGATTATTTTAATAGACTCCTTAATAAGAATATATACAGAAAATTATAAAGAAATTATGAGATATACAATTAATAGAGTACGGATACTATATAGTTTTTTTTCTAATTATTATATAAATTATTATATAATTGTAAAGATTCATTGAGGCATCTTAATTGTCTTTTGAGAGTGAAATCTTTTATTAGTATTTAGTACCGGTAATTTAGTAATAGAACAATCCTCTGGAATGTCTTAATAAAATGGTACAGTGCTTTCTCTTAATCTTTTTTTTGTTTATTCGATAATGGATTTAGAGGATTTGAATTATATTATGTATTTATCATGTTTCTGAATATATCCAATTATATATTTCTGTAAACTTGAAATGATTTCTCTGTGAGTTTTCAGGATTTTCTTATTGAATTAAGTATATGTGACATCCTGATTTTCATAATGTTAAACATAAGCTTCACTACCAGGATGATTCTCAGCATAATCTGTCAAATTATATACAGCTTTCTTGTATGCATATAATGAGAGTTGATTTTTTCTTGCATATTGTTGCATTTCTTTCAAATCATTAAAATAAACATATTGATTCATTATTTGTAATTAATATTAATTAAATACAGTATTCAATAAAACTTCTACATAAATATTTATACATTTAGAGTTCAGCCTATTTAACTTGAAAATAATATATTTATATAATATATTTTACTTTTATTTAACATAATAATAATAAGTTAAATAATAATAATAGAAGAATTCTTCAAAAATTACAATTTAATTTTCCTCATAAATTTATTGCTTAATTTTCAAAAATAAAATTTACTATAATTTCAAGTAGATTTAATCAGGATACCATTGATTAAATGATTTAGTCATAAATAATATAAGTGTAATTTTATTTTATTTTATTTGCCATAAAATTAGTTTAGATTATTATTAGATTTAATATTCTTTTAATTGCCTATTAATTCTTATTACGATATTTTGATTCTCATTATAATTATTAAATCATTCATATTTCTGTATAAAGGTTAAAATATTTTAATTCTTTATTTTAAATTCTTATATAAACTTTGAATCTCTATAAAAGTAGTTAGAATTCTCAAGTGTAATAAATACCTCAACAATAGAGTTGATATTTACATAGTTCTTTAATTATCTAATAAAAGGAGTGATTTAATTAAGATATAAGTAATATTATATAAAAAACTAATAAGGGATATGATTTAATATATAACAATGATAGTTGATACAGCATTTTATATAGGAAAATCTTCTATAAATAACTTTGGATATTAATAAATTCTAAATTTGCCATTATAGTAATCAAAAAAATTTAATGATTTTTTTTAATTAAAATATGGAGAGTTGAATATTGTAATGTATTAATAAAAATGGATAATAAAGAGAATGAGAAGTAAGCTAAATTAAAGGAATTTCAAAGAAGATTTCCAAACTATATGAATGGGAAGAAAGTGATATTTCCTATAATGGATGAGATAATAGTTCAATTTTCATAGATATTTCCTTAGAGTAATCAATTTGGAAAGATGAGAGAGGGAAATGTAATAAAGACTTTTTCACCAATTCCTTTAAATCAATAAATTGAGATTACAACTTTCATAAATGCTTTTCCTTATAATTAATAATTTGCAGCAATGTCTGATAGCTAGAATTAGTTTTAATTGCTTCTTTCCCCTTTATTAAAGTTAACAGGACATTTAATAAAAGACTATCATACTAATGCTACATTTTCAAATAGTTATCAATACTCAACCTTTGATACTTAAGAATAGTCAGATCGTATTAATTTCAAGTTAACATCTTTTATAGTAGAGGATATTTTTAAGTATAAAATGGGTTTATTAAAGCCAATAGACATAGCAAAACAAAGGTAAGTGAAAGATGAAATAAAAAAGAAAGGAAACAAACCTCAAAAAATGAGTTTATTATCTATTGTAGAGAAATAATAGTAGGAAGAAGAAAAGGATATAAATTAAGATTTAACACTTTAGAGTTAGAAATATGAATTTGAAAATTATTTGGATCCTACTTGTTCACATTTTTGGAAAATAGCCTATGAATCATTTAATAAAATAATAAAAAAGTCATAAAGAACAAAATTATAAGATATGGATATAGAATAGGAATCAGATGAATAACCAGAAACAATATAAAATGTTAATAAAGAAACACTAAATTAAGATAATATTGAAATGAGACGATAATAAATAATTAACAAATATTAATAACTTTGTAAGTTAAAGGATTAAAATAAAAAGAAAAATAAATAAACAAAATAATATTCTTAGATTAAATCATTTAAGATTAAAGATAGATATACTGATTTAGAAATGTTAAGATTCAATAATTTATTTAAATTTTTAATACAGAATTGGCCATCATTGTTACTATAATCAATTAAATTGCCTTATGTTTAATCTTTATTTACTGATTAAGAGCTTAGAAATATTAAGAGTATAGGTCAAAATGAATTAGGTTATTTTGGATTGAAAGCTAAATAGAGAGCTGATATAACAAGTAATTTAATTGAAGGAGTACGTGAAAGTGATAGTTTTAAAATAATAATAGAATATAGATAAGAAGTTACAGAAGCAGTAGGATTAGTATTAGAAAATGTTTAAGATGAATTAAACAGTATCAATTAGTCATTATTAAAGAAAGATAGTTAATATACTTAATAATAACAATAATAATATCGAAAGATTTATAAATAATATCTATAATTAGTAGAATTTAGTCGACTTTTCATTAATGGATGCTTATATTTAGGTTCTGATATTCATGGATTTGATTATCATATATTCTCGAATGATATTGATCATATTTATTAAAATAATGGTTCAGAATGGAGAGTCTTAGATGAAAATTAAGTTTAATAATTATTTAAGACATTAAATGTTTGTGGTGTAAAAGAAAGAGAATTGTAAACGAATATTTAAAAATTAATGGCATGTGAATTATTTAATGATTAAGACACAAAAGAATTAATTACCATTAAAAATGTTGAGTAATCTTAAGTATAAGCTGGTAATAGAAGTCCAAAATAATTAATAGTTAAAATATTATTAGAAGTTGTATAAAAGTATACTGATATTTTGATGGTAAGAAAAATGAGATGGGAATCATATAAGATAAGAGAAAAGTTTCAAAATACTATAAAAACACTTGAAAATCCTTTAGATATGGTAGATTTTATGAAGATTTTAATTGAATAATTTGAAACTGCTTAAGTATTAATAATAGATTAATAAAAAATGTAGAATGGAAATTAATATGATTAAAAAGATTTAAAAGAATTTTAGTAAAGATTACGTATATATGAAAATAAATTATAAGGATTGAAAGAACCTGAAAAGATTTTATTTTATGATAGTCAATTATTTTAAATGATGGAATCTAAAGAATATATTAAACCTAATGGTGTTAAATTTAATACAAAATTTTGGTAATAAAGTTTAGGATTAGAAGTTAAAGAAGCATTGATGAATTTTGCTAATAAAGTAGACAAAGATAACTAATAATATGATGTTGTATTTATGGCTAGTACATTATTATTAGCAGTTTAAGAATATGAACTTTCAAGTTCTACTTAAGATAATGAAGATGATGAATTACTTAGATAGATTGTAAAAGATGTAAAATTTGATAATTCTAATTTTCCTTCTAAAATAGATAATAATTAGAATAATAACCAAATAATTGAATTAGATTGAATTTATTTTTTTATATCTAAATTTATTATTATTATTATTATTATAATCCATATCTATTTAATTAAATTCTATAACATTTCAAATACAATTCTATTTTCTACCAAATTTAATATCATAAAATTCTTCTTCACTTTCTTCTTCTGGTTCAGCAAAGATAATAGTTCTTTCACTTGGATACTTTTTATCATTTACTGTTATTCTTCCTCTTACTGTTTTTAATTTTGCATTTTTTTTTAAGAATGACTATTATTTAGGTTAAGATATAGGATTTATATTTAAAAACACTTTATATTCCATTTCTTATTAAACATCAACTGCATCTGAATACATTTTATACTTTTAACAATTATCATCTTCAAAGAAATAATTATAAACGTATAATTTCTGATTTTCTTTGATAGTTGACTATAACCAATAATCAGGGGTTAATTAATCATCTCGTGTGATTTAACCTTGACTAATACATTTTAAGTCAAACATAAATGAAATACAATTTAATAATAAATGGAAATTCTTTTTGGTCATTTTTTAAGTTACTGTAGAATAGAGTGCTGTAATATCTTCTCCATCATAATCAATACTAATCATTAATAATAGAGACAATTGATCTGACATAAATTTTAATTTATTTGTGAAAGAATCATCTGATGGAAGAATCTTGCACTATAATACACGAGATATAGCTGATCCAGGAACTCTAACTAATCTCTTTCTATATTCTGTTTTCTTTTACACAAATACTTAGATTCCTGTTTCTATTGCTGTTTTAAAGGATCGATACATTCTGCTTTAGAACTTTTTTGATTGAATTCTGAAGATATAATTTAAATCTTTACTATATTCCTGAAGTTTTTTAAAAGTCAGGCAAAGCTTATTTAATAATAGCTGAATGTTTGATGACTGTAGTAACTAATAATCTATGTTATTATTTATCCAATTCCACATTTGGACTTATAATAGATTAATAGGCTGGCTTAAGTAGACAAGGCTTTGAAATAGTAATATTAAACATGTTTTCCAAAACTTTAGCTATTTCTGGCCATCTGATTGCTCTATCTTTTCCACATTCTACTAGTTATTTTAAGGTTTCTGCAAATTTTGGATTTTCATTCACATAGGTTAGCATTAGATGATAATTTTATGTAATAACTGATAATCAAATAAATCCTTTAAATAATATGATCAATCAATTTTAAAGTTGATAATTTTTTCATTGAAATCTTATCCCAAATTAAATTAAATTAATTAAGAAATTTAAATAAATTTTAAAGCAATTTCATATAAAAATTAGTAGTTTCTATAATTAATGATACTAAATTTGTTAAATAAATATGAAATATTTTTCACATCTTAATTAATTGGAATTTTTAATCAATGAATACAAAAAAGAGATAAAAATACTTTGAAATCTTTATAATAATATTTTAATAATATAGAGTTATATCAATCACAATAGCTAATTCTGTTGTTATGGTTAATCATTTCCAAGTATATTATCTACATTTATTACAACCTACTAATTAATTTAACCTTCCTGAATCTATGGTAAAATCATAGCTTATTATTATTATTATTATTATTCTTATTATTATTATTATTATTATTCTTATTATTAAGGTAATTCAAGTTAAACTTAAATATTTGGAACTTAAGCAGGAGCATTATTTTCAATAGCTATAGGTTCCTCTTAATTTAATAGATTGTTTAATAAGATATAATTTTTATCTACCAGAGCCAAATTCTAGATTTAGAAAAATCTAAAGTAAATTAATTATTTATACCTTCTTCCACATAAAGGAAAGAACATAGTCCATAAAGTTGGAATATCATTGACCCAATTCATATTGAACATTGGACAATATAATACACGTGGCCTATCAAATGAAGGTGTGTATGGAGATATTGTTGACCATTCTAGGGCAGCTATTTCAAATTGGAGCACAAAAATTGATATGATAGCAAATTATGAAAAGATACAAATTTAAAATGCTAGATTGTAATATCCATAAATAGTAGATTCAAAGTAATATATAAACAGTAGATAAGTTAATGTAATGTATTTTGGAACAAAATAAAGGGATGATCTAGTTCTTAAAAAAATAATGCTCACAAATTCATTTAATAGAAATGATCTAAATGATTTATAATTCTTACGAGAAAAAGTTTTCACTTAATCCTCTCGGATAGCTTTTTGCAAACAATTGTATTGAACCACTATAACCACTAAATTAAAAAAAGTAGACCAAATAAAATAAAATCAACATTTATATGAAAGCATTAAGCAACTCCTATTTCAATTTATGATTTCTATTCAAAATAGTCAAATATTAGCCTACCCAAGGAAATGCCCCAACCAATGCTTATGCTTATATATCTTCATTTTGACAGATTTACATGCAACTCACTATAAAATACTTATATATTAATAAATACCCATATATATTATTAAAATAGGAGCACAAATAATGGACATTTTCATGTAAATTGAAGCTACAATTGATTATAGAAATGTTCCCAAAACACATTTAATGAATTATATTACAGTTGTATAAATTCTTTCATCATAAGCAACTACATTATTACCTAAAATTAATTAAAATATTTAACTTTCAAACTATTACACATTCCAACTCCAAGTTTCATTTGTGTGTTGATTCATTAGTTAAATATCATTTTCTTAATAGAAATCAAGGAAATCTATTATAAACATTGTTTCTAAATCTGTTGCTAAACACAAAATGGTATTAAATCCTTTCATATAAAAATCTACATCTATAAAATGAGTAACAACAGTGAAATTATATTTCTATTAAAATTCATCACTCATATATAGAAATGTTTTGTTAATTGTAAATTTCATAGAGAGGTATGATTCATTTTTTTCTTTTAATTCAGTATCAGTTATATTGAAAATGTAGATTGTTTCATTATTAAAATGCTCTATTCTTTTTGATTAACTTTATACCATGATTCTCTTAATCCAAGAATTAATTATACTATTCTCTGAATTATAGTAACAATAGGAAAACGAGTCCCAAAATTGTTAATATTGGAAAGAGATAGGAACCAGCATTAAAAATCTTTCGTATTAATAATCCAGATAGTATTCTTTCATGAATTCTGTATAATTGCTTTTCTAATTCCATTATAAATTTTAATTAATATCATTCATTATCAACATGTTCTTCGTCCTCAAGGATTTAATGGAATTGAATCTAATTTCTATCCACATATGTCAAATGTTACCGATCAAAATACCTTTAAAAATTATAAACAATTAATATATACTTTCTACCACAAAGTCCATAAAAGACAGTCCAAATTTATGGAATATCACTAATCCATTCAATTTAAAATAGTGGCATATAATAACATCTAGGTCTCTACTCTGTTGGAGTATAAAAGGATTGTCTTTGCCAAGTCAAAGCTGGAATTTCATAGAAGTATAGAAATGCCATAAATGTAGTCTGACTCATTAGAAACACTATCATTAATCCAATATAATAAAATCCATAACCGAAACTTAATTAAAATCTTACTTGTTTTTTCGAGATAAAATAAATAAGTAATATAGTAACAACAGATGTATTTTGGAACAAAGTATATTGAAGATCTTGTCCTTAAAAATAGAACTCCTTCTAATTCATTAATAAATACTATCCTATTATTTTCAATTATTTTTACATCATAAAAAACACATTCAATCCTAAAGGTATACTTTTACCAAACATAAACTAAGTTGCTTAATCAAGTCCTTCATTATAGATTATTGTATAAAATAAAATCATAGTTAAAAAAGCAGTTATAATATAATATTTTGCTTTGTTATTTCTCTCTAATAGTCTTATGTAAATTCCAATCCAATTTTCTTGTTCTTAATTATTTAATTATTAATCTTATCTAAAAATTTTCTATATCAAATTCTCTAAAATAATTATATAGTATAATTACTTATAATAAATGTAAATATAGGAGTAGATATCAAAAATAAACGTATAACAATTGATGAAGAACAAGAAACAAAAAATATGCTGACTAAAATCTAATGACACAAAAAAAAGTTTCTTATCATTTTAATGTAAACAGATGTTGAATCATCATTTTTTAAAGAATTACTTCTCCATAACCATGCTTCTCTTGTATTTACATTATATATCATGATGTCATTTTTGCAATCTGTAAAATATTGTGTAAAATCAACTAAAAACATTGTTTCAATATCAACAAAGTTTAAAAAGAATAGATCAAATCCTGATTAATAGTTTTTTGCTTCAACAAATAGATTCTCTTAAGATATTTTATGATCTTTTGCAATATTTTGTTTAAGTGTTAATAGATATCTATTAAATGAAAATTTCATTTATAATAGAGGATCACTTAATGCATGATCAACTATATTTATTGTGTAAACTACATTCTCATTAAATTCAGAAATCACCTTATTATCTCTCAATTAAAATTCCAATTTCCTTTCTCCTTATCTTATACAAAGTGATGCATATACACTTATTAATAATAATGAAATTCCTAATAATCCTAAAAATAGTAGCTTTGTAATAATCCTTGCATATTTCCACGAAGTTAAACAAAAGTGGAATTTGTATATTTGTTTTTCTAATTCCATTACTTTAATTTAATTAAATGTAAGAAAATAATGAATAAGCGTTAGACGATCTGAGTAAAGAAGTATTAGTTTCATAATTGAAGGATAAAGTATATAATACTAAATAAATGATAAGATAAAGGAGAACAAAACTATTACCAAAAAATTAGATAAATTATCTGAGAAATATGTTTAGACTTATAAAGAGTATAAATTAATTGCCAAAGACAGGGATACTTTATTTTAAGCCATTTCATCAATTTTAAATGATGAATTATATAAATTTGAATAGAAGCCTTTGGGTTTTATATATAAATAAAAATAGGATAATTTGATCAAAATCAAATTCTGGATTTATTTAAGTAAAAGGATGAAGACAAATCTAAAGCTTTAACAAATCTGATAAAAGAAACTAATAATGAAAAATTTCAATTAGAAGAAAAATATCGTTAAATGATAGAGAAATAAGGTTAAAATACTGATTAAAAGACTCAATAAATAATTAAATAACTAAAATAACAAATAAATGATCTAGATGTAAATAATACAAGATTAGCCAAAGAGATAATTGAACTTAATGACATAATACAAATTAAAAATTAATAATTACAAACTCTTCATTAATTAGAAGAAGATAATGCAAATTTGAAAACTTAATTAATGGTCTAAGAATTATAATTATAATAACCTGATAGAGCAAATAAAATAAATTCATCAGATCTTATGAATGAATAATTAAAGTATAAATAATAGATTGATAAACTCTTATAAGAGATTTAAAAATAGAATATTAAAATCTAAGATTTGGAATCATAATTATAATCTAAATAAAAAGTAGAGAGTGCTAAAGTTATTTAAAAGAATTATGAAACTCCAACACCTGATTATGATGAAATTAATCCATTTGAATAAGATAATACTTTAAAATAATAAGAAATAATTATAAACAAATAGATATCCAATAAATAAATATAAACAGATCCAACTACATAGAATAAAGAGGAAGGTGATAATAGAAATGTTAATTTTGAATATTTAAGGAATGTTGTTTACAAATACTTTTTGTATTAAGAAACTAGGAATTATAAGGAAGCTTCTATTTTAATGAATGCTANAAGTGATGCATATACACTTATTAATAATAATGAAATTCCTAATAATCCTAAAAATAGTAGCTTTGTAATAATCCTTGCATATTTCCACGAAGTTAAACAAAAGTGGAATTTGTATATTTGTTTTTCTAATTCCATTACTTTAATTTAATTAAATGTAAGAAAATAATGAATAAGCGTTAGACGATCTGAGTAAAGAAGTATTAGTTTCATAATTGAAGGATAAAGTATATAATACTAAATAAATGATAAGATAAAGGAGAACAAAACTATTACCAAAAAATTAGATAAATTATCTGAGAAATATGTTTAGACTTATAAAGAGTATAAATTAATTGCCAAAGACAGGGATACTTTATTTTAAGCCATTTCATCAATTTTAAATGATGAATTATATAAATTTGAATAGAAGCCTTTGGGTTTTATATATAAATAAAAATAGGATAATTTGATCAAAATCAAATTCTGGATTTATTTAAGTAAAAGGATGAAGACAAATCTAAAGCTTTAACAAATCTGATAAAAGAAACTAATAATGAAAAATTTCAATTAGAAGAAAAATATCGTTAAATGATAGAGAAATAAGGTTAAAATACTGATTAAAAGACTCAATAAATAATTAAATAACTAAAATAACAAATAAATGATCTAGATGTAAATAATACAAGATTAGCCAAAGAGATAATTGAACTTAATGACATAATACAAATTAAAAATTAATAATTACAAACTCTTCATTAATTAGAAGAAGATAATGCAAATTTGAAAACTTAATTAATGGTCTAAGAATTATAATTATAATAACCTGATAGAGCAAATAAAATAAATTCATCAGATCTTATGAATGAATAATTAAAGTATAAATAATAGATTGATAAACTCTTATAAGAGATTTAAAAATAGAATATTAAAATCTAAGATTTGGAATCATAATTATAATCTAAATAAAAAGTAGAGAGTGCTAAAGTTATTTAAAAGAATTATGAAACTCCAACACCTGATTATGATGAAATTAATCCATTTGAATAAGATAATACTTTAAAATAATAAGAAATAATTATAAACAAATAGATATCCAATAAATAAATATAAACAGATCCAACTACATAGAATAAAGAGGAAGGTGATAATAGAAATGTTAATTTTGAATATTTAAGGAATGTTGTTTACAAATACTTTTTGTATTAAGAAACTAGGAATTATAAGGAAGCTTCTATTTTAATGAATGCTATTATGACAATTTTGAAAATGTCTAATGAAGAGAAAAGGAGAATAGATTAAGCTAGAGAGAGGGGTTTCATTAAGAATGCTAAGAATCTTTTAAGTGATAGTTTTGCATGTCTCAAGTAACCACAATTAAATGATATGAATTTGGATAGACCTATCAGTAGAGTTGAGTAAATGAATAAACATATGATGAATTGATTTATTTAATTATTTTATATGGCTTCATAATAATATATGTAGTTCTTATAGAGTCATGAAAATCAAAGATTTAATGAGATGAAATTAATAGAGCAAGAATAATATTATATCAATCTATTAAAAGAGTAAAGGGAAAAGGTATTATATTTTATTGATTAATGATAGATGGAATTATTAAAAAATGAATTTTTAAAGAAAGATCAAGTGATTATTGATTTACAAAGTTAGATAAATGAATTATGGGAAGAGAATGAATAACTTAAGGAGATCTATTAGAATTCAATATAGAAGAAGGAATAGGAATTTTATCGAATGAATAAATTATAATAAGAAAAAGACAGTTTAATAAAAGATATGATAGAATTAAAGGATATGATAGATCATTTGAAATAAGAGAATGATACGTTGAATGTAAGAAAATAATAAGAAATTTTATAGACATTATATATAAAAAACGAAGATTAATAAAGATAATTATAAGAATAATTAATTATTTTAGGAGAAGAGAATAGCAGATTAAAGACTGAAATACTAAAATTAGATGAGATTTTATTTTCATGTGAACCTTTAAGGGTTGAAAATGGAAAATTATAAGAAAAGTTATAATACTATAAATTAGAGAAGAGAAGACTTTAATAAGATATGAAATAAAGCAAATAAGAAATTAATAAATAAATAGAAGAATTTAAGTCAGTAGTAACTAAAGATTTTTAAAATGAAATGGAAAGATTATAAGAGTACAAGGAATGTTATTTATAATTAAATTAAAAATTATAAGATTTAGAAGAGAAGTGTATGAATTTAACTGATGAAAATAATTAATTAAAATAAGAGATCTAATCCTTATATTAAAAGGAAGAAAGTGATATTAAAATGAAATCTGAGATAGATAGAGTAAATAATATATTTATATTTATAGGTTAGATAAGATTTAATGTCAGTAAGACAATAAGAAACATAAAAATTATAGGAACTATTTAATGGTATGATAAGTTTGGGCAGTTTAGCAAACTCAAGGGAATAATTTTATTGAATATAAATTTTATTTAATGTTATTTTTGTTAGCATTACTATCAAATATAAATTGCTCAATTTATGATAAGTTAAAATACATAGATAATTAAATAGATTTGACTTAAAATATTGAATATTTTGAAGCAAGAAAAAGATTTCTAGATGGAGTTAAAATAAAAAACATATTTGAAATGGACAAAGTTATAATTGATATTCATTTATTTCATCTAAAATAATTGCATTATCCTTCCTCATAATTACTTGTTTGTAAATCAAGTGATAATGAATTAATGATAATAAATTAATTAGGAACAATAATAGCATAATACAATCATACAAGTGATATATTAATGACAGATATTTTGCATAATGTAGATGAATTTTATATTGGATTATATGATATAGATAGAAATTTAACAATAATCAATATGACAATAATTGATAGAAATATAAAAGATTAACCAATTGATGATATACGTAGAATAGACAAGAATGGATTTTATCATGATATTGAATTGATTTGGGCATCTAGTTTTTAATTAAATCATAAAGCAACATCAATATTAGTTAATTCTGGTAGAAATACAAGAGTATTTTTGGTGGGTGATGAAAATGGAGCAATTTCATATTATTTTTAAAATGGTACATTAAAAAATAAAAATACTATATCATCAACACCAATTATTAATTTATTAAGAAGGCATCCTCATGTAATGTTTTAAACAGAGAAATTGATTGGCTTCTTAAATTCTGTATCCTTAACTATAGTAACTCCAAAGTGTGATTAACCTGCAGCTTCTATAATATCAATATATTAGGAGAACATTTACAGCCAAAATATTTATGTATTATTATCCAATTAAGATATATTAATATATTAAATAAAATCAGGAAAACATCATGAATGTTCAAGTAATTTTAATTTTTAAATGAAATTTAGTATCATATAAGATTCCAACTTTATAAAAATTAAAGAATATTAGAGTAATCAATTCATATTTGATTGGATATGATAAAACTTTGTAAATCTATAATACTTCCTTATATAAGTCACTTTATTAGGATGAAGTTCTTTATCTAACATCATTAGATGATTAAAGATTATGGTATTAATATTATTCGATTCGTTCGCATAAAATAAATGCTTAATCAAGTAATGCTTATGAGTTTTACACTATAAATAATAAGACTACAATTAGATAAATTGAATTGACTCATTTTCCTATGCCTTAAAGTTCTTCTTTCTCTTTAATGGAATCTTTCAGATTTCCTATGATTTTAGTAGCAATATTCATTGTTTTTATATTTTAATTTTGGTAAAAAAAGAAGAAAACAGATCATGAAAGTGATGAATTAAGTGTAGACATGAAAAAGAAGATAGATGATATGGTTAAATAATATAAGAAATATGATAAGCCAGAATGAAATGTTTATAATAATTCTAATAATATTTTAATAATATATTATATATAGAGTATAATATTCATTAGATTGTATAAACATATATCAATTATATTTTAAATTAGTATTAAGATAAAGGAACTTAGACTAATTTAAATTAATTAGATTAAGAATATTATAATACTAGAAATTATATTGAGAAGGTACTCAATAAATTCACAATTTAAAAGTGATGCTTTTCATTCAATATTTGAATATTAATGTACGAATCATGATGTTATCAATCAAATAAGCCTCCCATATCAACATCTTCTTCAGGTTCTTCAACTTTCTTAACTTCCTTAGCTGGTTCAGGAGCTTTAGCTTATTAAGAAGCTGGTGCGTTGGTTGTTGTAGCAACTTAAGCAGCAGGTGCATTTCCACTACTTCCATGTAATAAATCTCCTACTCTCTTTCCTTTGAGTGCCTTTTCAAATACTTTAGTCCAAATTGGTTCAACTCTCAAATTAGCAGCTTTGATGATTTGAGCCAATTTTGCTGAATTGATCTTCTCTTAATAATTGATTTTACTTCTTAATTGTCTTCATATAAGATGAGAGCAGCATAGGTACATGCTGCTTCTGATGTATTTTAATCTGCAATTGGTCTAGTGTCTTTTTATGCTCTTGCCATTTAAAAAAAAAATTAAAAGATTTAATATTTTATGTTCTTCACATCTCTCTATTCCAAATGATTATTCTATAATTAAAACTAGAAATGTTTGTATATACAATCTTAATCATTATTGGTTATATTATAACATACATAAATAAAATATAAATATTTGATATCATTATTATGTCCAATCACTCAACTAATATTAATATTTCATATTCTTTATTAATTATTTATATAATCTAAATTCATAATATGAATGTACAAAGGCTGAATTTAATTTACATTAAATAATAATATATCAGAAAATTAAATGAACATCGTCCTTTACTTCTTTTAGAAATGGATGAGAATATATATCATCCAAAGAAGCTCTAGATGTAGTATCTGGTTGTATAAATTATTCCAAGAAATTCTAAGTTAGAGGATCAATTTGAATATTCGATAATTTCTAAACTAATACCCAATATTATGACCATTTCTTTTATAGTATTAATTTCCATAATTTACAATTAGCACTAGGTTTAGTTGATATAAATGGTTGAAATCCCAATATGATTTAAAATACTGTAACTCCAAGTGAAAATACATCAGATTTAATTAGGATTTAAGTATTTATGTTTTCACTATTCATTCCTCCTAATAATGATTCTTGATGTAACTCTGGAGGCATATAATTCAAAGTGCCCACAGTTCTTTTGACTGAACAACTATTTAACAACTCAGCAAATCCAAAATCACATAAGACTATTCTACCAGCTTTGTCAATTAGAATGTTTTCTAATTTGATGTCTCTATGAACAACTTGCATTCTATGAATTGAATTTATTATCCTAATTAAAGTTTTACATGTTTCTTTTAATAATTAATGATTGAGACTTTGAGATTTTATAACTTCAAACAAATCATGAGATTATAGTCTTTCCAAGATTAAGTAATTATCTGTATAAGTGATCAGTTTTACAATATGTTCACCTTTCAAAAGTTCTAAAATTTATGCTTCTTTTTATCTTAATGAAGCAGGGTATAAAGATTTGAATTCCTTCATCACATAATTAGGATCCTCTGTCAGGAACACATTTGATGATGATCCTTCACTCAATAGAGTGGTTTTGATATGCATATGCTTTTAAGAATGTTTTGATTTATTATAATAAATGAATAAATTAAATAATTGTATATATATTCACTCTCTAATTCATTCCGATAAACTCTTTCTCCCTCTAAAAGTCATTACATTATATCAAATACAATAGTAAATGAATTAGGCACTTAACTTAAGGGTAAATTTACAATTTTTAATAATTAAAATCATTAAAATAAAAGATTTCTTTTAAATATGATCTAATCTGAATCTTTAGTTTATAAGATTTTTATTTTTATATCATCTTTTAAATTTAATTTATTTACTCTATTTTTTGTAACATTAATTTAATTATTATAAATTGATTAATTATAAAAGAAATATAAAAATCATAATTTTTCATTATGTTATATTATTCTCATTTGCATAACCTAGACTATTGGATTAGTTAAAAGGATGTACTATTTTTACTTTTATCTTAGAAGACACTTGTAAATTAATTAAAAAAAGCCTAAATTTTATTTGAATAATTATTTTATTTATTTACATTTCTATTATAATTATTTTAATTAAATATAAATTTATATTAATGTGTTACTTCATTTTAGTTTCTTGAACAATTATAGCTTACTCTTAAATGATTATTTGTCTTATATATCTATTTTATTTAGATATTTTTAATATTTTTTAACTCATCTTCGGTTTATAACAATTTCTGTTACAATATTTTTAAATATCTATTAGCAACTAAGTTATTAAGTCATTCCTATTACTGTAACAATTTATACAATTTAATTTTTCTTATTTGTTACCACTATGTAAAAATTTGAATTAAGTTTTAGTTTTTTTATTAAATGCTATTGCTAAGATATATATTTAATAGTATAATGAAGATATTTGTCTTAATCATCATGATTTAAGAGTTATTTTCAGATATTTTTTAAGTTCATTATTTTTTCCTTCCCTTTAATAATTGTTTATAATACATATAGCAATTATTAACGGAAAGGAAAAAATAACGAAAAAGAGTTTGATTCTTAGGATTCATTATTGCTTATTCAATATATATATATGTATATATGTTTCTATGTAAAATATCTAAAAATCTTCCCATATATATTTATATTTATCTTAGGGTTTATTTGCTAATAGCTTTAATATTCATCTTATTCGGTAATAATAACGATAAAGTGATAATAACTAATTAAATGGTTTTAACTTTCTACTATAAACCAATGAATTAGTCTCACTTAAACTGAACTAATGTTTATTCAATAATACAAATTAAACATGTCAAAATTTTTCCTTTAAGTTCAAATAAAAAGCATCATTGAACTTTGATTATAGTTCTACTTAATAAAAATACATATAAGTGATTTAAAATGATAAAGGCAGTAAGTAATATATATTAGCATATATAATAAAGATGTATAAAAATCAATCTTGTATATATGATCTCTAATTTTTCATAGAAAACTTGCTTTTTCTTGTTCTTTATCTTGATGTTATTTTCATTGGTTCTTCAGATTCACTTCCATCATCATTTTTAACATAGACTGAGTCAGAAAAATGAACTTTTTTACCGATTAATTTTTCAGAATGAGTTTCTTAATTCAATGATTTTAAGGATTTTGAACTGTACCTCTCAGTTTGTTTTCCAAGCATAAAATCTAGACTATCAAATCCGAGATCAGATGATTCAGTCTTGATTTTACTTTATGGACTATATAAATATTTATCTGGTAAACTATAAGGATCAGAAAAGAAATCCCATTATTTTAAAGATTCCAATCCAAATTTTGTTAAACTAGTTTTAGGTTCTTGTGTATCTCGAATATATTGTCCTAATTTAGGTAAACTAGAATTATGTTTGTGTTATGATCTCACAAAAAATGTCTTTTAAGGAGTTTAAAACTCAGATTTAGGATAATCGAAATTCATATAATTATTTAAATTTAGTTCATTTGCTTGTCTCTTAAAGCATTATGTGCAATAGATGATAGTTCTCTGTTTCTATCTGGAATTTATAATTCGTCTAAATAAAACAAGATTTGGTTAATTTTTAATCTGCCTTTCGGATTCAGTTATAGTAATTCAATTAAAAGTGATTATATTTATTTAGGCAATTTCCCAATCACTTTTTACAATTAAGGTTCTTTGTCATTTATAAATTCCAAATACATAGGTAATTAAGAGACTCCTTGCCAATTTTATTCCTTATTTATAAATTACAATATTACATTCACACTTCCTAATAGTTCTGCTATTTAAGACATTATCTCTATTTCTGAAGTTCCATTAAATAACATTTTGCCAGTATACATTTCTATTAAAGTGCAACCCAAAGACCAAATATCAATAGAATGATCATATTCTTTTAATCCAAAAAATAATTCAGGAGCTCTATAATTTTTTGTACATGTTTAAGGTGTCATAATTTACTTAATTTAAGTAGAAATTCCAAAATCTCCTAATTTCACTTTCCCTTAAGTAGTAACAAATATATTGCTTGGTTTTATATCTCTGTGTAAAATATTATTACTATGTAAATAACTTACAGCCTAACATATTTCTTTAAAAATGTAAAGTTAACAATCTTTTAGATTTCCTATTATTTCATGTAGAGGTGCCATATATTCCATAGTAAGACATAGATATTTTTTGTATTCATATTATTCTGTAAATGCATCAATGATATTAATGATATTTGGATGTTGGAGTTATGTTAAAAATTTATATTCAATTAGATTAGTATGATTTTCAGGATCTGATGCCTAAAATTTGTGAATTATAATCATTACTTTTCTATAATATCTTTTTAACACAATAGGAACAATTTGTTTATTAGGAGGATCATTTTCGGTTCTTTTTTCAATTAAATAGACTTTTCCTGCATATCCTTTAAATAGACATTTGATTTTGGTATAGCTATAATTTTGCTACATTTTTTTAATTTTTCAATTTAATTCATCTGATATTATATATGTAAATAGTCAACTAAAATAATAGTTACATTTTATTATATGAAATGACTAAAATAGAAATTTTGAAAGATTTATATAATATAATTGAGATATCTGAGAAAATATATTGGGAAGATAAAATATATAGTTTTTTGGATAAAAAATGTGATTGTATGTGAAAAAAATTTAAAAATTTAGATATTATTTTTTAATGGTAAACCTTCGTCTCTAAAAAAGATTAGCTTCAACATAATTAAAGGTTGGTATTAACAGAGTTTGNTTTTAAGGAGTTTAAAACTCAGATTTAGGATAATCGAAATTCATATAATTATTTAAATTTAGTTCATTTGCTTGTCTCTTAAAGCATTATGTGCAATAGATGATAGTTCTCTGTTTCTATCTGGAATTTATAATTCGTCTAAATAAAACAAGATTTGGTTAATTTTTAATCTGCCTTTCGGATTCAGTTATAGTAATTCAATTAAAAGTGATTATATTTATTTAGGCAATTTCCCAATCACTTTTTACAATTAAGGTTCTTTGTCATTTATAAATTCCAAATACATAGGTAATTAAGAGACTCCTTGCCAATTTTATTCCTTATTTATAAATTACAATATTACATTCACACTTCCTAATAGTTCTGCTATTTAAGACATTATCTCTATTTCTGAAGTTCCATTAAATAACATTTTGCCAGTATACATTTCTATTAAAGTGCAACCCAAAGACCAAATATCAATAGAATGATCATATTCTTTTAATCCAAAAAATAATTCAGGAGCTCTATAATTTTTTGTACATGTTTAAGGTGTCATAATTTACTTAATTTAAGTAGAAATTCCAAAATCTCCTAATTTCACTTTCCCTTAAGTAGTAACAAATATATTGCTTGGTTTTATATCTCTGTGTAAAATATTATTACTATGTAAATAACTTACAGCCTAACATATTTCTTTAAAAATGTAAAGTTAACAATCTTTTAGATTTCCTATTATTTCATGTAGAGGTGCCATATATTCCATAGTAAGACATAGATATTTTTTGTATTCATATTATTCTGTAAATGCATCAATGATATTAATGATATTTGGATGTTGGAGTTATGTTAAAAATTTATATTCAATTAGATTAGTATGATTTTCAGGATCTGATGCCTAAAATTTGTGAATTATAATCATTACTTTTCTATAATATCTTTTTAACACAATAGGAACAATTTGTTTATTAGGAGGATCATTTTCGGTTCTTTTTTCAATTAAATAGACTTTTCCTGCATATCCTTTAAATAGACATTTGATTTTGGTATAGCTATAATTTTGCTACATTTTTTTAATTTTTCAATTTAATTCATCTGATATTATATATGTAAATAGTCAACTAAAATAATAGTTACATTTTATTATATGAAATGACTAAAATAGAAATTTTGAAAGATTTATATAATATAATTGAGATATCTGAGAAAATATATTGGGAAGATAAAATATATAGTTTTTTGGATAAAAAATGTGATTGTATGTGAAAAAAATTTAAAAATTTAGATATTATTTTTTAATGGTAAACCTTCGTCTCTAAAAAAGATTAGCTTCAACATAATTAAAGGTTGGTATTAACAGAGTTTGGTTAGACCCAAATGAAGCAAGTGAAATCAGTCTTGCTAATTCAAGAATGTCAATTAGAAAATTAATAAAAGATGGTTTGATTATGAGAAGATTGAGAACAATTCATTCAAGAGCTAGAGCAAGAAGATACCTTGAAGCAAAGAGAAGAGGTAGACATACAGGTACTGGTAAGAGAAGAGGTACAAGAGAGGCAAGAATGCCAACTAAAGTTCTTTGGATTAGAAGACAAAGAGTTTTAAGAAGATTACTTAGAAAATACAGAGCAGCAAAGAAAATTGATAGATAATAGTAATTAATGAATTATAATATTGTAGATATCACGAATTCTATTTGGCTTCAAAAGGTAATCAATATAAAAACAAGAAGGTATTGATTGAAGCAATTCATGAAACAAAATAAGAGAAAGTTAGAGTTGATAAGATTGAGAAAGAGTAAAATGATAGAAGAGAAAAGAATAAGGCTTAAAGAACAAAGAAAACTCAAAACAAATTTGCTGCAGAATGATATATACATATTTAGTACAATAAAAAAATGTTGTTTATATGAAAATCATTTATTGCATCTTGGACATAAATACTTATCAATCTTAGTAATATCTTGATTTTGAAGTTCAACACAATCCAAATGATACCAATTTTCACATTCATCACATTGAATCATTTATAGATCAGGATTTTAAGGTAATTAACAAACACAACTCTTTTTCCATAATTTAATATTTGGTCTAGGTTCCATAGATTCTAGATCTATGGCAGCTCTACTGAAGAAGATTGTTTCCTCTTCAAATTCAAGATCAGAATATTCTTCAAAAGTAAGAACTTTGATTCCTACTTGTATTTTGTTTGCAGGTAAATATTCAGAGTGAGTAGAAAAGAAGAGTTCTTTATCAGAAATACATTTAATTAATTTCTGATCAATTTTTAGATCTTATTTAGAATAATACCTAAAGAAATATAGATATGAATTTACCATTAAACTTAAATGATAGGGATGAAAGTGTTTGAAGGATCCTTAATACAATAAATTTTAATTAGTTTTGCTGAATAGATATCATCATTTAGAGCACATACAGCTACATCTTGATTTACATGATATATTTTATTGAATTTTTGTATACTATTATACTTTTTAATTCTATTATATGGTAGAGTATAATAATACTTAGTTGGATCTTTCTTTAAGTAAAGTTATATTAAATGACCATATTTATCATTTTTCACTAATTCATTAACTGTATTAGAACTTATTTGATTGACTTTTTCTTCTTTGCTCATTTATTATAATAATAATTATTGAGTGTTGAGTGCCTTGTTANTGTGAAAAAAATTTAAAAATTTAGATATTATTTTTTAATGGTAAACCTTCGTCTCTAAAAAAGATTAGCTTCAACATAATTAAAGGTTGGTATTAACAGAGTTTGGTTAGACCCAAATGAAGCAAGTGAAATCAGTCTTGCTAATTCAAGAATGTCAATTAGAAAATTAATAAAAGATGGTTTGATTATGAGAAGATTGAGAACAATTCATTCAAGAGCTAGAGCAAGAAGATACCTTGAAGCAAAGAGAAGAGGTAGACATACAGGTACTGGTAAGAGAAGAGGTACAAGAGAGGCAAGAATGCCAACTAAAGTTCTTTGGATTAGAAGACAAAGAGTTTTAAGAAGATTACTTAGAAAATACAGAGCAGCAAAGAAAATTGATAGATAATAGTAATTAATGAATTATAATATTGTAGATATCACGAATTCTATTTGGCTTCAAAAGGTAATCAATATAAAAACAAGAAGGTATTGATTGAAGCAATTCATGAAACAAAATAAGAGAAAGTTAGAGTTGATAAGATTGAGAAAGAGTAAAATGATAGAAGAGAAAAGAATAAGGCTTAAAGAACAAAGAAAACTCAAAACAAATTTGCTGCAGAATGATATATACATATTTAGTACAATAAAAAAATGTTGTTTATATGAAAATCATTTATTGCATCTTGGACATAAATACTTATCAATCTTAGTAATATCTTGATTTTGAAGTTCAACACAATCCAAATGATACCAATTTTCACATTCATCACATTGAATCATTTATAGATCAGGATTTTAAGGTAATTAACAAACACAACTCTTTTTCCATAATTTAATATTTGGTCTAGGTTCCATAGATTCTAGATCTATGGCAGCTCTACTGAAGAAGATTGTTTCCTCTTCAAATTCAAGATCAGAATATTCTTCAAAAGTAAGAACTTTGATTCCTACTTGTATTTTGTTTGCAGGTAAATATTCAGAGTGAGTAGAAAAGAAGAGTTCTTTATCAGAAATACATTTAATTAATTTCTGATCAATTTTTAGATCTTATTTAGAATAATACCTAAAGAAATATAGATATGAATTTACCATTAAACTTAAATGATAGGGATGAAAGTGTTTGAAGGATCCTTAATACAATAAATTTTAATTAGTTTTGCTGAATAGATATCATCATTTAGAGCACATACAGCTACATCTTGATTTACATGATATATTTTATTGAATTTTTGTATACTATTATACTTTTTAATTCTATTATATGGTAGAGTATAATAATACTTAGTTGGATCTTTCTTTAAGTAAAGTTATATTAAATGACCATATTTATCATTTTTCACTAATTCATTAACTGTATTAGAACTTATTTGATTGACTTTTTCTTCTTTGCTCATTTATTATAATAATAATTATTGAGTGTTGAGTGCCTTGTTATGTTTTTAGAGTATGTCTATATTAATTAAATAATTGCAGGATTTCTATTTTTTATATTAAAAAGATTTAAATTAATTTTTAGACAATGGTAACTATAACAATTAAATTAAGGCTGACAAAAAAGAATAACCTGTTCAATAGCCAAAAGGAAAGAAGGGAAAGAAAACTGGAGAAGAAACAACATAATAAGTTGTTGCTACTTTAGGACCTAATGTTGCAGGAAATGAATTAGTATTTGGAGTAGCTCACATCTTGTCTACTTGGAATGACACCTTCATTCATATCACTGATTTGACAGGAAGAGAAACATTGGCAAGAGTCACTGGTGGAATGAAAGTAAAATCTGATAGAGAAGAATCTTCACCATATGCAGCCATGCAAGCAGCCAAAGATGTTTATGAGAAATTGAAAACACTCAAAATTAATGCTTTGCATATTAAATTAAGAGCAAGAGGAGGTATTACATCTATCTCATATATTAAGGTGTCGATACTAGACAACCAGGACCTGGTGCTTAAGCTGCTTTAAGAGCATTGGCTCGTTTGGGACTTAAAATTGGTAGAATTGAAGATGTTACTCCTATTCCAACAGATTCTACTAGAAGACCTGGAGGTAGAAGAGGAAGAAGATTATGAAAAGTCAAATAAAAACATACATTATATTATACATGTACATTTATTAATTAAAATATGATTTTTGATCTCTAACCACCATCTCCATCTCTCTCTCCAAATTCTAGAGTTCGATACTATTAGGAATAGTTAGATAAAGCTCATGAAATTATAGATCAATTAGAAATTTTACTCTAAGAAAAAGAACTACAAAAATAATAAGATCACCCCTCTTCTAGTTATGTTCCAATCCCTCCTCTCCAATTTCATTGTAAATCTCCTAGTGTCATGAGTGAAAGATCTAAAAGCTATGTAGCTACTCCTCAATAGTATTCCACACCAAGAGATCTCAGGAATCGTATGTCTATGGGTAATTAAAACTCAATCAAATATATTGAGGAAATGAAAACAAGGCATAGTGAACTTGTTTTATAATTTAAAGAAGATAATACTCAAAGAGAGTTAAAAAATAAGGAAATCAATGATCATATCTAAGAACTAAAAACAGAATTAATTTATTGTTAAGAAAAACAAACAATGACAAAAAAAGAAAAAAAATAATCTTAGTAATAATTAGAAGTTCTTTAAAATGAGATTGAAAACATTTAATCTTAATTGCAAAAATCTAGAGAATAAGGATTATAATTATTATAGAAACTATAAAAATATAAACAAGATACTTAAGAAACTGAGCTGGAATAAGAATAATAAATAATTCTATAAGATTAATAAACAAATTCTAAACTTGAAACTCCTGATCCATCAAAAAAAAGAAAATACAAAAATTCTACTAGTCACAAAAAACTTATGTAAACCTTACAATAAGAAATTGAATTACTTGAAGCTTAAAAAAAGCATTATTATAACAATTCTATTTCAAACTTCTAAGAAAAAGAAATTGAAACTAATCTAATAAATGATGAGATTGTAATAAACTTTTATTTATTTTTAGATTGAACCTAAATAAAATCAAAGAATAGATACTTTAGATGATGTGAGATTAGTGACTGATTCTGGTTTTAAATTTAAAACTTAAGTAGATCATGAAAATGAATCAGTTCGGTCATTTAAAATTAAGAAATAGAAACCAAGAAGTTGTGAATCATGTATCATATTCTGATTTCAGTATAAACAAATAATTAATTTATTATTACTAATCTGGTTATATTGAGTAGTCTATAATGATATATATCTGATGTATTAGAGAGGAATAAAGAATACTAAGCAATAATATTAAACTTTAGAATTAAAATTAAATTTATTTTTGACAAGATATGATAAAATATAGAAGATTGTATTTTTATTAATGTGTTTCATAATTTATAAATAGAAATTTTAAATAAAAAGGCTTTTTCAAA